GTGTTTGGTCTTAGTATTAACAACCTTCTCATTATTATTCTTATTGAGTCATAAAAATATCGGTGGCTGAAAAATTTTGTATAAAAATATCCTGGTGATACTACTGACATACTTGAAAAAAAAAATCAACCAATGTTTCATTTATAATTGCCATGGTTAAACATTTTATTCATTTACAGTGTGTTTGTTTCATTAAACCTTCGTTTTATTATTAATTTTATCTGATGATTTATAATGCTAACAGAATGACTGTATTAATTATGCTAATTAGAAGAGCATTCCAAGCCCAGTTTTGTAAAATATTGGCGTAATACTATGCAAACATAAAATGAACATTCATTTTATTCTAGGACTATAATTACCATTCCAGACAGAAGAACTGCATTGTGAAGTCCTGGCAGTGAGCAGCAGCGTGGTTGGGGAATTCACATAGTCTGGTACTGCTGGAGGTGGGCAGGCTGTGAGATGTGAACTAATCGGTTGAATCGTTTGCTGCACGGCCCGATACTAGCTCCTGGATTGTTCTGGATTTGATCTCCTCCTTGGGAGCTCATTAATTTATATATGAAAGTGCTCATCCGCTCTGGGCTTCCCTCTCCTCCTTTGTAGCTGAGAACAACACTGGTACCTGATGCCCAGGCCACAGGATCAGCATGAGTTTAAAGGAGAGCAATCTCTGCACAGGGGAGAAGTTCCCTGCTCCTCTCTGGTCTTTTGCTCTACCACGAACTGCCTCTCAATTTACTCTGCTTTCCAGTAATCTTCCATAAAGAGGTTTTTCTCCTCCCAGACTCAATCCGAATGCTTCCCAGGTCCAGCATGGCCCCTTGCTTCCTGTGGGGGTTCCCAGCATTCCCCTCCTGGAATCCAGTGCTCATGGCTGATGTTACAGGAGAACTTCAGGAAAACCGCTTTCTTATCTGGATGTTTTCTTAAATAATCTCAATTAGATGTTTTCTGTCTCTTGGGAAAGTGATAGGTTAATGCCCTATGAGGATCTGTGTGTTTCTTTCTAGAAAACAGACCATTCCAAGAAGGGATAAAACATGTAAAAGTTGCAAATCCTTGTAAAATCATTTGCCACTTCACCTATTTAATTCAAGTCTCTCACAACCTGCCTACTACCTGGTAAAAGCCTCTGTTCAGAAGTCTTGCTTGCTTTTTTTTTTTGGTACCAGGGATTGAACTCAGGGGCACTTTACCACAGAGCCATATCCCCAGCCCCATTTTGTATTTTATTTAGATATGAGTCTCACTGAGTTGCTTAGCGCCTCACTTTTGCGGAGGCTGGCTTTGAACTCGCGATCCTCTTGTCTCAGCCTCCTGAGCCACTGGGATTACAGGCATGCACCACCACACCCAGCATTTGATTTTTTAAAAACTATGTTAAAAAATAGAAAATACCCCCATCCCACCCTTATAGGGTCGCAGGTGAACTTAAGAGCATTCTGATTAGATGTCAGCACTGGGCTATTACTTCAGCCCAGAGGGACTCAATGTGGGGAGAATATTTCCCCATTTGGAATGGCCTCAGCCGTGTTAGCAGTGTCTGGCCTGTACGTAAGGTCTTTCTCCCCAGCAGTCCAGGGACCCAAACCATTCAGCTGATGGAAGACTTCCAACTTTAGGCAGGAGGCAGTAATAATGGTGATATTTGGGTAGTTCTTGCACCCGCCCCTTTTAGAAGGTGCTGTGGACAGATGTGTTCCTCCAATTTATTTGTTGAAAACTTAATGATCAACAATGTTGGGAGGCGTGCCCTTTGGGGAGGTGTTTAGGTCACAAGGAGCCCTCGTGAGTGGATTAGTGACACTGTACCAAGGTGCGTGGGAGTGGAGTCACTCTTCTTGCTCTTCTGCCTCCTACACTGTGAGGGACCAGCAAGAAAGCCTGCATCTGAATGCTAGGCCCTGATAGTGGACTTCTCAGACCCACTGGGAGGAAACACCTTCTGTTCATTATAAATGACCAGTGTGTGGCATTCTGTGACAGACTAAGACAGGAATAAAGACATAATAAAATTCTTGGGTGAGTTTCTGGTAGTATTTTAATCTTTCTCACTTGATATTAAAAAAAAATGTTGTGCCAAAAAGTGGAGGTGATTCCTATTTTGGCTGATCCTCATGTAGTTCATTTTATCTCCTTTGGATTTCTTATAAACTCTATTATCCTTTCTGGTTATGACAGTTCACCACTTGGTCTAAAATAGTCCCATGAGTATGGGAATGTGGCAAATCAGGAGTCAAGAAACTTCCGGAACTGGAGGCAAATATTTGGGTGTTGTCTCCTGGCCCTTATAAACCTTCCATCTGACAATAGCCTCGGGTTTTAATCTTGCTTTGGTTAGTGTGGCCCTGGGGAAGGTATGGACTCTCTGACTTTGGCTTTGTACTGGGCCCTTTGATGGGCTGATACTACCCACCTCACAGTGTTATGGATTAAGTGAAAGAAGAGTGACTGGCACTCAATAGAGTCAACACATGGTTCATCCTGCGGCTTAGTTCTTCTTGTGGTGTACAGTATATAGTCAAGGGAGTTGTGTGTCCTTATCCAGGTCAATGTAATGGATTGTTATGCTTTCATGTTGCCTCAGCCTTCACTGTGAACCTACGTTTAACTTTCTGGTACCAGAAGCAGGGTTCATTCACTTTCCACACCAGCTCCACATCCAAATGGCTTGAGCTGGAGGCCAGAGTAAGAACTTAGATGCGTCTCTCCTGTCTAGCACAGTGCGCTCCCCACTCTCACTGTGTCTTTTCAGTGAACCGCCCAGCATTTGCCCACAAATGTGAAGTTTCGTCCTGTGTCCCTATATACTCTCTCTCTGCCTCTTTATTCCTGCCTTGCGTGACTTGGGCACAGAGGGCTGTCCTCTGACTCATTACACCCTTCTTGCCAGAGCCTGAGAGTCAGAGTCCTGAACATGTGCCCCAACGTGGAGGTGCGTTGATCTTGCTCCTTCCATCTGAGGAACCTGGGGCTTCCCTGGAGTTTTCCTGGGGCCACTAGGAGGACGCGAGGTCAGGGTCCTAGTGCCAGAGTGATGGTCAGGCAGGCATAGGCTGAAACGTCACACAAGAGCCACAGGACATATGCCAGTGTAAACACGCTTCAGGTGTGAGGGACTCTGGGTCATGGATTGGTCACAGCTTTAGGCTGTCCACCAGGGAAAGCAGTGTCCTGTGAAAGGCACACCAGCCTTCAGTTCCTCGTCATTTCCTGCTGGGGCCTGGTTGCCAGTTGCTCTGCTGCTGGGGGCTCTCAAAACAGTAAGTTAAAACAGTGAACTTTTATTTTCAAAAACAAACAGTCTGAAAAAGTCGTAAGGAAGCACCCCCTTTACAATTCATTCCTCCTGGTGGTCACCTCCGTAGGACTTAAGAAATCACTTTCTAATTTAGTAAGTCATAATTTTAGCTTTAATACAAATTATTATTATTATTTTTTTAAATTTTTTATTGTGGGTTGTTCAAAACATTACAAATTTCTTGACATATCATATTCCACACTTTGATTCAAGTGGGTTATGAACTCCCACCTTCACCCCATACACAGATTGCAGAATCATGTCAGTTACACATCCATTGATTTACAAATTGCCATACTAGTGTCTGTTGTGCTCCGCTGCCTTTCCCATCCTCCACCCTCCCCCCTCCCCACCTCTCCCCTCCCCTCCCCTCCTCTCTCTCTACCCCCTCCACTGTATAACCCTGAGGGTCTCCTTCCATTACCATGCAATTTCCCTTCTCTCTCCCTTTCCCTCCCACCTCTCATCCCTGTTAAATGTTAATCTTCTTCTCCTGCTCTTCGTCCCTACTCTGTTCTTAGTTACTCTCCTTATATCAAAGAAGACATTTGGCATTTGTTTTTTAGGGATTGGCTAGCTTCACTTAGCATAATCTGCTCTAATGCCATCCATTTCCCTGTAAATTCTATGATTTTGTCATTTTTTAACGCAGAGTAATACTCCATTGTGTATAAATGCCACATTTTTTTTATCCATTCATCTATTGAAGGGCATCTAGGTTGGTTCCACAGTCTTGCTATTGTGAACTGTGCTGCTATGAACATCGATGTAGCAGTGTCCCTGTAGCATGCTCTTTTTAGGTCTTTAGGGAATAGACCAAGAAGGGGAATAGCTGGGTCAAATGGTGGCTCCATTCCCAGCTTTCCAAGAAATCTCCATTCTGCTTTCCAAATTGGCTGCTAATACAAATTATTTATTTCTAAACCAAAGCACACACAGTTGTGGCAATTTGTGTGACGCTGTTATCAGTAGTGCTAGAGTACTTTGAATTCTATGAAAATGCCTTAACTTAGGAGATTCAGTTCTTCCAAGTAGACAATTACTGGGGAAGTTATCTTCTTCAGACGCTGTGTCAGAGCTCAGGCCTCAGGCTGCCTGTGTCAGTGCCTTGTGTCCATCGTTTATGGGTTGTGTCCCTCTGACAAGTCTCTTAACTTCTCTGGACTTTAGTTTCCTTATCTGTAAGAAGAGAATTACAATAATTCTGACACCATCAAATTTTTATGAAATTCAATGAGTTCACCATATGTAAAGTACTTAGTACCTGGCCCATAGTAATTGTTTAATACGTGTGATTATGATATTCTACTGCAAAAAAGAATAGCCTAAAATATACAGATGTGCTTTGACTTATGATGGAGTCATGACCAATAGACTTATTGTAAAATACCGTATAAGGAGAAGGCATTTAACATATTTGACCTATTCACAGCTCATCAACACCGTACACCGGAGAGTGCCTGGTTGCAGGCTGCTGGGAGCTGGGCTCACTGTTGCTTTCCAGCATCACAAGAGTATTGGATGCCCATTGCTAGCCTTGGGAAAGATCATAGATCAAAATTCCAAGTATGGTTTCCACTGAACAAATACAGCTTTCCCGCCATCTTAAAGTCAAAACATCGTGTCAAACCATCCTAAGTTGGGGACTTGTCCATAGTCTGTTTGACCTGACCATCTTCATTCTGTCTGACAGGGTACACACTGCTACACTGTGCTGCAGCCTGGGGTCGTCTGGAAACTTTGAAAGCACTAGTGGAGCTGGATGTTGACATAGAAGCTTTAAACTACAACGACGAAAGAGCTAGGGATGTTGCCGCTCGGTATTCCCAGACTGAGTGTGTTGAGTTTCTGGACCTGGCAGGTGAGGAAGCTCCACAGTGGAAACAGATTGATCTGATGGACGGGGACAGTTAGCATCTTCACCCTCCATCTGGATGTTTTATTGTAGGTACCTCCACAGTAACTTTTGGCAATAACATGAAATCTTCTTTTCTGTTTCACTATTGGCCTAACCTATTGCACTTAGTAGGAGCTGTATGTATTGGAAATTGTGGACTTACCAGCTGATAACGATTTAACAACTTATTTTCTATAAGCCTATGCATACAACATGTTCAAGGCTGTTTTCTTACTCAGGCAAAGTAGATGATTCCTTAATTGTTTAAAAATTAGCATATTTTAGTAATATGTTCAATTTCCCAGATAAAAAATTTTATAATTAAGAAAATATTTGTTTGGGTAAAGTTGATCTATGGTGTTAGTAATCAGAATAATAGTTACCCTGAGGGCATGGAGGATTTCTGGGATGTAGTGTCTTTTTCTTAATTTGGATGCAGGTTGTGAAAATTTATTGAGCTGTATACTTATAATTTGTCACTTTTTTGTTTGCATATTACAGACTTCAATACAAAGTTCAGAAAGCTACGTGCTATGGCCATATAGATATAGCTGAAAGAAGTTTTAGGAAAATATGCCCGCATAACTTCGTATGTGTGCAAACATCGGCTTAAAAACCTAGTACTTATGGAACCCACAGCACGCATTTTGCCCTGCATTCAGGTTTTTAGCAAGCATTTATTCAATGCGCACTATTGCATATGCAGTCTTCTTGTGGGTACAACTGGTTCCCGCTTCTGGATATTTGTTGGATAAACACAGCCAACGGTTACGTAACTACAGCAGGAAGATCATGATGAGGGCGGGCAGAGCAGGTAGTCCATGCCATGGGGCTGTCGGAGAGGATGAGGTCAACCTATTGGGGCTGAGCTGGGCCTTGGGGGATGGGTGGGATTTGAAGGCACAATAAAAGGGAAGGAGCATGAGCAAAGACGACTCGGAATGAAGGTGGCGTGTGGGGGTCAGGGGGAAGGTCGCTTTACTGGAGCAGCCGGTCATAGTTGGCATAGGTAGGCTGTAGCACAGGTAGAATAACGGAAGGGTTAACTACAAGGCCTCTGGAGTCTCCACCCAGAACCTCCGTGACCTTGGACAAGTTACTTCAGTTCTCTATACCTCAGTTTCCCTTTCTGAAAAAGGGGCAATGGCAGTGTTTTCTCGAGGGTTTGAGAGTGAAATGAGGTGGTGCAGAGCACCGAGCACAATACCTGTCATGTGGTCAACGCTTGGAAAATGCTGCTGCCGCAACCGCAGCCAGAGCATACCCTGAGTGCCAGGCCAAGCTGCTCTCATTAGGTTCTGGGAGCACTTTAGTAAGTATGGATTCTGTCTTAGTTGAATGGAAATCCAGACATCTTTGGTTTCAGCAATAATTGTGGCAAAAAAAAAAAAAAAGGTTGAGGCTCCTAAAGAACCTTAGATAAGTTCCTCTCAACAGATTCCTTTGCAATCTCCATATTTGACTGAGCTACATTTGCATGTGTGCGTGTTTAATGTCCTCTGGCTCCTCCTCCTCCTCCTCCTCCTCCTCCTCCTCCTCCTCCTCCCTTCCTCTTTAATTCGCAGTGCTTAACTTTCTTAGAGGAAGAATGGTGGGACACCTGCTTCAGGTACTTGGTCATCATTGACGTGGTGGCCAGCAGTCTGCAGAGTATTTGGTCAATGTCATAGATGGATGGGCTTTCTAGAGCATTGCCAGATTTATCTAAGGAGGCTTGCTTTTTCAGCTGAAAGGAGAGAAGCGAATGACATAGATTGCATCTTAGTTTGAATTTAATTCATATTCTGAACATATAAGCTTAAATTCTATTAAAATACACAATCCATTATTTACGTAAAAGAAAACTTACTCTAGAAGAAAAGTATAAATGCAGAAGAAATGCTCATTTATATACACACACGGTATCGGACTAGCATGACCTCAATCACTGTCAGCCTGTAACTAGTGCTGTCTGTGTTAGAGCACTCTGCTGGGAGGAATTATTTCAATATTAGCAGAATGTTTTCCTTCCTAAACATGCAAGACCATAAAATCAAAGGCATTTTTAAAATAGGGTAACACTTGTAGATGTCTAAGTTTTCCTGAAGATCAGGGGGTTTTCTGGTTGGTGTCTGTTGTCTGGGCTTGGCCAGTGAGTCTTTAAGATTGTCTCAAACTGTGGTGTCATCTGCTGGCAAAGCAGTGAATTAGTTAAGGAGCTCTGTTCCCCAGAAAGCCATCCTAACATTAGAAATGAATTTACAGTCCATTTTAAAAGTACATGCCGACTTTCTTACTTAGATTTTTATATAGATCACTGTCATCCAAGAGATCTGTTGTTCCAGACCCTTGGTTTTACAGGGCAGCCAGGGAGGAGCGAACAGAGCCCAGACAGACGGTGCCCCTTTCTCCCGCGGTGACACCCTGTGTTTCTGCTGTGCTTTGAGACTTGAAACAGAAGGGCTGGGCCAGGTGATTTTAAGGCCCTTCTATTCATTACACACTTGTTGAGCACCTGGTACCAGCAAGTCACTCTGCAGGATGCTGGGGAGGAGCGGGAGGGGCAGGTGGCAAAAAGGAATAACCCTTCTTCACAGAAATGGCTGACCTTATGTTCTAAACTCTGAGATGCTGTGACTGTTACCATTTATATCATGAATTCACCTTTTTTTGGTGTTTCTTCCATTTTATCCACAGATAATGCCCAGATAAGACGGACAGGATTACAATGAGAGCTTGTGCTATGATGTAAATGAGGTGCAAACAACTCTGAAGTAGATCCATGTTAGCGAAGCTGCAGCACAGTCTGTCCAGAGGGTAGGGTAGACAGTGAGAGGGAGAAGGCTTAACTTTCAGATAGTGCACTTCTTCTGGAAAAATCTCCCATCCAACCTTTGTCCAGATTGTTCCATCACAAATGCAGACACTCTCCCTGCAGAAGCAGGTAAGCAACAGAAAAAGAACCAGGGATACTCCTCCATTAGACGCCATTCTTTCTCAATTGGGAGAAAAATTTGTAGCTAAAAAATTGATCAAAGACAGAGCAGAATGTGCCCTGAGTATTGGTTAATAGGATGCTTCAGTTGAAGCATTTCAGAAAATCTTGTTGGTCAGCAAAATACAGTGGGCAAGATGCAGCAATGGTCACTGTGCCACCGTTGGTCAGTCACAGTGATACCAGGGAAAAGCTTGATGATGCAGGGGTAAGCTCCGTGATGTCATAAAGAAGGGCTCTGGAACCGAGAGGTGTCACTTGACCAATCCCCTGAGGTTTCTTAGAATTACCTCTTGTTGCTTTTGGCTAGAATGGTTTGAGCTTCTTCAATTTTCTTAAAGATAAAGAATTTACTAATATTTTGCTGATTAGTAAATTCAACAACAATGTCAGCATATTAATAAAATCTCCTTGGAATGAGTCCCTCATATTCCCTTGGTGTTGTCAGGCTGTGGGTAAGGGGCAAGGGAGATGGCATGGCATGTGGATAGAGATAAGGCGGCAAGGAAGTGGGCATGTGACAAAATGGTGGCCTTCAGTCCTTGCCTTTGTGGAGCGAATGGTCTATAAGTAAGAGGAAAACCAAGATGATTTCAGAGACAGAGTAAGAAGAGAGCTACATAAAACTAACAGGCAGCATTGAGCTCTACCTGGGACAATTAGGAAATTTCACAAGAGTGTTATTTGAGGGGGCCTTGAGGAATGAGTAGAATTTTGGTAGGTGGCCAGGCAGAGAGGACATCTCAGAATTACCAGGAAATAAATGTATTTATTTATTTATTGTGGTACTGGGGATTGAGCCCAGGCATTCTGTACTAAAATGTGAAAGGAAAGAGATAAACTGAGGGAACAACTATTAAGCACAAAGGAAACAGGGCTTGATGGTTTGGGAAATTCCCAGCCAATCCAGATTGCAAAAGATACTGCTGTCATTTGGAAAGTGTCCCCCAAAGGCCTGTGTTCAAGGCTTGGTTCCCAGCTTGGTGCTATTGGGAATTGGTGGAAACTTAAGGGTGGGGACTAATGGGAGAGCTTGGGTCACTGGAGTGTATCCTCGTAGGTGGTAGCAGGGCCACAGCCCCTTCTTCTCTGCGTGTTTGCTCCTGGCCAGAAGGTCAATGGCTTTGCTCCACCCATTCCTTGCTGCCTAAGTGACTGTGGCCTGAAACCTTTGGAACTTCAAGCCAAGCCAGACCTTCCCTCTTTATAAGTTGACTATCTCAGCTCTCTTATTATGTAACAGAAAGCTGACTAACACAGGTTTTGAACTTAAGAAAGCCACTGTCAAGAAGTATGTTTGAGAATAGGAGTGTGAATTGTGGATCCTCCCAGCCATCTCTGCAGAAGTCAGGGGTAGAAATGAGATTCTCCATGAAACATCTGTGGAGGAGTCTCATCTCATAGACTGAATCTCTGAGACATGCTGGGAGACTCACAGGTTTTTGAAAATGTTACACCAGCAGAAACTCCAGCTAAGACAAAGGGGCAAAGAGAGGACAAAGTAATAAAGTTACTGTTCTCCCCAAATTCTAAAGAAATAGACTACTAGAGGTGTTTAGCCGAAAGCACATGCAATTTTTGTGAAAAAGGAAGGATTAGTGAGTGGGTAGAACCTCAGGCCCAGAGGGCAGTCTTAAATCACAGAGGATTATCCCCATGCCTTAAAACCAAGTGGAATTTTCCCTGTGCGTTTCAAAATTGCTTGGGATTGGTGATGCCTTTCTTCCCTCTCTCTGCTCATTTCTGAACGGCAGTGTATATGCCTTAGTCTCTGCCTATCCCCCCTTACAGTTTGGAAGAAGGTAACTAGTTTTCTAGTTTGACAGGTCCACAGACGGAGAGGAGTTCTGCCTTAGGATGGATCATACAAATCTCACCCATACTTTGTTTCGATGATTTGGAGTCTGGGGTTTGAGAGTTTTGAGTTGTGCTATTTAGATAAGGATTGGGATAGAGTTGATGTTGTCATCATTTATAGGGATGTTGGACGGGCAGGAATGTATTTTGGATGTGGGATAGATGTGACTTCTGAGGGAGCAAGAGGGAAGGCTCAATGATGGGTACCACAGATATCCAGGGCCTAATCCCTGGAGTTTGTGGCTACAGCCTCCTCTGGAGGAGGGGTTTTGCAGGTCCTCGAGTTAAGAATCTTAAAATGGGCAGATTATCCTGGATTATACAGGAGGGATTGAAATCTAATCATGGTGGCCTTATAACTGAAAGGCAGAGGGAAATTGACATAGAAGAGAAAGTAATTTGATGGTGGAAGTTGGGGTCAGGTGGTATAATTGAAGACAGATTAAGGGGTCACAAGCCAACAGGTTGGCTTTAGACCAGTGGACCCAAGCTCCGGTTGCTGCCTCTAGAAGTGTAAGGGGAAGAGTCTGTGTTACTTCACGCCACCCAATATGTGGTGGTTTTATGTAGCAGCCACAGAAGACGGACACATCAGCATTTAAATTAATCTGGGACTAATCTAATTTACAGTGTTCAGTGGTTTCAGCTGAGAATATGATAAATCCTTGATTTATTTGACTCTTTTGTTTATCTCAGCAAAGAAATATAACTTTATTTAAACAGGTCTTGCAAATGCTGTGATAACATTGCTATGGGCACTATAGTGAATGTTGTTGTTTTTTTTTTTAAGAGAAAAGCTAGTTTTGAATTTTTGTGGGGGGGATCTAGAGGAGTAAAGCAAGTGACGGAAATATTTTTTTGTTGTTACTTTTGTCAGAAGAGAAATTTTAATAGATATATTCTCTTTGGAATCAGTTTTATGTTTTATATTTCTTTTGTTTTTCAAAAAACTTAGCATAATTTTAGGAAGACATTGAGTGCTCCAAAAACCACAACAAATATTGGACACACAATTTTTACAAAATTAAGATAAGTAATATACTTTATGAAAAGTTATATATATATATATATATATATATATATGTCAGTTAAGCATATATACATATGTGTGTATATATATATATGTATGTATATGTATGTATGTGTGTGTGTGTGTGTATATTGGTACCTGTGATTGAACCCAGAGGTACTACTAAGCCACAACCCAGCCCTTTTTATTTTGAGATAGGGTCTCACTAAATTCTCCAGGCTCTCAGCCTCCCAATTAGCTGGGATTACAGGTGTGTACCACCACACCCTGCTCTTACTGTCTTTCAGATGCAAGGCTGGCTCTGAAAAAATACATGACAAAGGTTACTTTAACAATTACAGACCCAGAAAAGGGACCAGGGAAGCTTCTTAAGGAAGACAAGGTACGGTACTGTGATTGTTTCTTGTTCTGAAAATTCTGAGAATTTTGCCTCACATCTTAATTCACACACTAATGCTGTAGAGACCAGGAGGGAGGGAGGAGGGTGAAGGGAAAGGGGAAAGAAGGCGGAGAGAAGCCTCCTTTGCTTCTGACCTTCATAAACTGGGGACAAGGGACAGACTGAACAAAATGGAATGAAGTCATGTTGAACAGTGACACAGAGATGTGCTAAATATCACCCCTGACAGCTTGGATGAAGGTCAGAAATGTTGAGTGGAAACCACTCACCACAGACCAAAGATATTTATAAAGGAATGCATACATATGGGGGCAAAACTTTTTTTTTTTTTTAAGCAAACAAAAGGATGAGCAAAGATGGTGTTTCTCTCCCGGGGTGGGGGGGCAGGAAGCAAAGCTGGGCTTGTCGTACTGGTAGGGCTCTGTTCTGGTGCAGCCTTGGGGTCCAATGATGTTCATTTCATTATTTTCCTTCAAAACTTAGATGTATATCATACATTTTAACATATATGCATATGCACATATACATTACATATTTTTTAGTGTATAAAATTTTCCATAATGGGGAAAAAAGATACATAGATAGGAAGGTAGCTAACTATGGAGCCAGCCTGCCACCTTGCTATATTTAAGTACTGTCTGTGAACTAGTTTATTGATTTGGATGTGTATTAAATATATGCTCAAGGTATCAGAAATACATTTTGGTTTCAAATTACCTCATGCATTTCTGTGCAGGATGCTCTGACATAATTTATTTAATTTTCTCTGACACAATTTATATGAAAAAGAATTAGCCATTGCTAAGAAGACATCAGCAATTCTGAGAACTTGATAAGTTACACATTGCACTTGAATCTTATAAAACACTCTACAGAATCTCTTGTGAAACAAACAACATAAAGGAAAAATTCTATTGGAATAGCTTCTGGAGCTATTAGATCTGCAAAACAAAACTTTCTTGGTACAAAGGAATAGTGCTTTGTTAGCAATTAGAAAAGTCAGTTTATCAATTTTTTAAAATTTAGTTATCTGAGTTACAAAATGTGTACTCAGAAATCACTAAAAAAAAAAAAATGAAACAACTAAAACACTTGCTTCAATTTCCAGTCTTCTACCATGTGGATCTCATAATAATTTTGTGCTAATTTCATCATATTTTTTCTTCACTTATAAAAACATATGCATGTCCATATATAATAGGGATCCATAAGGGATATATATATATATATATATATATATTTTTTTTTTTTAAATAATAATGGGATCATTGGGGCTGCAGTCGTGGCTCAGTGGTAGAGCGCTTGACTTGCACATGTGAGTCACTGGGTTCGATCCTCAGCACCACATAAAAATAAATAAATAAAATAAAGGTATTGTGTATAAAAAATGTTTTAAAACATGGGATCATACTAGTCATATTATTCTATAATTTGCTTTTCCTCCTCTTAATAATATCCACCCCCCTTTTTTTTTTGGGTAGAGGGGATTGAATCCAGGGGCATTCTACCAGTGAAACACATCCCCAGCCCTCAAGGTCTCCCTAAGTTGCTGAGGCTGGCCTGGAACTTGCCATCCTCCTGCTTCAGTCTCCCTACTAGTTGGGCTTACAGGGGTGTGAGGACATGCTGGGCTCCTAATAATATCTCATGAAACCTTTCTAAATCCACTTCTGCATCTGTTGCTACTTTATAGTATGGACAGGACACATCTCACTTATTGAGTTCCCTGTATTATTACAAACCGAAGTGCAATGAACATTTTTCTCTGTTTTCACTTTTTAATTGAATTCTTTGTCACATTGTTCATATTTATGAGGTATGTCATGATAAATGTCTTAAGTCAGACACCAAAAGTTTGCTGCATTGTGCAGTGAGGTGGTTTTTACAATGCATGTCAAGAGAGGTTTCCGGTGAGGCGGAGCTTTTCTTGGATGTCATGAACTTCCTCCCCTAGTGAACCACTGGAGAGATCAGCTCCCTTTCTAGCCTTTGCAAACCACTTCTCTTTGTCACAGGGCTTAAAGAAAATAGAGGATTAGGAAGAGAGCACAGGGCTTCTTGCCTCTTGGTGGTGAGTTTCATTAACTCCTATCCCACGATGTGAGAGCTGCACTGTTCAGCTCAGCAGCCACAAGCCACATGTTGCTGTTTAAATTTGAATGATTTAAAATTAAACAAAATTTAAAATCCATTTCCTCAATCATACTAGTCACATTTCTAGGCTCAACAGCTAGACATCTTTAATGGCTACTGCATTAGCCGACGCAGACGCAGAACCACAGGCCTGGATTGTGCTAGTTTGGGGAGACTGTGGGGGGACTGTAGCTCCAAGGTAGAACACAGCGAGGACCCTAGCTCAAGCAAGTGCCTGGTTCCATCCCCGGTACTTCAGGGAAAGAAAGAAAGATTCCTAGAGATACTGTAGAGTTTGATTTTCAACAAATAGGTGGAAAATACAGTCTCTATTTCTATCCCTAGAACATTGTCCTCGGTGCGTGTCAGGCAAAAAACAAGTGGCTGGAAACCCACCCGGACGCGTCCATTGATGAGCTTTTTGAGCAGAAACAACTATTGGAAGATATCGTGACTCCCATCCTTGTAAAAATGACTATGCCACGTAAGTTTGAGGTAAAAGGTGATGCTGACTGTCAAGAAGGATGGAATTAGGTTCAGTGTTGTTATTTCTGAGATGCTGTGATTTTAACAACCCGTTAAGTAGTCATTAACTTTTTACCAGCACTGATCCATGGCACAGTATCATGATGATTCCTGGTATCATTATGAATAAAAACTACTAATAACAACTGAATTCTTTATATAGGAAATGCCTAATAATAATATTGATATGACTATCATCCGTCATTAAGTTTTATGTGATTACTATGCCTTTGATTTTGGCCAGTGATTTCCAAATGTGTAAGGGAGAGAGGGTAACAGAATTTAAAATTTTAAAAAATGTTTTTTTAGCATTTTAATTATGTATTGGAGGAAAATCTGCTGTGGGAATACCATGCTCAAGAGTGGGAAGGTGGTGTATGGGTCTTGGTGGAGGCATACCTGAGATTCTTGCAATAACAGCTTTATTGAGATACAATTCTCCTACCATAAAAGTCAACTTTTTGAAGGGTCCAGTTCAGTGGTTTTCAGTATAGTCAAAAAGCTATATAATTATCACTACTCTCTAATTTTAGTACAAATTTTACTACCCGCAAAAGAAACCCTGTATCGTTGGCAGACTCTTCCCATCCCTCCCTCCCAAGCCCTGGCAACCACTAATCCACTGTCCATATATCTGTGGATTTGTCTGTTCTGAACATCTCATAAATAGAAACAAACTATGTGTTGCCTTTTGTGGCTGACATCTGTCACTTAGTGTGTTTTTTAGGTTCATCCACATTGGGACATGTGTCAGTACTTCTTTCCTTTTTATAACTGAAAACATTCTGTGTATGGATACAAATTTAATCCATTCATCAGTTGATGGACATTTAAGTTTCCACTCTTTTTTCTTATTAAAATAATGCTGCTGTGGGCTTTTATTTATGAATTTTTGTGTGGGCACACGTTTTCAGTTTTCTCTGGTATATAAATAGAGGTGGACTTGCTGGGTCACGTGGTAGCTGTGTCTGAGCTTTTGAGGAGCTGCCAAACTGTTCCATTTTCCATCCCCACCAGCAGTCTCCAATTTCTCCATCTTGGTCTTTTTGTACATTTTAGCCATCTTGAGGAGTGGTATCTTACCATAGTTCTGATTTGCGTTTTCCTAATTACTAATTATCTTTTGTGTGTTTATTGGCCCTTTGTATATTTTCTCTGGAGAAATGTTTAATTCTTCATCGTTTTAAAGTTGGTTTGTCTTTTTTTTTTAGCATATACTTGCTTTATACCTTTATTTTATTTATTTACTTTTATGTGGTGCTAAGGATGGAACCCAGGGCCTCGCACATGCAAGGCAAGTGCTCTACCGCTGAGCCACAACCCCAGCCCCTGTCTTTTTATTATTTATTTATTTTTGTTGATACTGAGGATTGAACCCAGGGGTGCTTTACCACTAAGCTACATCCCCAGTCCTTTTTATTATTTATTCTGAGACAGGGCCTTGCTAAGTTGTTGACTGGCCTCAAACTTGCAATTCTCTTGCCTGATCTTCCCAAGTAGCTGGGGTTGCAGGCATAAGCCACTGCAGTTGGCTTTTTATTATTTAGTGTAAGAGTTCTTCATATATTTTGGATACAAACCCCTTATCACAAGTATGATTCTGTTATCTTCTCCAATTCTGAGGATTATCTTTTCATTTTCTTAACTATATCTTTTAAAGCATGAAAGATCTTAATTTTATGAAGCATAATTTATCTATTTTTTCTTTTGTTGGTTTCAGTGTCATATCTAAAAAACTGTTGCCTAATCCACGGTTACCAAGATTTAATTCTACTTTTTCTTCTAAGAGTTTTTAGTTTTAGTTTCACATTTAGTTCTGTGAGCCATCTTGTGTGGGTTTTTCTTTTGTTCATGGTGTGAAATGGGGTTTCATTCTTTTACCTAAGATTTTTTTTATGTTTATCAAAAGTTGTGGATTTTAACAGGTCAGGACCCTGCACCTCCTCTAGGTGATGTGGCAGAATATTTCTTACTGTCATTAATTAACACCTAGTTAGCATTCAGGTAGCACTGTCCTTGGGACCCTGAAGGGAGACAGAGGCTTTGGAATGTCCCCTAGTTTGTAGGTAACACACATACATCTGAAAAAAGTGAAGTAAGTGCTATATGTATTCAGAGAAGCCGAAGCTGGAGAGAAAGCATCACGGAGCAAGAGGAATTGTCCCCTTGAAGCCAGGGTGGAGGGATATGAAGGGACTTCCAGAATGGAAGCCCAGCAAGGAGGAAAGCTCCAGAGGGGAGCAGAGGGGAGCCCATGCCCAGCTGCTCCGTGTCATCCCTTCAGGACAACAGGAGACAAGGCTGCAGCGTTCACTCTTGATCATTTTATTAAAACTGCTGTAAGAAGGGGCTGGGGCTGGGGCTCAGTAGTAGAGGGCTCTCCTAGCAAGTGTGAGGCCCTGGGTTCAATCCTCAGCACCACATAAAAATAAATAAATAAAATAAAGGTATTGTGTCCATCTACAAGTAAAAAAATATATATATATTTAAAAAAGTATCTGCTGTAGGAAGCTTAGATGTTTGGACTTTATTTTCTGGGCAGTGGAGTGCTGTTAAATAGGCTTTGGTGTAAAGAGAGAGGAATTAAATAGGGGAGAATATAGTACAGAGACTAGTACAAGTCCAGGAGTGGTCGGATTAGACCTCAATTGCTACGTGTTCCACCACTGCCCCTGGCCTGGCCCAAACCCTCCCCTGCAGTAGGATCACCTCTCTCCCCTGGTTTACATCCCCCAAGGAGCACTTCCATGTCATAGAATGTGGGATCTTGATGGGTCCCCTAAATGGTCTTCATTGCACATGAAGAAAAGGAGACAAGAGAGGTTCACAGAGTATGCAAAATGACTAGTCAACTGCCAAACTGGGGAGGCTAATGCCAGTGATATGGGAAATGTGACTCCCTGCTTTGCATATTCGAAAAACAAAGGAGGAGAGAGTATTCAGTTGAGGTACCAGCCGGGAACTAGTGGCTTCCTCCTTGCTCATTTTTAAGAAACTGGCTTCATCTATTTTCTGCCACAGCTAATTAAATGTAATTTTAAAATCTGCTTCCTTTCAGGTCAAGTGAAAAGTGGCAAATCTGTAACCTAAGCGTGGTCAGAAGAGAAGTCAAGCTCACGCTTTCTACGGAACGTACATTTTATTTCTAGTATCAAAGATAAACCTATGGATGCCACTTGGGTCAAGTAACTGGATATGGGGTTTTATAAAAATGCTCGGGTACAAACTCAGTCATCCTTGCTTTATTCCCCTGTGGGGCCTGCTGACTGCAGACTCCGGCCTCGCCCCTCTCCTGCAAGCTCAGCTCCACGGCTTTCAAAGGCTCCTTCCTTCAGGAACTCACTGGGTAGAAATCATTCACGAAGACATATGGAGGCTTTGAAAACCACTTAGAAAACTTAATAATTTTCTGTATAACTGAAACAAGAAATTTTTATCAACTGGGGAATTCCATCTAAAAAAGATAGTTATTCCCAGAGGGGGGAAATGTTCTCCCTCTCTCAGAAGGAAATCTTAGCGTGGTATGGTGGTGCACGCCTGTAATCCCAGTAGCTCAGAGGCTGAGGCAAGAGGATTGAAAGTTCAAAGCCAGCCTCAGCAACTTAGTGAGGCCCTAAAACAACTTAGAGACACCCTGTCTCTAAATAAAATACTTTTTAAAAAAGGGCTGAGGATCTGGCCTAGTGGTTAAGCACCCCCTGGGTTCAATCCGCGGGTACCAAAAGAAAAAAAAAAAAGAAAAAAAAAACATCTATGGGAAGACATTTTTGAGCAAGGAAATAGAAATTGTTTGGATCAGGGTCCTTTAGTATTACTTTTTATTTACAAATTAAAATTCACCTGTAAGGTGAGATATAGTCTCTGAGTAAAATCCCTGTTTATCTTTAACTTCTTTGTATTTTTAGATTAATAAACACGCATCTGTGTAGTTTTATATTTAGAAGCGCTCCCTATTCTGTAGGTTCGGCAGCATAGAAATAATGGAACGCCACACCAGTATCCCTCCTGTTCTGTTTTATATTTCCTAGATTTTAACTGTCATACTTGGTTTCCCATTGGAGATTGGAAAATCTTTTTTTTTTCTTATTTTTTTATTTCTTTATTCAGTGAAGCCCCTGAATCTTCTATTTCCTTGTGACCTTCAGGGAAATTTTAATAGAAAAGAAAATGTTAACCAAAAAAATCCCATTTATTCCTTGCTCTTGTGACTTTTTCCTCTTTGTCTTGCTCTGAAAGCTAGTTTTTCCATTTTAGGAAGAAGGAATATAAATGAGCAATTTGGTAATGTTTTTCCACTCAACATTTTCTCAACCATGATTTTGAGATAACTTTTAAATGTCTCCTAAATTTTTAAAATTTGAGATGATTTTATGCATGAGCACTGCAGTTCCAGTTTCCTTGAGCGACAGCACAGGGCAATGTCCCCATTTCTGGTGGGCTCCCAGGGGTTTACAGAACAGCACAGAGGAGCTCTGTCTGCTCCACTCTGTCCACATGGTGTCTGTAAGCACTGCAATAATCCGGGGAGAGCAGGCGGTATTTTCGTTGTTTCTGTTCTAACTCTGCTTTCGGAGCTTGATCCTGAGGACAGCACCTCTCTCCAGGTGCGTGTTCCTGGGGAGTAGAGGGAATCCTGGGTCTAACCTCTGGGATTCTGAAAGAACACTGAAGCATTTCTGGAAACCCCCTAGAATAAAATAAACTCCTCTTTCCCTTTTTTTTTTTTTTTTGTTTCTCAGTCTTTATCCTTAAACCTTTTGTAGCTTTTGATAGATTTGCTAATGCTCGATTTATAAAACTCTTTGTATCGGCACCTTTATGCCAATCACGATTCCTGTTCTTTCTTACAATCTGCCTTTCCACCCTCTTCACCACCTCCTCTTCTTTATCTTGCCCAGCCATGGGAACCTCTCAGAATTCAGTCCTGACCCCTGGTGAAGCATTTGTAATTCTCTGCCCCATCACCCTCCCTGTCCCCAATATTATAAGGAACTAATGAGGCGGGTAGCCTCATTCTGTATTCTATTCAATTGTTCACACTTTTATCTCTGCAAGTGAATTCAGAGCTTTTTGAAGGGAGAGACTGTGTTCTTCCTTATACCTAAAGAGCTGTAAGATCGTAAATTAGTAAACAGTAGGTGAATGAAATCACCGTTAACACGACCTTTTTCTTAGAAGAACTCATGAGCTCTTCATTCATCTCCGGAGCTTCTTGTCTTTATAAATGACTCCCAGACCTTTTCTCCATACCTTGCTTATGCCTGTGCTCCATTTCAACTCCTCCTCCTCCAACAGTACGGGTCACACACATCCAGCATTGTGACTCTAGTCTGGTTTCTGCTGCGACCTGTTTCCTAAGTTTTTTCTGGAGTGTCCTATCTTTCAGGCATGTGAACCCAGTGACACCAAGGGATTCCTAGGTCTCATTTCTAGGATTCCTTTGATGTGGGGATCTGAACATTTATTCATCTCTATAGATCTATAACTTTTGTCTATTTGGAGAGGTGGTATTTCTTGTTGCCTGTTGTTGTGCTGAAGTATAAATAGATTTGTGGACGAGTTAGAGTCCCTTGTGCTTTCAGTTACAGTTACCCGGGTAGCTGCATGTCTTTTCCTGAACTTCAAGAGTAATTACTACTTCAGAGTACATACTAACAACTCAAGATAGCCTCCACAGTATTTGAGAGGCATTCTGTTAGGATAAATTCTAGATAGTGGTTCTTTAGACTTTTGTGTTTCATTGATCAGAAAAATATAAAAAAAAAAAAAGGTGGGGGAGGAGATTGATATGATGTCATTAAGAAAACAACTACTGCCTATACTACTTTCATTTAATAAAACACATTTAACATCAGAAAAGTTGGGGAGATTACCCTTTAGATTGAATAAATTAAGCTTTATTTTAGAACTTTATGTTAGATTTCTTGTTGTCATTTTGCCATGTACAATGGAACTTCTGTTATGAGTCAGAACTGACGTGTGGTCCAGCCTTTGAGAATTGCTGCTCTAGACTAAGCGAAGCAGTTGGGCTGCTAGTTAGGCTCTCATGGTGCTCCAAGTTGTGAAGGACTGGCAGTTGCCTCAGTGTTCAGTCTGATACGTGGTGGACCGTGCTCTCTCCAAGACGGGCCCTTCCCCCTTCTCATGTGCTGTTCTTGCCTTGTGATTGTGAGAGGAAGGGGTATCTGTCCTCTCCTGGTGAATCTGGGCAGGCCTGTGACCACAGTGAAAGTGATTATATGTGCTCTCCAAGGCTAGATCATAAGCGGTGACATGGCTTTGGCTTAGTTCTCTTAAGATGCTTGCACTTAGAAACCAGCCTGTGGAGAGGGCCACACGGAAAAGAACAGAGGCCTCAGGCCCCAGCCCCAGGCCCAGGCCACAGCCCCCTCTAGCCAGCCACCTTCCCCAACTTGCCAGGCATAGAAGAGAGTCATCCTGAAAGTGGATTCTTCAGTCAAGCCACTGAACTGATGCTGAATGTAGCAGAGACCAACTTTCTCAGCTGAGCCCTGCCCAATTTGCAGATCTGTGAGCTAAATAAATGATAGTTGTTGTTTTAAGAGGCTCAGTTTTGTGTTCTTTTATGTAAGCAATAAAACATGCACATTTTGGAAACTGGAAGTGAGAAATTGACAAAACAACACCTAAAACATGTGACATTGGTTTTGGGATTGCATGGTAGATAGAAGCCAGAAATTTCCAGGGTGGGGTCTGAGCGAAAGCCTACCAGCCTTGAGTGGAGCTTTTACAGAAGTCTTCAGGACCTCTAGGAGGCTGCCTGGGGGAGTTTATAGGAAAGGGGAAAATGTATTAGGAGCTGGAGAAAAGGGCCTTGTTATGAGATGAGTGACCACACTGTTGTTGAAGTAATGAACCCTGATCCTGCCAAGGACTTTCTGGACAGCACGCCAGTGCCCCCTGGCTGCTTCTAAAATGTGAGAGAAGAGAGAGGAGTTGAAGAGAAGGAACATTTCAGCTTTCAAATGAACTTCAAAAGAAATATAGAGGGGTCAGTGCTTATTGGGTTTGAAAATAAAGTTGCTTCTCATTCTCTCAGACTAAGAATTGAGTTCTGAGAAAATATCAGATCTGGGGTGAGGGGGCGGGGTAGGGTGGTGGTTTATAAGGTTATCTGCTGAGACCTCAGAAATTCCTAAGATGGTGCCACAGAGAACCTCTCAGATTTTAGGTGGGCTTTTTCAGGGGAACTGGGAAGATGGTCTCTCAGAACTACATGAAAGCCAGGGCTGACTCTAAATCTCCTCCATGTTTTCCCGAGGTATGGAGATTCGGAGAATCTGAGCTCTGAAACTTGAAATCACAGGAGTCTCACCCACAGGTTAGGTGGACTGAGTGAGCCTGAGGGGACCAAGGCGGGACAGGAACTAGATGAGAACCTGACAGGGCATTAGTCAGAATGACCTGAGGCAGTGCAGCCGAGGAGAGAGTCTTAGTGCTGAGAGAGATGACGGTGACAACCTGCACAGATGAGGTGGGGGTGAGAGTGGGGGACAGCATCGAGAACTTGGAAGATGGGTGAGTTAAGTAAAGGCAGATGGGCACGTAAAGGAATAGGTCTCAGGAGACAGCTGGGAATAAGACATTAAAAAAAAGAAAGACCTCTTGGGAGTAAAAAAAGTGGTGAAATGAGATGGACATCATTACCCTAAGTACATGTATGAAGGCAGGAATGGTGTGAATCTACTTTGTATATAACCAGAGATATGAAACGTTGTTTTCTGTATGTGTAACATGAATTGTAATGCATCCCACTGTCGTATGTAACAAATTAGAATAAAAAAATGACCTCTGGCATTTACAGCAAGGAGGGGTCCAGGGGTTTAAAAGAACAGACCCAAGTCAACCGTACAAGTCTGTATAAAATAGAAAGTTGTAGAGAATATTTGGGGGGTTGCTGGGTGGATGCCAAAGTGGTGGTTATATTCAGGGTCAGGTACAGAGCTGTCAACTGAAATTCTATTTAGTCTCTAGTAACTGGGGCTTTGTCATTTTCCTTAGTACCTAAGTGCTAGAGAAGACTGAGGGCAGAGTTTGTGAGCTTCCTGCTGTGATGTTCTCCTCAGTCCCCCAGGAGAGGGTACACGGCACAGGCACAAAAGTGGACTTTGCTAGTTGCCAAGTTCAGCTCTTCTTGAAAGTTACCTATAAAATGAGGATTAATGTTGATTTAAAAAACATTTATACTAGCCAGGCGGCGTGGCCCATGCCTGTGATCAATCCCAGCAGCTGGGGAGCCTGAGGCAGGAGGATCACCACTTCAAAGCCAGCCTCAGCAACTTAGATACTGTTCTGAAATAAAGTATAAAAAGGGCCCTTGAGTTCAATTCCTGGTATCAAAAAAACCAAACCTAACCCAAACAAACAAACAAACAAACAAAACCCAAACCCAAAACAACAACAAAACATTTATACTATATTTGTTTTTAGTTAATTAGAGGCAAAAAACAGAGATCACAAAATTGGGGGATGCATTTGTTCTCCCACAGAGAATGGGTGACATTGTTTCTTTAATTTAAGGACCAAAAGCAAATGAGGAATAGGAGGGAGGAAAAAGGAAATGTGAAATATTGAACGGGAAGGAGAGAGAAGAGAAAATGGAAAAGGTGGAGTAAAAATGAGTCAGAGAGGAGACAGGGCAGGGTTGAAGGGGGTTAGGGCTTGCTATGGTTTGGATGTGAGGGGTCCCTCAAAAGCTCACGTGTGAGACAATGTGAGAAGGTCTGAGGAGAGACGATTGGGTTCTTGCTGTGACCTAATCGGTGAATTGATCCCTGGTGGGATTAACCGAGTGGTAACTGGAGGCAGCTGGGGAGTGGCGGGAGGAGGTGGGTCATTGGGGGCGTGGCTGTGGGGTATCCATTTGTATCTGGAGAGGGGCTCCTCTCTCTGCTTCCTGATCAGGATGTGAGCTGCTTCTCCCCAGCACACTCTTCCTCCATGATGTCCTGCCTCAAGCCCTGAGGAATGGAGCCTGATGTCTATGGACTGAGACCTCTGAAACCTGAGCCTCAAATAAACCTTTCCTCCTCTACAATTGTTCTGGTCAGGTCCTTTTAGTCACAGCAGTGAAAAAGCTGACTGAAAACGGGGCTGAACTGGATAGAGTTGGCAGGAGAAAAACCCTTCATCCTTGGCCATTTCAGCCAGCTGGTCAGCCAAGGAGGTCGGTTACAACAGTTGTGGTGTAGACAAGAGCTTAAGAACCACGCGCTTCCCTGGGACCAGAGGATTTAGCTTCTTCTGAATTGGGGGTGGGGACAATCATGCGGCCAATCAGAAGAAGAGCAAGTTGGCAAGAAGCCAATGGGAAGTGGGCATGGAAATGAGTCTTGCTGGCTATCGGTTGGTGTGGTGTCCCCCGCAAACAGAGGCGGGGCTGGCTTTGGGATTTTGAGAGCCTCCGTCTTGCTCTCAGCATTTAACCAGCTTGGGCTTGGCAGAGCATTACCTTTGGTCTTGGTAGTTTGGAGAAGAACTTGATTTAGGATCATTGACATTTGCGGTTTGAGGATGCCACAGACCTGAAGAGCCGCTTGGGGGACAGGTGATGTGACTTGAAGATGTAGTATTTTGAGTCCACTTCTGACTCACTCCTGGCTACACATCTGCATTATTGTGACCTGTGGACCAAACAGGTACCAAACTAGAGAACAGAGATAAACTTTAAGTATTCTTTGGGCTACTTAGAAACTTCTAGAAGTTTGTAGGTTAAGGCTAATGGTGAGGAAAAATGAAACAACGGAAGTCCTTCTCAGCACCACCCTGCGAATTTGGGTTGGCTAAGCCCTACCTCAGGGCACCAGCTGCAGTGGGGGTCGGGGGTTGAATCAGTTATTCATGTGCAAGCCATGTGCCTGTCATGGGGCACCTCTGAAGGGGGACGTCTCTAGGTCAGTCAGTGCAGTGTGATCAGACTTCACCCTCCGTCTTTCCCTTTGCTTTTACCTTATTCACTCCCATCCTCACCCCAACCTTGACTGGCTGTCACTCAACTCTGACCTTGTTTCCTATTTGCTATTTTGGATTTGGATGAAGCGCAGAGAGACAAAAGGGGTATTGGGGTTGGAGTAGAAAAATGGAATTCTAAAAGGAGTTTCACCCACAGAGAATGAAGAACCAGGTACCTTGCTCCTTCCCCTCAAAGGGCTCAATCCTCACATGTTTGTGGAGAACCTATCTTGTGCCACACCTGTGTGCATGTCCTTAATGAAAGCCAGTGTTCGGCCCAGGCCTTTGAGAAACACATTACCACCTGGTGACGACAGAAAGTGCAGGAATCAGTACAGCCCCTCTCCCACATGCATGTAGTAGTAAGAGGAAGAAACGCCAGCGCTTGCTCCAATATTCTTGGAGCAAGAGGTCAGACAGGACACAGTAATGTGTTCCTGGACAGGAGGAGAAGCACTCAGATCTGAGTTGGGACAACCTTGGACAGAAGCAGGAGGGGTGAATGGAGACCTGGCTCGCCTCATGTTCCTCTTTTGCACATTATCGCAGGTTAGTCTGTAGCAGAGAAAGTCATAACACACGTGAATCCACCAAGTTCTGGATTCCAAGGTCTGGAGAAGCAAAGATGTCGAATTCTTCCTTCTGGTCACCGAAAGAAGGCACCACACCTGACTTACTCTGCGGGAGGCCAGTTGGTTTCCTCACCACGAAGGACCGTTTCATGATGCTTATATGTGGCACTCTTGTTTTGGGAGGTAGGTTTCCTTGCCCCAGCCTGCCCTGTAGTACCGAGGATGGAACCCCTGGCCTGGCACATGTAAGGTGGGCACTGTGCCATTGAGCTTCTCCCTAGCCCTGGGCGGTGGTTTGTGAAACTCGACTTTCCTTTGGCTCTTTGAGACTTTTCTTGGTGCAGAAAGTGATCACAACCACATCAAAAGAAGAGGCCCAGGACTCTTCACGTGTGACTGGATGCTGCCAGTCTAGCCTTGCTCAGGTTTCAGTAGCATCTACTGACGTTCCTTCAGCCAGTCACATTGGCTGGGCATGGCCGTGTGGTAGGCACTGTCTCACACCAGGGGAGTGAGACCGTCCTTAGCCTCATGGAGCCCTCTCATGTGGGGACAGGCCAGCCAGGAATTACCATGCAGCATGGTAAGTATAGCCATGAAGGTACTGTCTGAGTGGCACCAAGGAGGAGAGAGAACCTCATGTGCCTGCCTGGCCAGGCCTGACCCAACCAAACCTGACAACTGGGCAAAGCCCAAAGGTACAATTTGCATAGCTGATGTCATTAATTTTGCACATTTTATTACAGCATCTGATGTGATTTTTTTTTCTTCACTCCTACCCCACTTTCCAGAGGAAACTAGGAAAGCCTTTACAAATAAAGGCTCTTAAACAATGATTAAGAATGGAATAGGTGTGGCAAATGGTATTCATGCAGATACAGTAATGCACTTGATAGCACAGGTGCTTTATCTCTGATCACAGTTCAACGCCAGCGATTAGAGAAAAGCTTCTAGACCTCGGAAAAAGAAAAATGTCAGCTGTTCAAAAATGCAGTTAGAGAAAAGCAAGCACCTTTTGTTCCTTGTCTTGTGATGGCAGTTTTCTTTATGGTTAGAGTCAGTTAAAAGTATTTCTGGCTTTTAGGAAAAATTATAGAACATACATTGAAGTAGCTTAGGATGAGCAATTATTAATAAGATGAATGATGTAGGTACTAAGACTGGATTTTCCTTATTTCTCACCTTCAGATCCATTGGTAAGATACCAATATGGTGTTCCTAATATGTCGGCTGGGTTGGCAAGTGGGGCGCTGTTGAAGCCTCAATATTTTCCAAGTTCACCTGTGAGGGATGCTACAGTCTGTGTGTCTTACACATAATAGCATTTGTAATGACCATCAGATATTCACTCACAATAATATAACACACAGAAAGGTTTAAAATAAGTAACTAGAGTGAACATTAAATCGTTTCAAAACTATAAATCGTTATTATTTTCTATTTTGAGCTTCACCCTAGCCCTGAGTGGTGGTTTGTAAAATTCTACTTTCCTCTGCCCTCTGAATTTTCTCAGTGCAGAAAGTGATCACAATTACTCTTTAAAAATTTTTTTTAAAAATTGACACTTTATGGAGTGTGGTATAATTTGATACATGAGTAATGATCAAATGAGGGTAATTAGCATTTTGAAACTGTAAAAGTTATGTTTAAATGGTGCAATTTTTTTTTTTTTTTTAGGATTCTCGAGGATGTTTTTCAAGAATTCTGAAGTCATTGTCTTGACCATTCTTTCTGTATTAGGATTTATAACAGGACAACTGGCTTACCATTTTATTGAGGTACTGTATGTATAATAAATGAGAGAATAAATTAAAGGACAAATATCAAATACAAGGTCCACTTTCATCTCATCCCCAAACATGAATGTTTTAAAAAAATGTGAACAGCTATTCAAAAAACTTCACCTAGTCTAAAATATTTGGCAAATGGAAAAACACAACCAAGGATGAATGATTAGGGAAAGTCCAGATAAACCCATAATTGGTAAGTGAGGGGGTTGGTTGGCTTCCCTGGGTTCTTGTCTCTGGCCTTCCAGCCTTGCTCAGGCTTCTTTATCTCCCCTGCAGAGGCCCCTTATAACACACAGCAGTTGTTTCCATGAGGAGGCAGATTGCATGTAAAAGCCAAGCAAGAGAAAAAAATTCATTGATTTAGTAACTCCTGATTTCAACTGCATAACAATATGATTGATAAGCATTTGCCTCTGCTTATTCTTTATTTTTAAACAATGAAGATAATGCTTTTTACCTGTCCAGGTTTGTAAGAGTCTATTGGTCATCTTAATGTACCACTGCTCTTGCTAGCTAACATCTTTTGAGTGTTTATTATATTATTTACTAATTTATTAACTAATTAAGTCCTGAATTAATACATTCATTCTTGTGGCCACTCAGTAGAAGTGGTTCTCTGTTCTTATTTGGCACACGAGGAAACTGAGACCCAGAGAGGTTAAATAATGATAGTTAATCCATTGACTAGGCCAAAATAAACTTTTTAGGAGGGAATATTTACAGCACACCAATCACTGTTGTGTTTTCCATTATGCTATGTGCAGCCTTCCTAATTATATAACCGATTATACGATTATGTATTATTTTTCTCTACTGATTAACTGAAGGATTTTTTCAGTCTTAAGCAAATTTATATGAAACCACAGGTACCTATACAGTATTGCTTTTCCTGCTTAAAGCCAATTAAAATAAATATCTAGTAGTCAAATAAAAAAAAATGCTTATCTGTGAATCACCTGAAATTATTTCAGGTATTACTGATGGTAGGCACATCACTATTTTATAAACTGGCTACCCTCCACAGGCAGTGTTCATATGGCTAAAAATTCCCTGGTAAATAGAAGACTGTATATTTGCCTCTGTATCTATCAACTGATCTATCTCTCTACTGTCTCTACTACTCTAGGACTCTGAGGCTGACCTTGGAGATAATCTCTCACTGGTTGTAAATGGGCATATTCTAAAGTCTACATGAATGGACATAGAATTGACCTAATTTCTAAGATCTGAGAATGGCAGCAAACTAATTTCTCATTTGCCTTGTATTAGGTGTATCCAGTTGTTTACCCTCTTCTAAGAACACCAAGTTTTTCGCTTTATTCTTATTTTTTGCCTTTAATTGTATTTGTGGCTGCTTTGGATGTGGATTTTTATATAGTCAAGAATGTGTTGTGGCAGGTAAGAACACATTTTGAAACAAACTGCAGTCCATTCTTGCTTATTCAAGTTGATCAAAAATGATTGTTTTATAGCAGATTCCTCATTAATGAATTAATGAATTTTGCCTTTTGTGTTGTTTTACCCTCTTCATTGTGTAGAACCACTAATTAAAGAGAGTTGGGGGGAGGGATTAATATTTGCTTAGTGACCACCAAGAAAAGGCACTAGGTAAATATCATCTCCATTTTGTACACAAGCCAACTGTGGCTCAGAAGTCATCCATCAATGTCAGGACCTGGGTTCTGGTCTCACACCTGGCTCAGCTTGGAACAGACTGAATTGGGGGACCCCTGTGCTGGTGCTGACAGTAGAAACTGAAGGGCTACAACCCTCCACCTGATGGGTGTCCAGGAAACACAGTAGAGACTGCCCTCTCCCCCAGTGGTCTGACTAACTCCCCAAATCTACACGTGTGCATTTCCTGTTTGTCACCTGGCTTCTGCTCCTATAAATTATAACTGCTTCTGGCTGTTTCTCTCCCTCCTTTTGATCAAGTTCATTTTTTCTCTTCCCATCTTTCCCCTATTTCTTATGGGGGCAGGCAGCCAAATACAGCCTGCAGGAGGCCAGCAGGCTCCCTGGGATAGGCCACCTGCAGATCTGCCCAGTTTTTCACTCTGTTCCAGGGCATGCATCAGTGGCCAAACTGAGGCAGCCACGGCAGTCCCTTCTCATCCCCGTTCTTGTGATCACAAGAGAAAGATTTTAAACAAGTCACTCAGAGCAGCAGGCATGAGTTTATTAAAGGTATGGGAAAAGGGGACACTCTTAAGAGAGAGAGTGAGTCCTCTCAGAGAGGAAAAGGACAGTGTGGCCCCCCCCCCCGTTTTATTGGTGGTTCAGGGGAGTTTAGAGAGTCCTGCTCAGGTTCACCTCTTGGATTTTGACTGACAGCTGGACAACTCAGTCCCCACTCTGCATGACAACTCTAGGTCACTGTGGCCCATGCTGACCCATCCTATATTGAACCTATTCTTGCAGATTTTATGACTGGGGACATCATTCTTATCTCCCCGAGTTCTGGGATCTGGTGTGTGTAAACTTTCAGGGTAACTTGTGTTCTCTTTAACAGCATTTCAGGCCTACGTTTCTCTTGTGGATAACAGGTTGTTTGCTGAGGAATGTAACATATCCAATTGACTTTTGCCAGGCAGTTTGCAAGTAAATTGTTGTTTATTTGTTTTTAAAAGAAAGGATATGTGGGGGGATCAGCGCAGTGGGCCCACTTTATAGGATGATTCCCTTAATTTTGTGTCCCCACTGCTCCTGTCTGTTACCTATCAAAAAAAATTTAAGGCTTAAATACACAAAATCCCCCCAAAAGCTAAAAGTCAATCAACTGATATTAATTCAAGATGTCCAGACTGATCAGGGGTGGTGATGGCCGAAGACTGGGTCTGCTGTGGCAATTCCTTAATGTGACAAAGGAGTTTCCTGCGTCCTCCTTTCACAAAAAAATTTCTCTGTGTGGGGCCAAGGTGTTTGGTCGCTGTTTTGCCACCACAGAGCTGCTTCTGTAGTTGGTCTGTCAAACCCAGCCACAGCTGTCCCAACCAGGTTCGTGTAACAGTTTGCTCTATCTTTGCCATGCCATCCCTGGGCACGCCATCTTCACTAGGAGGGGATTCCATCTGAAGAACGCGCTTTCTTGGCTTTTCTGTGAGTGGCAGATCTTTTCCGTGTTTTCTTCTGAGATTGCAGCGATTCAGTCACATCTTCAGCTCCACTTCTGTTTCCAGCTTTCTAGCTCTTTCTATTGCCTCTGTAGTCTTGAGCCCCTCAAAGTCATCCATGAGGGTTGGAATCAACTTCTTCCAAATTCCTGGTGGTTGACATTTTGACCTTCTCCCACGAGTCACAAACATTCTTAACGGTGTCTAGAACGAGGAGTCCTTTCCAGAATGTCTTCCGTTTCCTTGACCCCGAGCCATCTGAGGAGTCAGTGGCAATGGCAGCTGTAGCCTGATGAGCTGTATTCCTTAGATAACGAGACTTGAGAGTGGAAATTGCCCCTGGACCCATAGGCTACAGAACAGGCGTTGTGACAGGAGGCATGAAAACAGCATTAGTCTCTGCACTCTCCATTAGAGCGCCCAGTGACCAGGTGCATTGCCAAAATGCAAAAATATTTTGAAAGTAATCTTTTTTCCCCAAGAAATAGGTCTCCATAGTGGGCTTAAAATATTAGGTAAGTCATGTAAATAGATGTGCTGTTGTCCAGGCTTGGTTGGTTTATTTTAGAGGACAGACAAAGTAGATTTAGTGTGATTCTTAAGGGCACCAGGATTTTCAGAATGGTCAAGGAACATTGGCTTCCCCTGCAAGTCACCAGCTGCATTAGGAGAGTCAGCCTGTCCTTTGAAGACTTGAGTCCAGGCGTCCACTGCTGTTCTTTAGCTATAAAAGTCCTAAATGGCATCTTCCTCCAGGGGAAGGCTGTTCCACCTCAACTGGAAATAATGCTTGGCCAGGCCGTCCTCAGCAATGACCTTGGCTAGGTCTCTGGGTGACAGGCTGCAATTTCTGTGCCACACTTGCTGCTTCACCAGCAGCAGCAGTTATGGAGACAGCTCCTTCTTTTAAACCTTATGAACCAACCTCTGTGGTCTTCAAGCTTCTTCCTCACCTTTCACAGCCTTCATAGAATTAAAGAGAGTTAGGGCCTTGCTCTGGTTGGGCTTTGGCTAAGAGGAACCCGGTGGCTGCTGTCATCTTGTGTACTAACAGGGTCTCCTTATCAAGAAGAGACTGCTGGATTTCTTATCTTTTACTGTTCAGTGCAGCAACCCTTCTTATTTCCTTCAGGAACATTGCCTCTGCATTCTCAATTTGACTGTTTTGCACTAAGAGGTCCAGGTTCCAGCCTACTGTGGCTGTTCAAGGCCTTCTTCCCAAAGCCAGATCATTTTCCAGCCTTTGATTTAAAGTGAGAAGAGGTGTGAGGTCCTTTCACTTTACAGGCCTACTTTCAGTATTGCGGGATCTCAGGGAATAAAAGGGCCCAGGGAAGAGAGATGGGGGGATGGTTGGCTGGAGTAAGAGTCAGCACATACACATCACTTATTGATTAAGTTTGTCGTCTTGTTTGGACAGGGTTGGTAGCACCCCCAATCACAATAGTAATATCAAAGGTCACCATTCATAGATAACCATAACAGACCAGAAATAATGGAAAAGAATGAAATGTTTTGAGAAACCCCAGGATGTGACATAGACTCACGAGGTGAGCCCCTGCTATTGGAAAAATTGCTATTGCAGGGTTGCTATGGACCTTCAGCTGGTAACAGCAACAAGCAAACCAGCGTCTGAGAAGCACAGAAAACAAGGCACGCCTGCCGCTTCCTCAAATGCAGCTTCCCGTTTACCACTTTTACTTTAGCACTGTCTAATCTACTGTTTAATCTTAGTGATATTTTCAATCTTTATTCTTTTCTCCCTTTTTTTAATACATGCATTTAAAATTACAAATCTCCCTTTAAGAAGGCTTTAGTTGCATCCCTCTGGTTCTGATGGCAATTTCTCCATGAAAAAAGTATTTAAAAACTTTAGAGAACTGGAATATTGCTAAAAATGTTCAACTTGCCAAGGGCTTCCTCTAGAATTTAAAAGACCTTGATGGCTCTGTAACCATTAGAATTGAACTAGTAGATAAGAATCGCCTAAAAAGGAAAATATGAGACTCGGACTATTTTAAATGCAAGACCTGTGATTCAGTAAAAAGATAACCCCAATATTATGTTTTATAAACAACAATATAAGGGGGAATGCTCCCATATTTTTATTTTAAAGCCTGGTTAGTCTGAACACCAAAATTGGAGAAGAATGATAAGAGAAACTTCATGGGCCAATCTCATTCACAGAAACCTACTTAGAAGAATTCTACACTATTTTTTTTTTGGCACAATGTATCTAGGGACATAGGGATAATAAAAGTATGTTTGAGGATGAGGCCCTGCGCTTGCCTGGCACACTTGCGACTCTAGGTTCAAACCCAACACCCACAAACAATAACCGCCACCGAACAATCAAACAGAATGATCCTATTGTGTTTATTTAAAACTATAAGGTTAATTTAACATTTAAAAAAAAATCTCAATGTAATTCATGTTCTTAAGAGATTTATGTACAAAAGTCATGTGATATCACCATAAATATAAAGAGAGCATTTGACAAAATTGACATTCTTTTTTAAAAAATATTTATTTTTCAGTTACAGGTGGACACACAATATCTTTATTTCATTCTCATGTGGTGTTGAGGATCAAACCCAGTGGCTTATGCATGCTAGGCGAGCACTCTACCACTGAGCCACAAGCCCAGCTCCCAAATTAGCATTCTTTATGATAAAAATAAGGGACAGAAAACTTCCAAATATGTATAACTAATAGCCTTGGAGAAACAACAAGGAATGAGGCAGTAATACCATAGAAAGAACAAAGAACCAGGAAGAGATCTTGAAAGTTGAAAATATGATGGCTGAGCTCAACTAATTCAGTGAAAGAGATCAAAGGGAGAGCTGCAGAGACTCACAGAAAATAAAACAAAAGATAGAGGTGGAAAATGAAAGGACTGAATAACAACTTTTTTCCCCCTGAGGGATAATTTTGGAAAATAAGTTTCTTGTATTTACAGAAATAGAAAATTGCATAAATTTCTGTATCTCAAGCATTTCAGGAGTCTCCTGTCCCTGTTGCAGAGTAGAGAGGAGGGGAGAAAAGGGTTGGTTACTGGGTACAAAGTACAGTTAGACGGGAGAATTAAGTTCTAGCACAGTAGGATGCCTCTAATTAACAAGAATTTATTATATATTACAAAAAAGAAGAGTACAGAGGAATTTATGTGTTCCTAACACAAAGCAATGATGAATTGAGGTGGTGGATATGCTGATTACCCTGATCTAATCATTACACAATGCATACTTTGTATCCCATAAATATGTATGGTTATTATGTGTCAATTAAAAATAACAAAATGAAAAAAATAGGTATATAAAACCAAGATTTTATTCTTAGAACAAAAAGCAGTCATGCCATCTTTGGATATTAAATCTAATACCTTATTGTGAATTGGTTCACAGGTTTTGTTAACTGGATTTATTAGCTTTTCTATATCATTCATCATAATTGGATATGTGGTTCTGAAATTCAATTCGGAGTCATGGGATTTTCAATCTTGCTTACTCTTGAGCATCACTCTCAGCATTACGGATCCCCTTCATTCTGTGAGCTCACTAAAAACTCTTGGTATGTCACATTTATTTCTTTTTCTCACCTTGAAGATAAGAGGGTACTTTCTTTTCTTTTGATTATATTTTCCTTGCATAAGTGGTGCATTGAGCAGAGCAGGAATTGGTGCTCTCGTCCTTGAGGGCAGGGCACTGTTGGACTTGAAGGAGGCAGAGCAGAGAAGGCCGTCACTGAGGAGCTGAGGCAAACAGGGTTGGTATAAAATTGAGGGAAAGGTGACCCTCCCGGAAGGTGACAAAAATTGGCCTTATTGTTCTCCGCCACTGAATTCTAAGCCACAAGGTAAAGATTCCACATTGGTGAGTTTGTTTACCAATGAAGAGAGAAAATACAGACCCCTTTCCAAGGCCTTGCTACCTCTCATTAGAACTGGTTCCCTGGTGGGCTGGGTGGTGGTTCAGTGGCACAGAGCTTGCCTTGCATATGTGAGGCCCTGGGTTCCATCCTCAGCACCACATAAAATAAATAAAATAAAGATATTGTGTCCATGTATACTAATAAAAATAAAAAACCCAACAACAACAAAAAAATGGTACCCCTTTGAAAGAACTCAGGTTGGGCAGCTGAAGAGAAGAGGTAAAGATTTAGGTTGGCACTTCAATGTATTTTTTCAGTAAGTGCTTATTTCCAAGAGGGTTTGGGGTCTTGTGTTTTTTCCCATACTACTCAGTGAGGTGAAAGGTGATCTCATCCTGAAATATCCTCCTATGGTCATGTTTATTAACATAGCAGTAAAAACATGAAATAGAGGCTATGGTTACTGGTTTTGACTCACAAATGTTTTCCTAACTAACTTCAAAGCACTGGTTGTATTTAGAGGAAACAGATCACCTTATGACTGGAGGAGAAACTTCCTGGCTTCCCGTGCGATATTCCCATTTTTACACTCATTGTACCTGGGACAGCAGAGAAGGGTGTTAGATACTCCTGGCGGTAATGTTCTAAATTGCTACAAGGTAGTTTTATTTCTCCAAGAGTCTGATCCTGTGCTCTAAATTTTTCTCTTTGTACACTTAAAAAAGATTTTGAAGTTAAAATAGCTGTGTATGGGTTGTGGACTCAGATGATTTTTGTTCTTTCCCTTTTCTAAATTTTGCAATGAACCAATATGTTAGTTCTACAACAAAGACACTGAAGAGTAGTTACTATCAAGTTTTAATGTTAAAAACAACTACAAATCAAACATACAACCTCATTTGCCAAACTTCTACTTGCCCCTCATCATCTCACTGAATCTGGGAGAAGAATTAAAGGATCTCCTCACTAGATACATCCATGTGCTGACTCCAGTCCTGAGGAAGCAGGGGTTTGTACCTTCGTCACAGACTTGGCAGCAGGTGGTGAGGGCGGCTGAGCTTGCCTTTTTTGTGGGCCATGATAATGAAGCAGGAAGAGAGACACAACCAGCTAAATATTAATCCACAGTCACACCTGAGCGCCTCTGACATTGACCCTGAGCTTTGGAATATTCTGGTGTTTTACCTCCAGATCAAACATCGAAAAGCAGAGATTTCCTTTCTTTTAAACTAGATATAATGTCCTTAGAAATAATAATATAAAATGACTTTTCTCTACATTTACTCAATTACATTTTAAAACCTCAAAGGAAAAAAAATCAGAATGTTAATTAGGTCTTGTTTTCACTTAAAAAAAATTGTCGCCTAATGTGATCAGTTTAGGTCTTGATGGATTTTATTAAATATAATATTAAATATAATTATAAAAATATATATGATGGATTATATTAAACAGCTGCTTTTAAAATGTGTATAGTTGTGCAATCCTTTCTCTATCAATTGGCCATTGCATTAGGCGCATAATGTGCTACCCTGGATCACATGTTCTTGAGTTTGGGGCTTCTGCTGTCAAGTAAAAGAAGTCCAGGGCTGGCCCCAGTCGCAGTTCCCTAACTCACCAAAGACGGGGGGGCCCTCTAGTTTTATACCCCTGTGGCTCAGGTGGAATTTACCTTCCTGCCTGAAGCAACTAAAAAACTGGACAAAATGTATGAAAAAATAGTTCTTAGATATTGGCCATCAGATGACGCAGGACAGTGATTCCTCTGGGGTGGGGGAGAAAAAGGGAGAGAGACCCATGGACTCTGGATGGCTCTGGCCTCCGTTCACCACCTGGCAGGAGTTTTCAGGTGTCAGTGGGGGGAGGATAACCTAGTTGGAGCCTGGTAGTTTCTCTAAGTTGAGCAGTGCTGGAGCCGGGAGTCCAGTGGGGCCAAGGCAGCCTGAGTTCACAGAGACCATAGCTGCCTTGAAGGATCTTTGACTGGGTCAGTATCAGTGCTTGCATGTAAGCAGAGTGCCCAGCACTGGGGAGAGAAAAGGGAGTAACTCCCGTCAGGTTTCCTTCCACACAGTATAACTCATGGGATGTCAGCGAGAGGCCATGGAAGGTTATTGCCGCCGTAGTGGGAAGGATTAGTTTTAGACTAAAGGCTGCTCTGGTGCTCACAACTTAAAAGCAGGACTCAAGTGTTCACATTGTTTCCAAGTAACTCAACTATGTTCTTATGCTCAAGAATATTTATAGAAATAAATGCACAGTACCTAAGAAGGGGAAATGTACAAGTCTGAAATCTAGTAAGAATTACCCAGCATGAAAAATAATCAGGAAAAGAACACAGCAATAACACAGATGATAGTTAGTCCAGACATTAGAACTGTTATCCCAAGCTGGACCTGCAGCTGCACCCCTGTCCCAGCTACTTGGAAAGCCGAGGCAGGAGGATCACTTGAGCCCAGGGGTTCAAAGCCAACTTGGTAAACATAGCAAGAACCTTTCTCTCAAAAAATAGTTATTACAGACATATTCCAAGAGTTCAAAACTAAAGGAAAGGTTGAGCATAGTGTAGAACCTGCTCATACCAGATTATAAGGGCCAATTGTTAAATAATCAGGAATTTTGCAAACACAATTATTAATCATTGGTAGCTTAGAATTGGCTGAAGTGTGTACTCATGGAATTGGCAAGCACTGCCAATTGGGCATTTTTAAATTTTGGAGAGCTAGTTTATTAGCCCACCAGTCTCTTTTATGTGTACATAAAAGAGACCTAAATCAAGCTTCTAGAGATGAAAACCACACTGTAGATAGATTAGACACCGAAGAAGACAGGTTAGTGAACTTGAAGACACCACAATAGAAACTACCCAAAATGAAGCGCAGAGAAAAATGAACTGAGAGGACAAGTGAACTGAGTATTGGTGTGGGACAACTACAGGTGACCTGGTATACATGTCTCAAAAGAGGAGAAAGAGAGAAAAAGGAAAAAACAAAAATATTTGAATAAATGATAAATAAAAATTTTCTAAGTTTCATGAAAACTAAAGCCATAAGTTGAAGAATTTTAATAAACCCCAAGTCTAACACAACACACAAACACACACACACACACACAAAACTACACCAGGGCACATAAAAATAAATCCCTTAAAACCAGTTTTGATAAAGAGAAAAAATTTAAAACAGCCTGAGAAAAAGATATTTTACATACAGAGGAACAATTATAATAAAGAAAATCTCTTCAGAAACCAAGCAAACCCAAGAACAGTGCGGCAACATTTTTAGAGTACCAAAACATCACTCCCAGATTAAAATTCTACACTCAGTGAAAACAACTTACAGTGAAGGCAAAATACTTCCTTAAACGTATGGTAGCTGATAGAATCTCTCAGCAGCAGCTTGCACCGCCACTACCACAAAAAAAAAAAAAAAAAAAAGAGGTACAGGAAGTCCTTCAGGAAGAAAGTGGTTATCAGATAGAAATTTAGAATTCGATATTCAAGCCCCTGGTAACCTCTACTCCATTTTTGGTGTGTATCTATGTGTCTGCTCTGGACAATCATATAAATCAAACCATACAATATAGTTGTCCTCCCCCATCCATCAGGGATACATTCCAAAACCCTTAGTGGGTACCTGAAACCATGCATAGTACTGAAGCCTATAAATACAATGCTTTGCCTTATACAACTATCATAAAAATTTATAAATTAGATTAACAATAACTAATAATGACTAGAAAAATTGTAACAATATATTAAAATAAGTTATTTAAAACATAGGAATTTCTGGAATTTTTCCACTTAATATTTTTGGATCATAGTTGCCCTCGGGTGAATAAAATTATGGAAAGCAAAGCCTCAGATGGTGGGGGGTGGGGGTGTGGGGACTACTGTAAGAGGCTCTGTGTCTGGCTTCTTTCACTGAGCATAATGCTTCACGGTCCTCCGAGTTATAACACAAGTTGGTAGGTACTTCATATCTTTCTGTGGAGAGAGAGACCGCATGTGTTTATCTACTCATTAGCCAATGAACGCAGACTTGCTCCTATTTTCTGGCTATGATGAGTCAGCTGTGACAAATGTCCACATACAGACCTTTGTGTGGACTTGCATCTTTAAGTTCTCTTGCGTATCTACCCAGGAAGAGAACTGCTGGATCATACTTTGTACTCAGCAATGATATTCTTTTGGGGTCTGATTCATGTGTATTCAGGTTAAATGGAGAGTCCTAAGATTTGTCTCATCTTGAAGCTCGGGCATGGTGGAGGCATTGGCCAACACAAGGAGTGCTGTTGTCATGTTCCTCTGTCCCTGGAAATTCAGAAGGCACAAAGGAAAAATTTAAAATGACGACTGTGATTGTCTTAGAGACCCATCCCACTCATGGCTGTTTCCTCCTTCTGTTCTTTCTTTTTCATTTAATTTTTTTTTTTTAGTTGTAGGTGGACACAGTACCTTTATTTATTTATTTTTTACGTGGTGCTGAGGATCGAACCCACATGCCACACGAGCGTGCTACCACTGAGCCACAACCCCAGCCCCCCTCCTTCTGTTCTGTCAATTTCCCTCTCTCCTCTTCCTTCTCTTTGTTCCCTGAATAAGGGCATCATGTTTACGTACCCCAGTAGTTTATATTCTTTATTTCCTTTTCCAGGCCTTTCTAAAATGTACATTGACATGATTAGAGGAGAATCATTGATCATTTGTAGTATTGCCTGCATTTTTTTTGGAATTTTTCGGGTCAGCTCAGAACAGCTTACCATGTTTACAGGTAGGACCATTTGGGGGGTCTGTACATCTCCTAAAGTCCTTCTTACTGAAATGAAAATGCTTCCAAGATGTCTCTACTGCTCTCCCTATACTTTACTCTTGAACCAATTAAAATGATGTATTGGTTAACAAGAAAAAGATGCCCATTTATGTGTTTTCTTGGTCAGTATAGGGCAAAGAACATTGAAAAAAATATTTTATCTCCCTTGAAATGCATATATATACATATATATGGGGGGGCTGAGGGGTGGTTCAGTGGTAGAATGCTTGCTTCACATGTGTAAGGCCCTGGGTTTGATTCCCAGCACTGTGCTTGCATGTGCGCGTGTACACACACATGCCCACGCACACACACGCCCACGCGCACACACGTGCCCACGTGCACACACGTGCCCACATCACAATTGCATCATTTGGTGCAGATTTGCTTCTTACCTGGATCAGTCTGCTCTCAGTGAAAGGATGTTAAGCGTTGGCTTGGTCCTGGATTTGGGCCTGAGGGTGAAAGCCGAGTGGTCCAGCAGTACCAGGGAGAGGAGTGCCAGACCTGTGTGGCTGACCATCACTGAGGTGTGGGGCGGGCTACCTGGCTATTTTCCAGATGGGGTACTAGTAAAGAGGAAAGGGGTGAAAGAAAGAGCATGGAGAGGAAAGGGTGTCCTCCTCATCTCTGTTTGTGGCCACTGCAAGAGGAGGCAATTCTCGACAGTGGTGGGCAGCCCGTGGTTGGGGCACGTCCCCATGAAGACACCAGAGGCATTTGCCGGGGACCATTTTTACTGTTTAGGACTTTGTTGTTCAGGACTACCCTGACACACACCCGCCTACTGCCACTCGTACCTCAGTTAATGAAAATTTCACCTCTCCATTTCTCAAAAGCTCCCGGGCTGGAGCAGGGGTCACAAACCGACTGCAGTTTGACAGGACCCTGGCTAGGTTTCATTTGGCCTTGACATGTTTTTTTTTTTATTAATTGGAATTGCTTCTCTCTTTTTCCTCTGATGTTGGGGATCAAAATCTAGGGCCTCACACCTGGTAGGCAAGAGCTCAGTCACCAAGTTGCATCCCCAGCTGGTTGTCCTTTGTTGGAGATTCACATGCCCGGGTTTTCACAGTTACACACTTTGCCTGACTCTTGAGGATGTGTGAACCTTCTTTCCCTGGGTGAGTGAACCTCAAGCTGCAGACTGCACAGGAAGGACATCCCAACAGAACCGCTTTCCTGGGACACTCCCTTCTGCTGAAGAACGAGATCTCCACAAGAAATCTCAAGCACAAACCAAAGTGCCAAGGGTAAAAGAAGCCAAAGTGACAGCTCAGCGCTCTCTTTCTTTTTCCTGTAGAGTTACATATCATTGTGGGACTCAGCTTGGACATTTTTGGAAGCATAATCTGTGGATACTGGTGTGCAAGAGTCATCCAGTTTATATTGACTGACATTTTTAGCAACACACTGACCAATGTCATCCTCTGCTTTTCAATGGTGTATATGACTTTCTACGTGGGTAAGGCAAAAATAAGTACAAAAAATGCTTTCATACTCTTTTTCTTCTTTTGTATCTGATTCTGATGTTTTTAATGTGCTATTTGAAGGTTTTTTTCAACCTGGGGCTGTTGGGTTTTGGGGATATTCAGACATTCTTCATGGTTGGTATTTTTGCCTCAGACTAGATTCACCCATTTGTTTAGAGCCCAGGGAATTCCCACTGTCGTTAGGAAGGCAAAAGCAAGACAGGATTCGGGGTTGGGGGGACTGTGGTCAAGGAAGCCCTGAGATGGACCTGCAGCCCTGGCCCGGGCAGCAAGTGTCCTAGAGGTGCTCAGCACAGATCGCAAAGCCGGTCCTCAACTGGGTCAAATCTGCTCGGTTTTGGGCAGCTTGCTAACTAAGAATGGTTTTTACATCATAAGATGGCTTAAAAAAGAACAAAAAGAAAGAAAAATATTTTATGGCGTGTGAGGATTGTGTGAAATTCGAATCTCAGTGTCTAGACAAAGTTATTTGAATACACATTCATTTGTTTGCATATTATCTATGACTGGGTTTGCGTTACAGTGCCTGAGTCAAGTTGTGACAGGTGCCTGAATGGCCCTCAAAGATTAGATATTTACTATTTGGCTCTTTACAGAAAAAGTTTGCTAGCTTCTGATCCTATCCGGCAAATCCTCTGAAGCTGCACTGTAAGGAAAAAATACCATTCTCAAGTCCCTCTGCCCCAATTCTTCACCCAAGATAAAGTTCCTCAGTGTGCAGAGTTACATGCATTTGTTTTACTTATTCATTTTCTCTCCCCAGTGGAATATTTTGGAATGTCAGGCATTGTTGCTTTGGCCACTGTAGGACTGAATTTAGATTCCTTAAGCTTCAAGCCGAGGATGGAGTTCATAATCAAGAAGTAAGTTTCCTGTTTTGCACGTGGTATAGAGATCATGGAAGGTGGACGCTTCACTAGACTCCCTGTAGGAGCTCTGAGCCAGCTGGCATCAGAGGTGTGTGCCACCACGCCCAGCAACAGAGCACTGTAAAACGTTGTCTGTAGAACAAGTGATGAAAGCAAGTGCCTTCACTCAGCCGAGAAAGACGGGCATAAGGCAGATGTGTTTGTGTAAAAAAGAAAATAGTTTTAAAATGCATTGCTTACAATGGCATCCTTTTCCTTCGCCCTAGGTTCTTGATCATATTTTCCTCTATGTACCACCATTTGATATACACTTTCTTCGGCATTGTGGTTGGATGTGGAGAAATCAAGTATTTTAGTTTCCGCACCGTAGTTTTCATGTTCATCTTATTTGTGACAGTGAATCTTGTAAGGTAATGATTATATTTTATTTATTTATTTAATGATTATATTTTAAAGCTTGTTTCACTGAGCTTAGATTCTTTTTTAAAAATTTGTTTTTCAGTTACACGTGACAGTAGAATGTATTTTGATGTATTACATATACCTGGAGTATAACTTCCCATTCTTTTGGTTGTACATGATGTGGAGTTACACTGGTCGTGTATTCATATATGAACAGAGGAAAACTATGTCCAATTCATTCTACTGTCTTTCCTATTCTCATCTCCCTTCCTTTCCCTTCCTTCCCCTATGTTTAATCCAATGAACTTCTATTCTTCACTCTCCTCCATACCCTTATTGTGTGTTAGCATCTGCGTATCAGAGGGAACATTCAGCCTTTAGTTTTGGGGGATTGGCTTATTTAACATAGCATAATATTCTCTACTCCATCCATTTATTGGCAGATACTGTCATTTCATTCTTGTTTATGGCTGAGTAATATTCCATTGTGTATATGTACCACAATTTCTTTATACATTCATCTATTGAAGGGCACCCAGATTGGTTCCGTAGCTTAGCTATTGTTTATTGAGCTGCTATCAATACATGGGGCTGTGTCACTATACTATGCTGATTTTAAGTTCTTTGGATATAGACCTAGGAGTGGGATGACTGGGTCAAATGGTTGTTCCATTCCAGGTTTTCTGGGGAACCTGCTTTCCATAGTGGTTGCACCAATTTTCTGTCCCACCATAAGCTTAGTTCTCGAGCCCAGAATTGGGAAGCAGCAGGTGGGGAGTGTTTCTTTTCCAAGGTTTCACCTGTGAATTGAGAGAAGGTGGACCGCCAGCAGCAGCCTCACTCCTGAGCCTGCCAGGCATGAAAGTTCATGGCCCCATTCCAGTGGTTCTCCTGCGTGGGGGCTCTGGAGGTGAGATAGGAAGTGGTTTAACAAGCTCTCCGGGGGGTTCGGACAGGTTCAGGTGTGAGCACCACTGGACTAGATTAATGGCTCTTAACATTTTTGTGGACTTTCATCATCGTTTTTTTTTTTTTTTTTTTTGTAATCCGTCCTTAGGATAAAGTCATTTATGGAGCACTTTCCATGTATAATTTGCCATTAGTGTGAGTGAAGCCCTGTGAGACAGGTGTTTCTCATCAGACCTCAGCTGAAGCCCAGAGACTCCAGATCCAGCCCAGCATCTACCTGTGGGCACATGGTCTGGGATTGGGATTTAAGTCTGATCCACGAGGCATGCTTCCAGAATGCTGCTGCCTGCTCCCGAGAGCTGTGTCCTCCGTGGGACTCCAGGGCGGTGCCATTTCCACACAAGGCCATGGCCAGGGGAGCTTGGGTTGTAAGATGTTCTCCTGGATTCTCCAGGGGCACCGTGTGCAGCCATCGTCCTGCCCGCCCTCTCCATCCTCTGCCCCGTCCGTTCTGGGCCTGGTCTTGGTGCCCACCTGCTAGACCTATGTGGCTGTCCAACCAGTAGTTATCTAATATTATCTTTTCTCTGCTTTCCTATCTGGACAACTTTAAAAAAACCTGAGTTGGTCATTGCTTCCTAGAATAATTTGTGTGTTTATGTTTATTTCCAAGGGCAAATTCCACCTCTCACCCTTGTTAGCTTTGTCACTATGTCACTTTGAGCACTTACTTAAGTTCCAGTGTACTTATCTAAAGCACCATATTTGTTGGCTTCTAAGTTGAAGGACCACTTATTTCCCAAGGCACGTTTGCACAGCTCTGCAACCCAAGGACTTAAAGTGGAACTGGTTGAACCAGTATCCTCCAACCCCAGACCAAAAAGTTAGAAGAAGAACGGTGTCTGGATGCTACCCTCAGTTTGTGGGACTGGAGAGGGGGATGGCAGAGAGCAGATGTGGGCAGAGAAACCCTAACTGTAAGCAGAGGTGACTGACTTGCCATTTTTCCAAAGCCTGAAGAATTCTTGTAGGTGTGGAGTCAGGGACTCAAAAACCTTCAAACTGGAGTAAGCATTCTGGGGCCATGTGAGGTGAAGACTGGGGTGTGGATGGATAGCTACCAATGCTTTCTGTTCAAATCCTTCCATTGCTTTGAAAGTTCTTTCTCATTCTGAGAAAATAAGGACAGATATATTATAACAATAACAACAACAGCAACTAACTTTACTGAACATTTATTATGTGCCAGGCACAGGACCAGACTCTTGGACTTGCAATACCTCCTGTAGTTTTCAGTGCCACCCTTGCACACAGTCTGATTATTACACTCATCTTCATCTGAACTATGGTGCTGATATTCTCTTGGCACGGATTCCCTCGGGATCCTATAGAGAAATGACCTAGATAGAAAGAAGGCACAAGTTGAAATGATTTGTGTGACATTTAGTGGATGATTCTATGGAAGCTAAGGAAAATTTTGGTTGGATTAAGTTTATTCATGTAGCTACAATATGTCTTCCCATTCCGGATTCTGAATCCAGTCATTTTATGACCCTTCAGGGAATAGATGATCTTGTCAACGTTCTTTGAAGAGGTCTCCATGCCGGCATTTACCACCCACATGCAAATAGAACACAATAGTGTTAATGGTAAATCATTGTATGTATACATGGAACTCCGAGCATTATTTTCAAGACTTGGTATTACACAGAAAATTTAGATAGATTTGTTTAGTCCCAGAAAGCTTGAATGACTTTCCAGTAAACTGTGTCATCTCTCTTTCTTGAAAAATTTAGGATTGAGTAGATGGTTTCGTCTGTAAGTGACATTCATATGTGAGGTGTGATTTATTCGTTTTTCAATGTTTTCTGTCCACAGGTTGCTTACTGTTATTTTTGTGAGCCCGATTTTGATGCATTCCAGTTATGAGTACAGTTGGCGATGGGGAGTTGTCATCACGTGGTCTGGAATTAAAGGAGTTTTTAGCTTACTTTTGTCTCCTGATATTTATAATCTGGCTGATCAAAAAGCAGCGGCACCACAAATGGTAGGGAAAAAAGAATCGCGTCTCATGGTTACTAGTATTTATGCACTTTTTCTTATCCTGTGGCACTTGTTACTATACTCAGATAATAAAGTTAACTGGTTTTGAATTAGATTTTTTTAAAATGCATCCTTTTAAATAGAAGGGACTCAGAGGAAAGTTCTTGAATGTTGACATTGTGACAGGGACCGGTGGTCATGTGTTTAGGACAGGGGTGCTAAGGAGACTTGCCTTACCGTCCTGACTCCACCAGTCCTGGTCTGGGTGACCTTGCAGAAGTTCCCAGCCTTGCTGAGCCTCAATTTCCAGTTGAGGCTGGAGATGATGCTGACCCTTTATACATGCTCCATAAATGTCGTTAACTATACAAATGCTCTTTTTCAATTGATGTCAGAAAGCATGGAAAAAAATAATGTCTTTATGGAGAGCATTCCCATCCCTACATCTGTCAGAACAAGAATGGAAATGCTGGTGAAGTATACTAAGGCAAGAAAGATTTTAAATAGTGTTGCATTAAGAATTGTTATCACGTGGTCTGGAATTAAAGGAATTTTTTAAGAGGAAGTGCTTTTCTTGATGGAGTATCATATTCCTCACCACATCTATCCTGAAGATTTATAAACGTGTTGGAGTTCCCGTAAACCTGTGGCTTGTCCTTCCCTACTCCAGAGGAAAATTATAATAACCAACATTTCAGCTCCTTTGATTCCCTTATAAGCAATGAATTGGCTTAAAACCAAGTCGACAAGACGTTAACTCGCATTTGGGTACCATTTCATAGTGTTTCCTAACTCTGTCTGATGTGAAGAATCCTCTTGGCTCTGCGATCTGTAATCACGATCTGCAGAATCAGTATGTTCACCAGGCACACGAGGGGACTGTTACCAGTCAGATGGGAAACACCCTGGAGAGATCAACTCTGTCTTACAGTGAGGGGCTCAGAGGGGCTAACTGGCCTCAATCACATGGTTAATAAATGGCAAAGCCCAGGCTTACAGAGGCACTTGTCTATTTTTTTGTGTTTGGTGCCTCTCCAAACTGCACCACAGCTCCAGCCTGCTCCCTCACGGCCTCTCAGTAGCCACGGTGAATGCTGATAGCAGGTGTATGTCCCTGTCCTGCCTGGCTGCTGGGTGTCTCCCCATCCTGCATGTGTACAGGACGTGTACAGCCACGTCTGTGATGGCTGAAAGCTCTTCTCTCAGTGTCCTTATCTGGCACAACCTATTACTTTTCCTTTGTTCACATTCTTCCTGGTATAATTTCTTCCCTGGTATATCGTGTTCAAACAGTGTCCACAAAACTGACCTTTTGTCTCAGCTTATTTACTGGAGACAGTGTAAAGATTAATGATAAAAGATTAAGATGGAATTTTGTTGGTGGTTAAATGAGCAATGCTTGCCTTTTGAAAACTGAGGTAATATTTTCTTTCTAATCATCTGTATGCTTTGTTTTTAGTTTATTTTCTATGTACAAGTAATATCGTTATTGACTATGGCAATAAATTCATACATGATGACTTTCTCGGCTAGGACATTAGGTAAAGTATATGCATAATCGTTTCCTAAAGGGGGAGAAAAATGCAAATAAGTTATTGTTGAGGGTAATGCAGATATTTCTTATGAAATTCGAGGAACTGGTTTAGAGGCCAGTTATTTTCATTTACTCAATATCTTTGTTAATAACAATTAATAAAGATGCGGTGTAATTGTAATATTGGTTCATCTGGTTTAGCAGAAGCCAAGTGAACAGAGGCTTAAATAAGACACAGGAATCTCTTTTCCCCTCACTGCAGAATCCAAAAGAGTGGGATGGTTCTGCTGCACCAGGTCATCCAGGGGTCCAAGTTCTTCTGTTTCTGTTGCTCCTCTGTTCTGTAGGGTGTTCCTCTAGTCTGCAGGGCAGGAGATTGCTCATTACCACCTGTCTATTATCCAAGCAACTAGAAGAGGAAATGGGGATAGGTAGGTGGGTCGGGGGTAAGCATCTTTCTTTTAAGGGTACAATCCAGAACTTAATATCTATATAACCAGAACTTAATATCCAGAATTTAATATAAATATCCAGAATTTAATAAATTTATCCAGAACTTAATCATGTGGCACACATTCATAAGGGAAGATGGGGAATGTCATCTTTTCCTGGCTGGCCACGTATTCACCCCCAGTTCAGATATCCTATTGGTGACAGGAAGAAGGAGAGAATGGACATTGGAAGACAAGCCCCAGGCTCTGCTACCGTTGTCTATTTCTAATAGGAATTTGAGCTTGATAATAGTAATTAGTGTACGTGTAATTAAATCCAACAGGAACATTTTCTGTTATCTCAAAGGTGTTTGAAACTTGTTTATCATAAAATGCATAAATACAATAAAGTTACAAGAGACACATCCAGTAGAGAAATCCAGGATCAGATGGCCGGCAGCAGTGGTCAAGGGGGAGGGAGCTGGGGTGGGATTAGGCAGTCCTATAGGAGGGTCGGCTCCTCAGCTCTGCTGGGCGAGAACTGATTCCATCAGGGAATCTAGAATTGATCAGACTACTAGAAATTTACATATCCCCACTCACTTGTTCACGGATAAACCACAAGATCAACTTGCTAATTTAAAGAGGGATGGTTTCCTTCCATGTCTGAAATACTTGGTATCATTATCAGAGTAGCCGCCTCTGAATGCCCATAGCCTTGATAAACCAATTTAGTAACACTGGGAGAGCACAGGCCAGCGAGAACAGAGGAGGGATAACATTTGCCCGTGCAGATTTGCTGGCCAGGAGAAAGATGTTAAATGTGAGGAGTCTCTGTTGGCTTTCACATTTCATTATGGATAAGAAAAGCTGAAGAACTTGTTAAAAATGCAAATTCTCAGGCCAGCCTGATTCGGAGGGTATGGACAGAGCCCAGGAATTTGACAGTTTGATCAGCAGCCCTTCTACCTGGAGAAGACACAGGTAGTTTCCCACATTTTGAGAATTACTGGTGGGGTGCCTTGAAATATTAAGTCATGCCTTTAGCAATTGGGCCAGATGCAGTTCAGTTATATAGCCAGAGGAAACAGGGGGTAGGGTGATTCTGTGGAAAACCTGGGAGCGAGCCGTGCCCCTGCCCTCTGCTCGGGTTTGGCTGTGCAGGTGAACTCAGGAGCTCACGGCATGGTTGTCCCCAGTGCGTTCTCCCTTGCAGTCCTCACTGTGCTGCTCAGGCCCTTGCTCTTCTTTGTCACAGGTTTTTGTGCAATTTCCCTCCCAAGACAAATGGCCATGCAAAATGCCATTCAGCACATTCAGGAGATAATACAGAACACAACCACTTTATACAAGACCGAAAAGATGTTGACAAATGTCAACTGGACTTTAGTGGAAGAAAAAGCGAAGATCGAATACATCATTCCTGTGAGTTGGTGCCTGACAAAAAATAATCCTCTTTTCCTTCCCTTGGTCTGTCTGCCTGGCCTTATAGTCTGTAAAAAAAAATAATAATAAAAAAAAGAAAATAAAATAAAAAGAGAGAAAGAAAAACGAAACCTGATTCTGCTAACCAAATGTCAGAAAACTCAGGAGTTTTGCCACCTTGGGGAAATGACTTTGAATTCTTTCTCCAAAGAGAAGGTCTTGATGGTTAGCCTCATTTGCCAAATATGAGGAGAATGGATGTTTTCACAAACTGGCTGATGGGGCAGCAGGAGAATTTATGCTTCCAATGGGTAGAGATATCAAAAGATCGCTCCCTGTGTAAGTGTCCTAAGAAGCACAAAACAGGACAATCCCGAGAGTAGTCAAGCATGGAGAGTTTGGAGAACAATTTGGCTATCTAGATGCACCTAAAGGAATGTTTATTTCACCACAATTGAAAAACACACTTCTCATATGGGGAAACAGTTCCCAGCTTATGCACGGCTCCTTATCTGAGCAACTCTGAGTTACTGAGATCTTTGCTGAGTATAGCCTTGCTATCTTCTAATATTTTTTTTTACCTATTTTTAACTTTATCTCTTTGTTTTCTACAATTTAGTCAAATACTGTCCCACTTTCCCACGTTGTACATGATGATGAAACAGAGCAGTCCCCGACAGATGAAGTTTTAATAGAAGAAGCCAGATTGCACGTGGCGATAATACAAATGGTTGGTATTGCTGCCGCCGCCTCTTCCTCCTGCTCCTTCCTCTTCTTTCTCTTCCTCCTCCTCCTTCCTCTTCTTTCTCTTCCTCCTCTTTTCCTCCTCCTCCTATCCCCATCCCTCTCCTCCTCTTCCTCCCCTTCCTCTCCCCTCCTGCCTCCTCCCCTCCCTTCTCTTTCTCTTCTTTCCCTGAGCGACTCTTTTCCTCTTTCACTGAGAATTGAACCCAGGGACACTTTACCACTGAGCTACATCCTGGACCTTCACTTAGGTCCTTGCTAAGTTGCTGAGGCTGCTTTGAACTTGTAGTCCTCCTTCCTCAGCCTCCCAAGCCACTGAGTTATAGGTGTGGGCCACCGTGTCCAGCTCTGTAGGTGTGGGGCTTTGACTCTGTGTCTCCATTCTGTTCCATTGGTCTATGCATCTGTATCCGCCCCCCCCCCCCATTACCCTGTAGTTTTTGTTACTAGGGCTCTGTAGTAAAACTTGAGTTGGGTATTATGATACCTCCAGCATTGCTTTTTGGGGGCTCAGGATTACTTTGGCTATTCTGGGTCTTTTGTTCTTCCATATGAATTTTAGAATTGTTTTTTCCAATCATGTGAAGAATATCATTTGTACTTTGATGTGGCTTGCATTAAATGTGTATATTACTTGGGTTATATGGCTATTTTAACCAAATTAATTCTGCCAATCCATGAACATGGGAGATCTTTCCAACTTCTAATGCCTTCTTCAATTTTCTTTCAAGTGTTCCTTTATTTTCCTTATAGAGATCCTTTACCTTCTTAACTAGGTTTCTTCTTAGATATTTTATTTTTTTGAAGCTATTTTTGAATGGAAAATTTTCTGATTTATTTCTCAAAAGGTTCATTATTGGCTTACAGAAAAGCTATTGACTTAAATTTTTTAAAAAATATTTTTAATTGTAATTTTTTATGTCCATCTGGACATAAAACTTTTATTTATTTTTTTATGTGCTGCTGAGGATTGAACCCAGTGCCTCACATATGCTAGGCAAGCATTCTACCACTGAGCCACAACGTCAGTCCCTAGCTATTGATTTTTATACACTATTTTGTATCTAGTAGTTATTTTTGAGGGTCTTTAGGGTACTTATTAATGTCATTTACATACTTAGATAAACAGATTTAAATATTTGAAACTGCTTTTTACAAATTTGACATGGTTGACTTCCTCTCATACAAAATTCTCTTGTTTCTAAAAAAAAATTTATTTTAGAAATATAAGCTAAAGTAAATCTGGTGAACCAAAAATTCTCTTCAAATTTTGGTACTAATAATTTACATGTTCTAACATACACACAGGAATTTTGCTAGGTAAAATCAAGTTTGAGTCAATTATATCAGATTATACATTTTAAATTAGGTTTCTATTTAAATAGGACAAATTTTATTCAATATAGCAAGTATATAATATACTTACTGTGTTCACATTCTTCTTTTCTACTTTCTTTTAAAAACTCAGTGTCATGAAGAATTCCTAACATACACAAAGGTGGTGTAATAAGTCACCATGTGCCCACCACCCAGCCTTAACAATTATCCACACACAACCAATCCTGCCCCCTCTGCCTCTTCAATCACTCCCCCACCTCCCATATTATTTTGAAATAAATCCTGGGTGTCATATCACTTTATCTGTAAATATTTAAAAATGTATATGTAAAATTTAAAGTCTTTTAAGAACATAGTAAAATGCTAATATTGTTCCTAAAATTAATAATTACTTAATAAGAATATATATCAAATCAATAACATTTTCAATTGTCTTAGAAACATGATAAACACTTACTTTACAGTTTATACTTTCAAATTGAGTTTCGTTGAAGTTCACACGCTGCAACTAACCAATATCTCTATTAAGTCTCTTATAATCTGTAGATCCTTCTTTAATTTTCTGTTGAAGAACATATTTGTTCTTGAATTGTGCTGCTATAAACACTGATGTGGTGGCATCGCTGTAGTGTGCTGATTTTCAGTTTTTTTAGTTACACACTGAAGAGTGGGATATCTGGGTCATACGGTGGTTCCATTTCCTAGTTTTTGAGAAGTCTCCATACTGCTTTCCAGAGTGGTTGTACTAGTCTGGAATCCCACCAACGATGTAAAAGTGTACTTTCCCCCCATCATGAATTCTTTTAGTATATTCTTGTCATTTTTAATTCCCCCTCAAATTTGAAACTGAGCTTTGTTGGGTATAGTAATCTTGGAGGGCAGTTGTTTTCTTTTAGGGTTTGGAATATCTCATTCCAGGCCCTCCTTGATTGTAGGGTCTAAGCTGAGAAATCAGAAGTGAGTTTTATTGGTTTGCCTTTAAACATGACTGGTGTTTTCTCTCTTGGGGCTTTTAATATTCTTTCCTTATTTTCTGTGTTAATTATTTTGATTATGGTATGTCTTGCTAAGCTTCTTATTTGATTAGGTCTATTTGTGGTCCTGTAAGCCTCCTGTTTAGAGGCGAAGGTTAACCGGGGAATATCTTTCCCTTTTGATAGTTTCTTGTGGAGCTGAGATATTAATCACACTTTGAATTAATACTTTGCACTGCTTTCTGCTCTAGAAGGATGGTGCTACCGGTGTGGTTTATATTACAGAAATGAAGTCTGAATTGTGTAGGTTCTGAGCATCTTGAAGCTAGGAACTTTCCTCTGTATCTCTTATAACATTTAGGACTGTACTTAGTAAAAAAATGAATTCTGAGTAGATATTTGAATCAAATGAAATTTATTTCCTCCTGTAGATTCTCTGTAGTAGTATATTTTCATCTGTGGGCATGCTTTATCATCCATGTGGGATTGGTAGGATCCCCAGCTGCAAAATGGACACTCAAATCTGCAGATTCTTGTTGCTTATATGAACTGGCAGAGCTTTTGCATATAACTTTCCTATGCTTTTCCTCCTGTATTCTTTAAATCATCTCTGAATTATTCACAATGCAGGACAAACACTATGTCAATAGTTGTTATACTGTATTATTTGAAGAATAATAATAAAAATCTATATATTCTCATTATAGGTCAGTTTTTTCCCTGAATATTTTCAGTTGTTGATTGAATTCATAGAGGCAGAAACCATGAATACAGAGGGCCAATTTATTGAGTTTGGTAATAATAGCAAGGGCTATGTAAGGTGTAAGCAGAGTAGATTATATTCATGTTTTGATATTTTGTAATTTTTATTTAAAATTGTGTGTTTAGAGTAGCTTTGAAAAGCAGTGTAATGATGGCATCCTTGGAGTAGAGGCAGCCCGGATATTAATTGGTGCAACGAAAAGCTATTGCCCCATCCAAGGAAAGTAAGTGTAATAATTTTTTGATTAATTCAGTTAATTGATTAATTAATTAAATTTGATATTTGCAAAATTGAGTTGGTATGTGATTAAGAATGAACAAATGGAGTGTTAAATGTCCAGATTGATCAATCTATTATCTATTTTATCTATCCACATCCATCTATCTGTCCATCCATCCATCTATTCATGTATTTTCTATTTTTCTTGTTTGCTTGTTTTCCCGTGTGGTTTCATGAGCTTGGTGACATTAGGGGACTCTGGAGGAAGGTCCTACTATAAGGTAATTAGATGAGAGACAAGGGGACCCATGAAGAGAACTCCATGGCTTCTGTTGATGTTATGAGTGTGTTGCTTTCATATCATATCCACGAAATCGCTAGAGGAGAAGGCAGAGGCCTGGGTCTGGGGTCAAACAGTTCTGGGGAGAGCAGTCTCTGTGGGAACCGGCTCAACTGGTTTTGATGGATGTAATGAAATCCGGTGGGGAAAACCCAGTGTCTCAGAGATAAGTGCATATCTGGGCACAGTCCTGGCAAGCATTAGGTAACAGGTGATTCACAGCAAAGCTCTGAAGGGGAGAGTGAGCAGGGCAGCAGCCCAGTGATCTTTGTGGGAGAGCTGTCCTTGGTCCCTGGGATTATGGAAAGCAGGGCCTTTGGGGCCTTGGAGAGGCTTGGGCTGGGCAGTGAATGTCAAAAGGAAGCTGGATTCCAGAACCCCAAAGGATTGGTCTAGAGAAGCTTTAATTACATTCTATCTCAGGTCAGGAATGGTTTTAGGAACGGGGGCACAGGTGTCTCATTTCCCATGACCACAGGTGGATAGGTGGATGGGTGCAGAGGCTTGGGATTCAGTGGATTTATTTAGTAGATCCTCATTAAACTTGTATTTAGTATAACTTCCCCTTTTATATTCCCCTATTTATTATGGTCAGTTTTTATCATAATGCATGTTGTATTTTTGTTAGATTCATGAATATTCATGATGTTTCAACTTACGTAAGAGCTAGAAGTTGGCTTATAAAGTTTAAAAACATGTTAACTTACTTGGAATATCATAGAGAAAAGGGACGTTTTATTCTACCTGGGTAAGTATTGTGAACTTTTTTCCCCACATGTTTTAATTGGTGCATCATAGTTGCACCTAGAAATGGGATTCGTTGTGACATATTCATACATGCACACAAGTATTATGAACTTTTAATAGCAATACCCTTGAAAATAGTATAATTTCCATAGTTTTTGAATAAATGACTCTGATTTTCCTTATTAAAATAAAACTAATATCATGGTCAACTCTCATTGACGAAGGGCTTGCTTCCCTTCATTCTGTTTCAGCCCCTTCACTGGTGCCTCTATGAAAGCGTGGGCAGGAAGAAGAGAGGGTGGTCTTGTGGGGTCATGTCGTGGACTGGGATGCGTGCATCTTCTTCTAGGTGCAGTGCAAGGGTGAGAAGTACCCAGCTGGCGCATTAGATCTAGCTCAGTTTAATTTCATCTGTGCCACAGGGCGGTCATATTGAAGTCTGTCTTTAGGAGAAATACAACTCGGACTTAACAATACCCTCACCACTGAAGCTGCTGAATTTTAAGTGGGTGTTGATCTTTTGTAACAAAATCGGACATTGTTTTGTTTTCTTCCATTTAATTAATTCAAAGATAAATAGAAAAATCAAACACCTAGGATATTGACATATGCAGGGAATTTATTTTTTTAAAAATCAGGCTCAAAAAAAATTAGGGTCTGTTTTAGATGGATTGAAAAGTTTTAAGAAATACATGTTATAGTAATTATTGAATAGTTGTTTTTCTGTTCTTACATTTAAATAATGCTGATGTGTAACTCATATTCTTGTCACTTTGTTTTTTGCTTTTGATTTATGAATCTTTGCATCATTTCCTATATCCTATAGCATTGACTTTTTTTTTTAAAAGATGCTCCCCATCCTGGATATAGATGAACAAGAATCATATTTTTATCTTTCTCCATTATGGTTTTTATGTGCAGAAAGTATGCTTTTATTTTGTTATCTATTATTTTATTTGTAGTCTTCATATTAATTTTAATGATTTACTTAAACAAATGCTGATCTTCAACTCTTAATTGTTATTCTTGGAAGTGATCTGACATTTTATTTGATCTTTTTTTTCCAGGAACAATAGATTTCTGATTTTTGTATATCACCTTGTATTTTCAGAAGAATTTGAATATGCAGGACATATTAAGACATTATTGTATATTTATCCCATGATAATACATTTATGGCCAATGGCAAGAGAGTTAAATGTATCAGCACTGATATCAATGAACCACTATTTTATATTTTTATGTGCGTTAGAATCAACTTTGAAGGTACTGTTTAAAATAAAAATATAGTCCATGAAAAGAATAATGCAGATATTTAGAATAGTTTGAAATAATTTGTTAACAGAAGCTATTTGTTATTATGGTTGATGTGGTCCTGGAATTTTAGTAACTTTTGTTTGAATTTTCTGAGTTTAATAATGAAATTAATAGAATAGTCACAGTCTTGGACATTAACTAAATATAAAAGTAGAGAGAACCATAGGATAAGGTAAAAGAAAGCTGAAAATCCAGACAAAGAGATTTCTTTCACATACTTTCAGTAATGATAGAAGAAATAAATTAGCAAATAGAAGCAACAATGGTTTGCTGGTCTTTGTCGTAACACGAGGACCTCTCCCTGTGCTGCAAAACCAGCCCATCTCCAGAACTGCTTTCTGATTGTTATGAATGGTATTATAATGAATCTGTTTATTGCTATTTTTAAAATTCTTGGTTTTGGCACTCCAGTTTCATTATAGATTATATATTTTGATTCATACTAAAATTTTTGATGTTGGAGATTACAAAGAATTTTGGGAAATTCCAAATGAATAACTTAAAGCTCAACTTTTGGAATATAACTCATTTATAGCCGAGAGCTTAGTTGTCAAACTGTAAGAATTTTTCCCCTTACACCATGTATAGGTACTATGAAATGACATATATTCTATTTCTTTTCTACACAGTTAATAATTCTGAAAAGGAACTATTTTAAACAACATTGGAATACTTTGGAATTTTTAATTTTCCTTATTGGGCTCGTGGATATCTTTTGTATATACTTTGTCAGACTAAGAACAAGCAACTTATTCCTTATCCAGCTCACAGTGGTGATGGGATACTTAAGAATAATTAGGTTTCTTCCTATCTTCAAGGTAAGACTTCGAATTTTAAATTGTTAGGTTTTTTTTCCTCTATCACTTATTAAGTGATTTCAGAAATCTCCTTGTTTTAAGAGCAATGGCCACCTGTGCACACCTTCAGCCTTGGGCTCCCTCCTCTGGACCCTGTTCTGTCTGCTAAACTCTTACTTTTCTCCCCATATTTTGTCTGTACTGCCCCCCAAGGCAGGCCTTCTTGTTTTGGTCACTGATGTAACCTCTGGCTCAAGACAGTGCCTGCTGTGTAGTTAAGTCCTTAGTGAATATTCCTATTAAGTGAATGGGTGAAAAATAGGTGTCTCTAGAAGCAGGCTGATCTAGAAACAAGACCTTCAAATATCAGTAAAATTTGTTCCTAAAACCCAAACAGTGTAGAAATAGCAAGGAAAATTCTCCCCCTCCACAGTCCCCTACTCACATAGCATGCTGCCTATGGAAATTAACTTTCCTGTGGTCTTCAGGTTCATTAGCAATTATTATTCCTTCTCTCCATGGCCCTGGTTTGAATTCTGAGGATAGATTTTTATGTTTCCATTCTCAACATTTACACCTGCTTTCTCTCTTTCCAATGGAGATGCACCGCAGCAGCATTCAGCTTGGGAGTTGAGAGATTATACCTGCCACTCCATTTTTTCTTATTTATTCTTATCACATCAAAAAAGTCTATTAGTATGTATTGAAATGGTAGAGGTTCGGCATTTTAAAACCTTGCCGTAAACACTACGGGCCAAATTCATGCACTAGCATTTTCCACCTAGTCCCCTCCTCCGAGAGATTTCAGGGTTATGTTTTTTAAAGTTAGAATTGTTTGTCCATCTTGTGCTCATAGACTCCTTTTGGTCATTTTAAAATTTTATATTAATGTCATGAGGATTGCTGTGTGGTGCTGTATGCACAAAACCTGCTTTTAGGGTTAATTCCCTCTCTATGATCTTTACCGTATGAGCTGAGTTTAGAGTGGAGTGCTCACATAGGTATCACTCTACCTGATACAAATGACTCTAGAAATCAAGAGTCACGTACTGAGGCTAGGTTTTAAGATAGAAGACAGAATTTTCTTTAGGTAATCAGTTTTTATACAGATATTTTGCTCTGATGAGTGTAAAGCAATCATTTTATAAGTTGTACTTTGTGAAAAATAAAATGGAATCTTCCTAGTATACTCCAGACAAAGCTCAATGAAGTATCCTTAAGGACTCAATATTATTATGGTTAGCTTTTTTTTTTTTATTGAGCACTTATTTTCCAGGAACTGTGTAAAGTACTTTACGTACGTTATCCAGTTAAATTATAATAACAGTCCTGTGGAGTAGGTGTCACCACTCTACACAGGTATCCTAACAGCACTGTGTAGCTTTGAAAATAAACAAATCTGCATTGGGAAGCTTGGAAGAATATTAGAGATTTTGACACTGTGCTCTAAGGGACAGCACAGGGAATGTCAGTGTGGTGTGGGGGAAAGCTTTGGAAAGTCCTCTTTAAACAGCTCTCCCTTTTCCCCAAGTTTCACAACCAAATGGCAGCTAAAAAAAAGCTTTCTCTTTTTTTCTGCTCTTGTAATTCCTGCACTGTGATACTCTTCTCCTGTTCTTTGTTCCCCCCGGCCCCCCCCCCCCGTGTTACCCAGTCCCTTGCCATCTGTCCCTGAGCTTTGACATAGCTATAAGCCTGTGGGAAGTCCCCTGGTTGTGCGAGTGACTGCTTCTGCTTTTGAGGGATGTCTCCATTGGAATTCTGGTGTTTACACATCATTACCCTCATTTTATACATGAGTCCTCCAAGTCACTAAGTAACTTTCTCCAGGTCGCAGAGCTGGTGGACACTGGTATTTGAAGCTAGACAGGTTTATGTTTAAAAATTTGAAGTCACTACGTTAGCCTGCCTCAACCTGTGATCAGAGAAATTGAGAGCTAAGAAGGATCTTAGTTCCCTAAGTTCCTCATCTCACAAGAGGTGAGTTCTTTAGTCAGTAACTATGTTACTATCTAGGGTTGCTGGGTTACTTACCTCCATTCAGCAGAGAATTGAAGAACAGGACACAGAGGTAGCATGCATACAGCAGGTTTATTGCAAAACCGACAGAGACAGAATTCTTCAAAGAGCAGGGGTCCCGGAGCCAGGAATCTGGTGGAAGAGTTTTGGCTTGTTCTTTCTATGGTCTCTGGAATTTCCTCCTTTCCTTGCCTTCTCCCCTGTCCACACCCTTTTCATTATTATTGATTGGTGCCCCCTCTGTTCGTGCCTCTGTTTCTGTTGGATCCCCTGCTTAGGAGCATAAGTACTGTCTGATTGGGTGTCGCAATGGGCAAAAGGTGCGACATCTGCAGTTGAGGGGAGAGAGAAAGAATGTCCACACCCTCCTGCCCTTTCCAATGTTTAATTCACTCAAGTCACTCAATACAATTTCACTCTATAGGTTCTTAATCAAGGAAATGACAATCTTTAATCTAGGCACTGCAATAGACATAATCAATTCACAGCAAACTATTCTAGATTAATTCTAAGCACTGCAAACACACTGAATCATGACAGGCTCATAACAGACATTCCCTCTGCGTGCAGAGTTCAAGTATCAGATCAAAAGTCTCAAGTCTTAGGCTTTAAGTCCAGCAGATGCATATCCCTTGATTGTGCTTGAGGGCCATCCTGGAGGGCTCTGTAGGTGTGCAGGTTTCAAACTGGAGTTTTAAAGTGGAGTTGCTTAGGCTCAGGCCTCAGCAACTGTGGCCTCAGGCCTCAGCAAAATGTTGTCTGGAGACAATATTTTGGGAACTTCTGCTTTATGACCTAAAAGCACCATTTTAAATTTCACAAAATTTACAGAGCTTTTCTTGTCTCTCTCTCTCCATAATTCCAGTTAGCAATTCCAATGCTGATAAATATTGCAGATGTGCAGGTCAAAAAACACCTCAGCTTGATGTACAATATTACAAAAGGCTATGTCAAAAGTCAAGAAGATGCCAAACTTTTAATAAAACAAATTTCTGGCCGTAAATCAATATATAAGGTGAGAGATAAGGATTGTTTGTGGGGGGGGGGGCAGGGGATGGAAAAACCACTTAGATGTATTAATTTCTTTTAAATCATTTCTATATATGTTCGGCCAAACAGACACCAGAAGTTGAAGGGGTCTGTTTATCATGTCCTAAAGGAGCTGCGGAAGGAAACAAGCTCTCGTCTTTACATTTCAACTGTTCTCATCAAACTCACTTGTCATCTTCACAGCAGAAAACCACCCACAGGGGCAGCATGGGTGGCTGGTGTTGGGGAGCGGGTGAAGAGGACCCCCATCCTGCCTGGCTCTATGCACTTAGTACCAGGCAGGCTTGGAGATGGCGAGTCGCTTCTTACCCAGGCTCCCTCACACCCGCATGTCCTCTCGGGGCATTCTTTGAAGTTTAATAGGTTTGTGTCCCTAAAAGGCCCATCTTAAATGTCATATGTACTTTGTACTTGGTAACATTCAGAGGTTCCTCCTGGCCTAAAGGGTAAGATCTTTGAATGTATATAAAGGAGAGAACATAGCCCAAAGAACAACAAACAATAAATTGTTGGTTATTTCTAGTTACACATAATACTAAGATTCATTTTGACGTAATTATAAAAGCATGGATATACTTTGTTCTAATTCAGTCCCCATACTTCCCTTTCCCCTTCCATCCTCCCTCCCCCTATTCCCTTCCGTCTGCTCCATTGATCTTTTGTGTGTATAGTTTTGGTTTTAGTCAGTGTCTTGTGGCTGTATATGTTGGTGAGAATCCCTGTGGTGTGTTCATGTATGTACACAGGAATGTTAGGTCAGATTCCCATCCTTCACTTCATTCATTCCCCTTAATCTACTGCACTGGTCTTTCTTCATTTTTTAAATCCCCCACCCCTCTTATTTTGAATTACTTCCACATATCACACAAAACATTTGACCTCTGACTTTTGGGAACTGACTTATTACACTTGGCATGGTAGTCTCCAGATTCATCCATTTACCAGCAAATGCCCCATTTCCTTCTTCTTTATGAATGATTAGTACTCCATTGTGTTTATATACCACATTTTCTTTATCCATTCATCTGTGGAAGGGCACCCAGGTTGGGTCCATAGCTTAGATATTGTGAATTGAACTGCTATAAACATTGATGTGCCAGTGTCATTGTAGTATGCTGATTTTAAATCTTTTAGTTATAGACTGAGGAGTAGGATAACTGAGTCTTATGGTGGTTCCATTCCTGTTTTTTTGAGGAATCTCCATACTGCTTTCCAGACTGGTTGCACTAATTTGCATTCCCACCAGCAATGTATGAGTGTATGCTTTTCTCCACATCCTCACCAACATTTACTGTTATGTATATCCTTGATAATTGCCATTCTGCCTGGAGTGAGATGGAATCTCAGTGTAGTTTTAATTAGCATTTCCATAATTGTAGAAATGTGGAACTTTTTTTTAGATATTTGTTGGCCATTTGTATTTCTTCTTTTGAGAAATGTCTTCTTCTTTGGCCCATTTATTGATTTGGTTGTTTGTTTTTGTGTGTATTAAGAACTAGAAATTAATTTGGAATAGTAAAGAGACCCAAAATAGTCAAAGCTATCCTTACTGAGAAAAGTGAAAAAGGAGACATCAAAATACCAGACCTCAAATTATACTACAGAGCTATAGTAACAAAAACAGAATGGTACTAGCACCAAAACAGGCATGAAGACCAATGGAGGGAATAGAGAAGACACAGAAACAAACCCACATAAATACAGTTATGTGATTCTAGACAAAGGTGCCCAAAACATAGGTTGGAGAAAAGATCACCTTTTAAACAAAGGGTGCTGAAAAAACTGGAAATCCATAAGTACTAGAATGAAATTTAACCCCTATCTCTCACCCTGCACAAAAGTCTACTCATGGATCAAAGACCACTAAAACCTGGCATTAGACCAGAGACCCTGCAACTGCTGGAAGAAAATGGCCCAACACTCCATCACGTTGGCACAGGAACTGACTTCCTTAACAAAACTCTTCAAGTGCAAGAAGTAGAATTTTAAAAATCAATAAGTGGATGGTATGATATTAAAAACTTCTTAACAGCAAAGGAAACAAAAGAGTGTGAAGAGAGAGCCTATAGATTGGGAGAACATCTTTGCTCCCTGCTCCTCAGATTGGGCATTAAAATCCAGAACAGACAAAGAATTCTTTGACCAGTATTTAATCCACTCTTTGAAGTCAGGAGGGCTGTGAACTGTGAAACTCAGGGTAAGTCATGCTGCCCGTTCTTTCAGATTTCTTGGATGTCTACGTTTAGATTTACACATCGGTCAGATTAGCGTTCTCTTCTGCTTTTCTGTGAGGGTCTTTTTAGGGATCAGCTTTTTCTTGATGATGTGATCTGGGATCTGGGATTGTTGTGAAGTGTTGAGTGTATTTCCAAGTGGGTTTCAGAGTGTAGTTTCCCTGCGACTTGTTTTCGGCGGGGCAGGGAATAGTGTGCTTTGACACGGGACATACTTTCTCTGTAGGTCTCACAAGAGTAAAGTATATGGGACACATCCTGTGTGACTACTCTTCTTGTCTGGTCAACACTGTGTGTTCTAAAAGGGTTGGGGAGTGACCTATGTCGAGGTCCCTACCTGTGTGATCTTTGTCTGTTTCTCTCTCTGTCACTTGTAGGAACAGATGTCCAGGAGCGGGTCTTCAGGCCCCCAGCCATGCCTACCTGGGGCTTGATTGTAGGCTGGGGGTTTTATCTACCCCGTTGTTTGTGTTGAGTACTCACTGAGGTCAAGTAGGGTTGGGCTGTGTGCTGAGCAGGGAGTCCCGTCTCTGGGCTGGGCCCCTCATTTCATCACAGAAAAGGTGAAATGAACCACAGCAATAGCAAGAAACAGCAGTGAGCCAGATAAGCAGCAAACCAAGTGTCATCTGGGCCACCACAACACCAGCAGCCACACGGGGATGGTGGGGACAGAAATCATCTAAGCCAAACAGTTTAAGAGATGGTAAAAATGCAATTAATAATAAGAAGAAAATGGGCAAAGGAAGGCAAAAGAGGAGTTAGAGTAATCAAAAACAAAAAGAGAGCAGAATAAAGGTATAAAGGGCCATAAAGAAAGAAAAGATAAAATAAAAGCTAAAACAAAATAAAAAGAAAGCAAGAGAATTTGAAGAAGACAAAGAGTAATCCAAACCCCAAACTATCAAAACAAATCAAAAACAAAAAACCTCAAATTCAAACAAAACAGAACAAGGATAAAAATATAAATAAATAAAAACAAAGAAAAACTATATGAACCAATCAACAAATAAAAAAAAAAAACCCTGATGAAAATGGAAGGCTCGTCTCTGCTGATGGCTGAAACTGGACCACAGCGGCGTTCACTCCTGTGCCAATCTGCACTTGCTCCCAAGTCCTCTTGGGCACACACCCCTTAGAGGGAGCAGGGACTGGGGGTCCTTCCTCCTCTCCTGCTGCTCACCAGGCTGACTGCCGTGGCCTGGGACTGAAGCTGGCTGACATGACGTTCAGCTCCTGCAGGAGGACAGGGAGGGCAAGTGTCCCCCGCTGGAGTTGACACGCACTTCCAGGACAGCAAGTTCTGGGGACTGATGCCAAGCTCTGAACGGGCTGCTCCATTAGCCAGGTTTCCTGCAGACAGTGTGGATGGACACACTGAGAGGTGGTGCTAGGCCTCCCTGGGCATCAGTGCCTTGGGCGCTTCACACCCAGAAGGTGAGTGTGCCCCCCCCGCCCCCTCGAGACCCAGTCCCCAGTCCTCAGAGGTGGTCACATGCACCTCTTCAGTTTCCCACCTCAGCTGGTCACCTGAGCCTCCAGATTCAAAGGGGAAATGAACTGCACTCCTGCTCCCATCTGCCACCTCCACCTCACTGCATTGGGTTTTCTCTGTGCCGTTTGGTTGGTATTCCCCTGGGGCCACCCTGGCCCCACAGCAGGCCCTGGCCAGGACGGGGTGGCCGTGTTTGCTGAGATCTCCAGTGGGGCTGTTCTTCCACTTGGAGCCTCGGAGAAGCTGGAGCAGCCCTCCTCTGCCTCTTGGCTTCTTGTTTCATTAAAAAAAAAATACCATGATGTTCTCTTGAACCCCTTTGTTTAAAATGTTTCTTTGCTTCCTGTGTTAATTCTACTTCTTGGTATTCATTCTCCTATGGAGAATGAATTGTTGTTTTGGGGGCTTTTGTCCTGTTTTTTTCCTCCGATGGTTGGTGATTTGGGTTCTCTTTCCGTATGTGTGGATGAGGGTCTAAACTGAATGGTGTCAATAATTGAACTGTATCAATAGTTTTCTCAGCTCACATGAAACTCCGGATTTTAAACCCAACACTGAACTTAAAGCCTAATGACTAAAGCCCTAGAAGGGGTGACTGGGTGCGGGGCCTGGAGGCCCATGGTCTCTGGAAGGTGTGTGCTGGCAGTGGTCACCTCTGGCTCTCAGCCCAGGAAACTGAGGCTGATTCCTCACTGAGGTCAGCAGAGGGAAGCAGGCTGAGAAGTTACCTGCGTTTACTGGATCAGACGTTAATGTGCATCAGAATTCTGTGTTGTGGATTTACTTTGTAGAATGCAGAAGAAAATTAAAAGAGCTACCGAAAAGCCAGATTGGTGTGTGTTAGGAAGAGCACAAGGAGGATAAGGAAGGGGAAGCTATGTCTTCAGTTAGGTACAGAGTTTCCTGTAGGAAACGTGAACTAATTGGCACTGTTTCTTCTCATTATTACTCTTGTTCTTGTGCTGCCGACAGACTGGCTCTCCAAATAGCTTCTCAGCACATCTCCAAATTGGGCTCTGCTGGTGAGAATTCTCCTTGGTGCACGGTGGACTGTTTTGAGATCTCTCAGGCACAGTAGCTATGCAAAGTACTGACTGCACAACATCCTCTGCAATTTAAATCTCAGCCCAAGGAAGATAGCAGAATTGACCCCAGGGGAAAAATGAGCTGAAGATCTCTCTTAAATCAAACGAAGAGAGATTTCCTGGACCATGCTTCTTCTTATCAGAACTTAAATCTGGAAATGCTTGTTGTAACAAGAAAGGTCTGTTTTTCTTAATTTCTTACAGAAATTATATGAAATTCTGGAAACCAACAAACGAGAAGCTATCAAAGAGCTAGGTAAGTAGTTGAAGTCTCTGAGAAATCGGACCTTCTGGTCCCGTGATTTAACCAAAGTAAGCTGGGCTCATGATTTCACCCACTGGCTCACTCATTCAGGCAGCCAGTGTTTACTAAGCACACCTAGGAAAGCAAAGATGGTAGACCTGGATCCTTGGGAGAGGACAGGACCTGGCGCAGCATCCGCACATGCTGGTAGACGTGGAAGAAAGGGGGGTCCTGTGGTCCTGGGGGCATATAGAAGAAAGAAGGGGATGAGTGTGGAAGTGTTTTGAAGTGGCGAGGTCAGAATCCTGAAGATTGTAAGAAAAACACACGTGACGGTTACCTGGGACCCAAGATTGCTTTATTATTATTATTATTATTATTTCTTCAAGGATGCTCCAGTATTGTGGGAAACCAACTGGTCAAGAAATAGCAAGCAGCACTTGGAGCGGAGGAGAACTCCGAATTTTATTTTAGGCTGGGGGTGGGGGGCAGAGGAGATCAGATTCCAAATTCTGAGTGCCTATTCCCCCACATTTATAGGCTCTCTAGTGTCATAAATTTTCTAATCTGAACAATACACAGTTGTTAACTGGTTTCAAGTGGGAAGCATAGGGATGCGATAAGAGGAAGAATTGGCTTCTTTTACTATGGCCTTGGTAAATCTTTAGCCTGGGGCTGAGAGCTTTCACAGGGGCATTTACACTTCAAAGGAAAGTAGTTAGATCCTAGGGGAACTCATTTACAATCCGAAAGGTAGGAGTGGGCCAGGCTAAGTATCAATTAGTTCACTTTTCCTACAGGAAATTCTTTATCTAACCTGAAGACCAGCTGACTAGAAAGGGAGGGGAACTCTCTTTCCTAGGCACTAATTCTCAGGACAGTGTCCTTAGTTTTTGCCTCCAGGCTTGGTGGCTTGCAGGAGAGGTTATTTTTGAGCATCTACAGTGACTCGTCTTTCCTTGAAGAAGACAGTGGGAACTCAAGGGTCTCACGCTGGGTCTGTTTTCCTCATGTGGGGCGCAGCCAGGCTCTCAGCTGGTGCAAAATCATCTGGTAGAGGCTGGCATAGGGTGGCCCTTAATACATGGGAGCGGTCAGTAAAGACAGGGTTGTATGCCTAACCCCACTGTAAATGCTACCTGGGTTTATGGGAATCAAGCTTTCTGATTCTAACTGAGAAGCACACGGTCTAATAAGTGAAAGTGTGAGTCTGGAGACAATAGGTCAGAGTATTTTGGCACTGTTTCAGAAAATCCAACACCCACTCTTGCCATTTATATATCAGCAGATTTTTATTTTTGAACTTTTAAAGAATAGAGGTTTAGGAATGGCTGCTTCGTGTTAGGTTTTAGATCAGTACAGAATCTTACAAAGGTTTCTTGACTCAGTTGCATAAAAGGGAGTGTCTGTTTCCACGGAGTTATTGCCCCTGCTTATTGCCTGCTTACCGGGTCAGCAAACACTGTGCTCATCATTTTACAGAGGAGAGAGGTTAGCTTGCCTGAGGCCCTATGGCCAGGGGGCGATGAGCTCACTTTCCTGCTCTGGTTCCTGACCCTCAGCCTAACTTCATTTTATTGGTCGGCTCTTTTCAATGAAAAGATGTGAGAACCTTCTGTGCGCAAGGCCTTGGGCTCAGCGATAGAGTTACAAAGCAGCAGCCAGGGACATCTTACCCCCACTCACGTTCTAGTCCATGACTCCTCACGCTTATTAAAGCAGAAAGAATAGGCAGTTTGAGCTCAGAAAGACCCAGGGCCAAAGTCCTGGGCCTCTTTGAGTCTTTCTTTTTTTCACCCAGCCAACAAAAAATCACGCAGCACGGAGGCTGAGAGCGGTCAGTCAAAACAACACTGAACCGTGAGGAGTCTCGTAATGCAGACGTGGAGAGTTAGGCAGTCAGGTGCTTTCCTCTGAGCGGGTGGGCAGCCCTACAGGCTCTGTGTGGAACTGGAATGAGGACACGCGGCAATCCTGGAAACTGAGCGGAATGCCCATGTGGGTATGGGCACTGTCCTCAGGACTCATAGAGCATGAAGGCCGTGATGTCGTCATTGCTCTGAAGACTAAGCAGGCAATCCGGAACGTGATCGCTAAAGCTCTGAAGAATCTCACCTTCCTCAGGTCGAGGGGCATCATCGACGAACACGAGGGCATCGAGTTGAATAAGGTAACGAAGCAGTTTCCATGTTGCCTGATTCCATCGGCCTGGAACCCCACCCGCATTATGACTTTCACAGGAAGTAATAAGTGAGGTAGGTCGGGGAAAAGAGTGTTCACGGGCAGGTCCCACCTCTGGCATTGCCTGTGGACTTGGTTGCTTCCCGTGCACATGATGCCAGTTCTACCTCTTGCACCCCATTAGTCAAAGCTGCTTGGATGCAAGTAACAGAAACCAGCTGGAGTGAGGCTTAGTAAGGAAATAGGGCTGGTGGGTTGATTCAAAGGACACAGAGCAGCTCACGGAGCCCACAGTAGCCAGGCTGTGTGGCCAGGCTTCTGGAAGGACTTGCCTAACTCCAGGAGGCCTTTCCAGAGTCCCGTTTCCTTTCGGGGTCGCCCTCTGTGGCGCCCTCCTCTGGCTCCGCTCTAGACTCACTAGATTTCTCCATCAACTGGTGGAGTGTGTTCGTCCTGGTCCCACTGACGTGGCACTGGAGGTGGCAGCCACCTGATAGTGCATGGAGGGGAGGGGACCAACCTGTGTGTAGGTGTGTCTGTGGGGATCGGAGGACGCAGCTCCGAGAGGAGGAGCAGGAGGATGGCCTCACCGGTCAGCTAACGAAAATCGCCTTTTAAAACATTGTAAAAGACTTGCAAGAAAATCAGAACAGTTAAGGCAAAGGGAAGAAAGCCACATTCAGTCCTGCGTCTCTGTCACATCTGACCCGAGACTGTCTGTGTGGTACGAGTCCTTCTGCTCCCATGTGAGGAGCTGCGTCCCAGCACGTACCAGGCAACGGGGGCTCTGGCCTGTGTGTGCTGCTCACTGAGCCTGTCCCTGGTGACACACGCTCTTCCTCGTCACGGCAGCGCCCAGCCACGGACACCTGCTTTGTGCTTCAGTCACTCGCTGACTCAGTCCCCTCTCGGTGGTCTCCGGGAAGACAGGATGCAGGCCAGGCTTTTTCCTTCAGGGCTCTACCTCTTTAGTTTCTGTAATGTCCAGGGAAGGACCAAATGGACAGTCCATTTCCCCTGAATGCCTGCATGAGGGAAGAAAGGGCCACTTGGTAGTGGTCCTCTCCCTTTTGTGTCTTATATTCTACCTTTTAAAATTAGTCCTTTTGAAGTTTGTATAAGACAAGTGGATGCTCGATGTCATTAATTAATATAAAGAAACAATACCTCTTATGAGCAGAGAGACTTATTTTCCCTGTAAGTTTGTTTAGAAAGTTGCTGGAGGAGTCCATCCCTCAACAGTCTCCTCTTGAATGCCTACTGATTGGCTAACTGTCAGCACCTATCCCAGGCCATAGGACATGGGGGAAGATTCAATGCAATTGAGTGAATCCATGTTGGAGACCTACTAAGCGCTCTGGGACCCCAGTGGGGATACAACACTGACCCCCAAGGTCCACGGTTCTTTGTTTTTCATTCAGTCATTTATTCATCCAACCAACGGCAGTTGAATAATAGGAGGGGTGAGACAGGAAGGAAGAGAGAACAGCACTACAGGGTAGCGAGTCCCATGGTGGAGACACGGAGGCAGTGCCCGAGAAGAAGGGTGATGACCTGATTTTTCTCTCACTGGAAAAGAGAAGGATTCTCAGAGGCCACAGGCTAGGACTCTGTCTTCCCAGTTAGAAGGCTCAGAGACGCCAACTGTACACACCAACAAAACACAGGGAGGTCGTGGAGCAATCAGTGCGGGATTTAGGACATCTGTGTTTAAGATAAGCTGGGGCACCATGTTCAGGGGGTTAGGGACACGGCAGGTTCCATCTGAGTTCATACATCAGTGGTGATCACTAGGGCAGGAGGCGGACAAACAAATGGGCTCCCGTGAGAGGAGCTTTGAGCTAACTCAAGGTCAAACCTGCACAGGAGTAATTTATGTGGAGTCCTAGGGTTGGATTTTTTAATGTACAGCCCGTTTTCTGTGACAGTACCTGATCACCTGATCATCATTATTTTGGTTGGTTGCTTTTAGGTACTTCTTATGAAAATAAAAGCACTGAATCATTTTCCAATGGCAATCCCACCCCCTACTCCTGACAAGTACCTGCATAATATCATCTGGATGGAAAATAAAGATGTCCTCATTGAGTTCTTCAAGGTAAAGCTTCTGTCTGGCTCGGGCTTGATGCAAATGTTGAATATTTCCGCCATTTTTTGTACCATCTAATGTACAGAAAAGCACATCCAAAGGGAAATCCTATAGTGGCCAATCCAAGGAGAAGCAGATGAGGCCCAGCAAAGCTAGGGGCAGACAGCTTGTGGGACTAGGGGGCAAAGACGGTTTTTCACGATGGTTCATGTTCCCCACCCAGATGGGCCATCTGTGTTTCCTGATTATTATCAATGGCATTCTATTTTGTTACCTAGAGTGCTGGACTTCCAGATGCGAATTCTGGAAGAAACCTATTTTTATACCAAGGATCTCACATTTAAATGACTGTAGAGGCCAGGCAGATAATATAAAGGTAAAACCAAGGGGGTGGAACGCAGGAGGGAACATGAGGACTGTGGCGCTTTCCAGAGCCCATCCTCTTCCTACAGGAATTTGGACCCCTTCAATAAACAGCTACTGAATATCCTGGAATGCTTCTCTCGGGTTTCCATTTAGCTATCCCTTCGTCTGTAAAGGTCTCACTGAACAACCACGATGAGGTCCTGTGGCCTTTCTGCACTGTTCCATGGTACCATGGTACCCTGTCTCTGTCTCCTTTGACATAATCACCACATCCATTGGCATCTACCCAACCTAACCAAAGACCTTCTGGCCGCAGGGAATATGTTTATGTTACCATTATAGCCCAAGCCCCAAATGAAGGCTAAAAAAATGTTTTTCTTCATTAATTTACTAATCCATCCCATAAAGCATTTATTGAGTGCTTATATCATTTGTTATGTTAGGTCCTGATCACAAAGTCTAGAGTTTGTTTGCTTATCTCTTTATTTCTAAAATAAAGACATAGTTCTTCATGTTAAAATTAAGAAACCAAGAATACAGTTTGTGTTTTTATGTTACTTAAGAACGACTCTAACTTTAAAATTTTACTTCTTTCTAGGAAAGTAGACTATGAACATTTTGCGTTGACTTTTTCTCTCTCTTGTTTTTTCTTTTCTTTCAGGAAAGAACCAAACTTGCTTATTTCGATTACGGAGATGTCATTTGTAGAGAAGGGGAAATGCCACAAGGAATCTACTTGATAATTTCAGGAATGGCAAGTGTAAGGAGCTATTCATTCTTTTTCTTTTTAAAATATTTATTTTTTTTTGGTTGTAGTTGGACACAGTATCTTCATTTATTTTTATGTGGAGCTAAGGATGGAACCCAGGGCCTCACACGTGCAAGGTGAGCACTCCACCGCTGAGCCACAACCCCAGCCCCAGGAGCTACTGATTCTTAAGACATATTTTGAAATGTATAATTGTAACAAAAGGAGAAACTTAGGAACTGAAAACATTGAGTTTTTGTCAGAACTTCTCTTCCAAATGAGCCTTGTTGGCTGGGTGATGGCGGTGGCTGAGCTGATGTCACACTCTGCATCTGAGAGTGTGAACTGTTTGACAAAGGGCCTCGTGTCCATGCCTGCTTCCTCTCAGCAGTCCTGGGAGCAGGCGGTCACATGTGGGACGTGCAGACAAGGAGACCAGGACTTAAGTCGCACACCTAACACAGGCGGGAATTCAAGCCGGAGCCCCTGCAGCTCCAGTGTTTAAGTATCTGACCTTCTTCTAAGTAGTTTGGTTCATTCATTCAACAAATATTTACCTGGTTACTACGGTGGAGCAGGCGCTGTCCACCCCAGGCACAGGATGGACAAGGCAAACACCTCTGCCTTTGCCAAGCTCTTTGCTGGTGGAGAAACAGAAGGAGATGGGCAATGAACAAAGTAGAACATGCCCAGGGTGCTGTGTCCTAATCCAAAATGCTTGGGACCTGAAGGGCTTTGGATTTTGGATCTTTCTCAGATCTTGGAACATTTAAAAAGGCCATTATGTATCATGGCATATCTTGGAGATGAGACCCGCATCTAGACATGAAGTCAGCTTATGTTTTGTGCACACATTGCACACCTAGGCTGAAGGTGGTTTTAGATAAACACTTTTAGTGCACTCCCATTTTGACTGTGACATGTGAAATTTTTCGCTTAAGGGGCATGTCAATGCTCCAAAAGAAGATTCAGATTTTGGATTTCAGATTTGTAGGTTAGAGATGCTCACCTAGTAAGATGTCAGAGGTGCTGGAGAAAAGAGGTTAGTTGTGATTTCAAAAGGTGGTTGGAAAGGTAGTATATAATGTTATATCATTTAATCCTTATAAGAATCCTATTTTTCTTGTCTTTCCTTTGGGGGTGTGGATGGGTACCAGGGATTGAACTCAGGGGCACTCGACCACTGAGCCACATCCCCAGCCCTACTTTGTATTTTTTAATTTAGAGACAGGGTCTCACTGAGTTGCTTAGCACCTCGCTTTTGCTAAGGCTGGCTTTGAATTCACCATCCTCCTGCCTCAGCCTCCTGAGCTGCTGGGATCACAGGTGTGCATCTCTGCACCTCGCTTCTTTTTTAACATGAGAAGAATCTCTGCTCTTGGAGTTGAGATGTGAAAGGAACCAGGACTTTTGTGAAGGTGAATTCTTCCTTCACTTTTGACTGATTTACAAAGAACCTTCGCCTTCCTTTGGACTAACCAAGGCTTATTAAAGGTGTTGATTTTCTGCTCTCCTTTGCAGCTGCATAGCTCGTCTCCTACCTTTGGGATAGACAGTAGCCTGAAGCCTGATAAAGGGTCCAAAACCATGTTCACAGAGTACTGTACCAGCGGGGACGTGCTGGGGGAGCTGAGCTGCCTGCTGAAGCGCGAGATGGAATACACTGCCGTCTGCGAAACCACGCTACAGGTCAGGCCCTACAGGTCAGGCCGTCAGTCTGCAGAGGGTGTCCATCATCCTGGGGGCCCAGGAATAGCTGCAAGAAGGCAGATTCCGAACCTCCCCTGCCAGGCTGTGCGGGGCTCTGCTGTGTCCTGGTTGTGGGTCTCCTTGGGTCCTGTTTCCTTGTTTATTCACTAGAGAGAAGGCCTGCCCCTTGCTGTTCTGAGGGGTGGGAAATGCAGATTGAGCTGGCACGAGTAGGTGCTCAGTAAATGGCGCCATTCAGAGAGCAGTGTTTCTGAAGAATTTTAGTTTGCTTTAAAATGTCCTTTCTTCCATTTTTTTTAAACCTGTCAAATAAAAAGCGATCTGTTCATCAAAGGCCAGCCCGAGCCTCCAGTAGATGTGGAGAATTCAGATAGCGAGGAGCCAGAGCACCTACCACCGAGAGCTTCCCATCTACGGGGGCTGTTAGGTGCAGCAGAGCGGGATCTGGTCTTAGGGGTGTGAGGAGCAGAAGGGAATATTGCCTTATAAACTTGATACCACTTCCCTTCTGGAAGGGGGCAGAGGCATGAATTTAGTCACAGGGCTGAATGATTTCTTTCCACCCCTTGACTTGAATTCTGGAAGTGTGCTCTGCATTCAGGTAAGCAGTTTGCCTCTGGAAACACGTGCTGTGAATGAGTTGGTAAAATTGAATTTACCAACTGTGACATTCAGATAAGTTCATAGGACTTCAGTTCCCAAATCTTGGACTCATGAACCATATTCTTCTATGTATCCATTGAGGGGCATGTCCCTGCTCTGTTAGTAAGTCTGGATCTTTAATTCAGCCATACAATTAATCATGTTGTACATGGCCAATGACTTTTCACAACACAGACATTTTTAAATGGCAGCGTATCACAGTTGTGTGAGTTGACAGGGAGTTTTTCTGAGAAGATGGAGATTGAGTCCGGGGGCGTCTTGTTGGACGATGGATGCTCTTGTAGCTTAGCTTCGAGTCCGTGTTGTTGCAGGCCTTCTTCATCTCCCTGGAGGACCTATATGAAGGCTTCGATGTCTTCTGGCCATCCCTGGAATATAAAATCTGGCTGAAGCTGGCTCTCAATACTGCCTCTCAGTACTTTGAATCGAGTCTCGCTGATGAGGTAAGCTGCATGGTTGAATGTGGACGAATTTTTAGGTACTGCAGCTCTCACAAAATGTATTTCACGGTGTCCAAAGACAGAAGGCAGGTTGTGTCTGATCTCCCACAGTGGGATTGCTAGCATTGGAACCACTCTCTTCCTCACGGCGAGTTCTCCCAGGCCACCTGCAGTCCTTCCTTCCAGAAGGACAGTAGATTCAGAAGGTGTGAAAAGGGTACATCCCTTGGCCAAGCACACCATGAACTGGCCAGAGTTAATGAACACTAGTCTGGTACTTTTTAACGGGTCACTCTATCTACGTTAACATAGACCTCCTGGCTTTTCAAATGTGTGTTGAGGTGACGAAACCTCTTCCATGAACCATTCTTCCAAAGAGCAGTAAGAACTGTTCTTCCAAAGGTCAGAAGAACTTTTCTGTCTGCCAAGAGGTCCCCCGCGGCACCCGAGATGGGCGTGACCCGTTAGGAACCGAGCAGCCTACCTGCCCACACCTCTATCCTGTTTTGGTGAAGAACTTTCTATCGAATTTCTTTGATCTGTTCCGATATAAATAAACCGGGTGCTAGAAGCTGTACCCGTCTGGTCACCGTGGCCTGTCGCTGCCCCCACTCCGGACCTATATTTCTGCACCCTGTGGTTATTTTGTAGTACTGCTTTTCTAGCTTTTATTCCTCAGCCAGCCCATCCTCCAGAGGGGAACCCTTTCCCTTGCCCACACGGGCCGTGGGCGGGAATGAAGACTGGTCTTTGTGCAACTAGAATCCAACAGGGCACGGTTGGCCACCCGGCTGCAGCTGCTGGAGAGCTCCTAGGTCAGGGCTGGACAACCACATCCAAGGACCCAAGACCAGAGCACGAAGCCTTCTACTCTGGAGGGGTTGGAGGCCATTCTGATGGCTGAATAAATCTGTGGCTACCAGGGTCCCCAGGCCTTCTGACACCCTCGAAGAACTCAGATCTGTGAATTCATTTTCTTCTTGATATCAAGTGTCAGCTCACATGATTGATGGAGAAAATGTGATTTTATCATAGGACTTAAGGTTTCAGAAGTGTGTGATGCTCAATCACGCTTACGTGGAGACTTTATCAAGCTACAATGAAATGACTATCGATAACGTGGCCATGAAGTTTGTCATCATCGTGTTCGGCAGCGTAATTGATAGCAAGACGGAGGAACCATATTTGGCACCTTGCATCATTCCTAAAACCTGTGAGCAGGTAAGGGGTGCCATTCCTCAAGAGCCAGTTGCTGTTCATGGTGCCCATAAGTGGCTTTAAAACCCAAATGATGATTAATTAATTAGTAGCTAGTAGAGAGGGTTTCAAATGCTTCTAACATCAAGAAAGGATAAACATTTGAGGTCATGGATACGCCAGTTACCCTGGTCTGACCATTTCACATTGTATGCGTGTATTGAAATGTCACACAGTAACCCCACAAACGTGCATAATTATGATGTGTCAATTAAAAGTTAAAAGATATATAAAACTTTTAAAAGATATTGAAAGAAAATAAATGAAATAAGAACAAACAAATAAACCTCAACCAACCTCAAAAAAAAATCCAACCTCGGAAGGCCCTGCACTTCTCATGGGCCCTCAGCCGAGCAGTGTGTCCCCAGGGCCTCCTCTGCTCTGTGGGGGGGCCTTCACAGGCTGTGCTGCATCCCATGGCTGGAACCCACCTGTTCTCTGCTGGCCAGGCCCAGCCGTGTGTGGGAGGATGGGTTCAGTGCGGCTTCGGCATGTGCTCTGCGGTGTCCTCCCTGGCTGACCGAGATGGTGGGGAGGGGCTGGACCCTTTGCTGTCCTGTCTGGGGTCCTAGGTGCCTCTTGAGAGTAGGCCCTGGGCCTCTGGCCTGGTCATTCGGTGCCTGTGTAGTTAAGGATGGGGAAAATGTGAACACTCAGGGCACAAGGGGCATAGGAAAGGTCGAAGCCACCTGCTGCTGGACCCCTGGGGGGGGTGGGAGGGTGAAGCCCACCACTGAGGAGGACCAGAGGCCGTGAGAGAGCTGACATCTTCTTCATCTGGTAGTAAGTTTCTTCTCTTTGGTAGAGAACTTTTCTGTCTGTTGAAACTATGGAAGATTAATAATTTCAACAATTTAGAGGATCAAGGTAATTGAAAAGAAAAAAAATATATTGTAAATATATATATTTATAATAAAAATAGAATTTAAAAAATATATTTTTTTAAAAAAATATTTTTTCAGTACTGGGGGATTGGCCACAGGGCCTCTTACAAGCTAGGCAAGTGCTCTGTCACTGAGCCACAGTCTCAGTCCCCTCCCTTCAGTTGGATTTTGAGCCAGGGTCTGGCTGAGTTGCCCCGCTGGCCGCCAGCTCCCCATCCTGCTTCAGTCTCCTGAGTGGAGGGATCACGGCTCACCCCGGGCCTGGCTTGAATGTTTGTAATGGAAAGTGGAAATCTCTTTAGCTTTTCAACAAAGGGTGGGTACAAGAGGGGGGGCAACTGCCTACCATCCCGTTTGTTAAGAGTCAGGTAAATTTGGATTTAAATCTTAACCCAGCCAGAGGGGTGGAGGGAAGCACAGGAAGTACCTGACCCCTGACCCTGGGTTCCTCCTCAGGGTAGGGTGGCGGCCCTGTCCCTTGGCTAGGGTGAGGATTAAAGAGATGAGACAACAGATAGCGTTTAGAAATGAGAGCGGCTGTCATTACTAGTCCATGACTTACATGTCTGGAAGGCAGGTTTTGTGGCCTGTGGAGCCACACCCCTCGAGGGAGTCAGCCCTGGCATCCTGGGGAGGCTGGGCTTGAGCCCTGCTCTCCACCATCTCAGTAAAAGCCCTTCATTGTTTGCTGGGGATTCCCAGACCAGCCCCAAGTAAGGTGTGGAAAGTTCCTCTCTGGTTTTTGTAAGTACTCATAAAGACAATCAGCTGGTCTAAGACTTCTTGAAACAACATCAAAGGAGATTCCAAGTTAAAGAGACAGAGGTTAGGCTAGAGACCCAGCCCTAGGTTCTGGCCGATTCTTATGGGGGGAAAGTTGGGAAGCAGCCATCCTAGGCTTCAAAGATGCTCTTTTGCATGATTTTTACTTTTTTTCCTTTAGATTCAGGGAACTGCAGATGTAAGCAAGCTGTTGGTCATCCAAGCATCTGAGCCGGCCAAAAGTGATGGTAACACCAATGTCGTGGGTAAGTGAGAATCTTTCCTGGGGTAGGAGAGTCGTGGTGCAGGGACGTGGAGAACTCATTTGATCCCGAGGAGGCAATTTGAGAGGATGTCCTGTGGGTTTTCAGTAGGCCCATCCTCGGGCCACCCAGGGAGGCCGCATGGTTTCAGGGAGATGCTGTAATCCTCCTTCCCATCTCTCCCTCCATACTCTCAACAGGGGAGAGCGGTTTCTGGGCTGGGCTGGGTGTCTGTCCTGGTAGGCTGGAGCCACGTGGTGCAGCTGTGGGTGGTCGAGGAAGAGGAGGGCAGACTCTCCCACGTGGGCCCGGGAGTCGGGAAGGGGGTGCTCCTGGCAGCTGAAGGCAGTATGGAACCTGACCCACACCCCTCGAGTTCTCTGGCCCACAGACTTGCGTGAGGTGCTCTTACCCCGTCACCTTGTATGTGCAGTCACTAGATGGCCATCAGCAGCACCTGCGTGGACCGTGCTGCTGAGGACCAGCTAGGCAGGACTGTTCCAGGAAAACTCACGCAAGGTCTCCCCCACGCTCAGCACGTGCCTTACCAAGTCCCTGCCAGCACCCTCCCCGCCGCCCCAGCACGGACACAGAGCCACCCGTTCACACTCATTTTGTATTGGTTCACGTCAGTGATACACGACACTAAGATTCATTTTGCCACAGTTATACATACACGATATGCTCCAATTCAGTCCCCAGTATTTAGTCCCCCTCCCCCTCCTCCTGCTCCCTTTCCCTACTCTGCTGATCTTTCTGTGGAAGCCATCCTCATTTGTAACACTGATGGGCACCATCCCAGTGTGTAGAACTCGTGAGACCTGCTAAATTAATAGTATGCAATTCTTAGGGAAACCCTCCAAATTAAGAATTCACTGTCTTCAAATTATGTGCAAAAAGTGAGATTTTATTAAAATGTTTCTAGGTCACTATTTCTCATTTGCATTGTTCTTGTAAGATGCAGCCCCACTGCGTGCTGTGCGCTAAGTTGGTGAGGAGGAGAGGCAGGCATTAAATAAGTCTTTGTCATTTTCCCTCAGCAACAATTTGAACCTCAGGCACTCCTATGGCTCACATCCCATCCCTTGTTCTGGGGTCACAGGTAGCACTGTGTTGTAGGGAACCCCCTCTGCATCTGGGTCGACTGTCCAAGTTGGCCCTGAGATGACCGTTATTACCCTGTCCTGCCCTGCTGCTTCAGAGCCACTTAGGAACAGGGTGGTCTGCGGCAAGGTGGCTGGGGACTCAGGGCTTACTATTGGCCCCCTTGGGGTACCCTGAGGGTGACTGAGTCGAATCAGAAAGCAGGGAACAGGCCCTGTGGTTCTTGGGCCTGAGGCCTCCTACTTCCACTAGGCCCTTTGGAATCTTTTTTTTTTTTTGGGGGGGGGGTACCGGGGATTGAACCCAGGGGCACTGGCCTACTGAGCCATATCCTCAGCTCTATTTTGTATTTTATTCAGAGAAAGGGTCTCACTGAGTTGCTTAGTGACTTGCCATTGCTGAGGCTGGCTTTGAACTCGTGATCCTTCTGCCTCAGCCTATGGAGCTACTGGGATTATAGGCGTGTGCACTGTGCCTGGCTTGGAATCATTTTTATTCAAAGGGAAACACATTACTCTGTATTCCTTAGTGGGTTTGAGTGAAAAGTTCCACATGGTGAGCCTGTGGATGGGATCTAGCCAGCACACTGTGTCGGACCCACACCCATATTTTCTTAAACATTTTAAAATTAGTTGTCACATGGGAACATGTAGAAAGAAGTCTCGCCTTTTTAAAATGCAGATTTTGAGTTTCTTTTTCCCCCTGCCGACACTCAGCCCTCATTCCTGTGTGACAATTAGCGAGAAAGTACCAGCTGTCCTCTGTAGAGGGGACAGATGCTCCTCATCTGCCGCAGTCCACAGTGCTCCCTCCTGCCTTTACCCAGCCCACTTCAGTGTTTGTGAGACCTACCTTATCATTGGGTTTTGTCAGCCTGTGTGCTGGGCTTTTGCAAGCCTCTTACAAACCTCTGAGGGAAGAAAGTGAAGAGCCCATTTGGAAGGGAGAATGAAAGGGGTGAGGGAGGCTTATAGGAGAAAGCAGATCTGTACTTTGAATATTCTTCTGCTGTCTTTACTCTTAAATTCCTAATGCATTTTTTTTCCTGTTCAATGCATGCACTTGGTTCACCTTAGTCAACACTGGTCTTCGAACGACCAAGAAAGAATACAACTGGAAGAGAAAGGATATGGTAATGAACTCGGCACTCTGAAAAGGTTTTTCTTTTTGCATTAAACTGCAGAGCAAAGGTAAACTGTGAGGTCAAGGAGCAATGTGCAGGTGTCGAGGAAAGAGGCCCCTTGCTGCAGCTCATTAATTTGGACAAATCGAGATAAAGCTCATCTGGATTACTTAAAAATTAAAATTATAGAGTATTTATGAAATAAGTAATTTTTCCACCCCATTTCCCCTTCCTTGATCTCTTCCCTTGGTATTAAGTTGAAAAGTGAGGCTCTCTGGGATCAGGGTGGAGCTGGGACATTAGTGTCAGGGTGCCCATGCTCCTCCTGCCTTTGGACTCTGCACTCTCTTGGATGTAGGGCACTGGGCCAGGGTGTGTGGCTGCACACTGACCTTGGGCATCTGCCTATGGTTTTGCTGAAAGATCTTTTAACTCTTGGGTTATTTAAAGTGTTTTATATTAAAGTGAACATTATGGAGTAGGATGGCGAACTTGCATGAATTTTTAAGGAAAACACCAAACATTTTTAAAATGGAAAGTCCTGTATTTTTGGCCCCCACATCTTTTTCTACGTTCCTCAGCAATCATGGCTAGTTTAGGAAAGACTGAGGAGTGCTGGAAACCAGGGCTAGAGCTGGGGAGGGAAGGGAGCTTGTCACAATGGACCGGGACAGAGCAGAGACGAGTCTGGTGGGTGGGCGCTGCCTGCAATGCTATGGCTCTAGGGTCTCTGCTAGCCCCCCAGCAGAGCCCATCTGCCTGTGTTTGGGCAGAGTGGAGGTGCAGTAGCTCTGACGGGGCAGCAGGTGCTGGGCCAATGTAGAGTGGGGCCAGGTAGGCGACAGTGCTGAGCTTCGGGGGCCTTCAGTGCCCTACCTCCTGCCAGTCTCTAAGCCAGACGTCAGGTCACCCCAAATAAACCTGCATCTATCATGCAACTGCAGCTTTAAGAGCAGGCCTGTGGCCCACCCCATCCCCACCAGATAGCCACCTTAAGATCCTTCTAAGAAAAATTTTGGTCCTACTCCTGTCATTTCTGATCCTCAAGGTGGTTTGCAATGTATTTGTTGGGGGAGGGAAAGGTGCATTGATCAGGGTCATGGTCAATAGTTCTTCAAACAAAGCAACTTGGTTCTTTCTATGCAGCCCTCCTGGGGTCATCCTCTCCTTTCTCTTTAAGGGACTTTACTTCACAGGTGGAAATCTAACTGAGAGCCAAGTAATTGAGCTCATCTGTTACTCTCTTTTCCAGGCCCAATTATTAAAAGCAAAAATAAAAACGAAAAACTTTCATTCCACAATGAACGAAACCAGGTTTCCAGTGCTGTGCAGCCAACCATACATTAAAAGGAACTTAACTTTCATAACACGCCTCTTTTCCTGAAGCACACCTTTTGACAGACTGATAGAATTAACGTAGAAACTCCTTCCAGTGCAGAGATGCACATGCAGTTAATTACAATGCATTACTCAAAGTCAGATGTTTTAAGGGGGAATGCTCCAGATATTAAAAAGGGAACTGTTCAGTAAGTTTTCTGGTTCCACTTAGCAGGTAAGACGTTTTCCCTGAAATGTTCATAGTCTAATATTTTACTTTTGACCTTCTTTTGTAGCAGGACACTAGGTACCAGTTTCGAAAAGGGCATTGACACAGATGTGATGTGTGGAGTCGGGTTAAAGGCTGCGCTGCTGTCCTGGTTCGAGTGCTGAAGGATTACCTGACAAGGATTTTCTTAGAAACCGCTGAAACAGCTCACTGCTGGATCTCTTCTGTAAGCAGTGGATGGACCGCTGTAAAAACCAGTTCTCAGTAGTTGTATAGTGTACGTGACTTGTTCAGAATTCTTCAGGATAATGTAAGGTACTTTAAAACTTATGGCCTGCCAAACGACACCCTTCTTCTAGCAGAGAGTAAGTTATCAAATGTGTTGTACAATTAATGTATTACTGTCTAAGGCATTAAGACCTTCAAGTTTTATTTGTGAAATTACTATAATTAATGCCTCCTGATATTTTTCAAAATCCAGTTACTCTCCCCTCCCCAGTCTGGGGAACACTGAAAAGTGGACCGCGATCCAGTCTTGGTCACGGAAAGCAAAGTTGAGGAGTTAACATTCCTACGTTCCCAGTCCTGTTGGTTGTCACTTTTCATTCTATTTTTAAAAGTTAAATAAAGTTGCACGTTGTGGCTGACTTTTTATGATGTTTTAGAATCCATTATGCGTTCTCATCTCAGTGAGACTTTGAAGATCACATGATACCTAGGGAAGTCATAGCAGAGGTGAGACTAGAAGGAAAGGAGAACCTTGCCATTGGCGTTCCTGTGGGGGTCGGGGTGGGGCTGCTGGTGGGAAGCCCTGCAGGAGCACCACCCACAACCCACAGGGGGACAGGGCTGCTGCTGCTGCTGCCTGAGCGTCAGCATGGAGGCTCCTGAAGAGCCTCCTCCTTCCTCCCTGGCCTTTCCCTCTCCTGGCCACAAAGCACCTGTAACACCCGGCCTTCCCTTTGCTTCTCAGGAGGAGGGTAAGGCTCTGACGTTCTGTCAGGAAGGGACCCCTCCCGGGCCAGACTGCCACGTGGCCAGAGCTGTCTCCGGGCTCATCCTGAGGTGACCTGGCACCTGACCTTGCTACCCTTAACACAGTCAGGTGCTCTTCTTCAGGTCTGGGAGGGCAGTGGGCGCCGTAGTGCCCACCGGGCTCGGCATCACCATCACCGGGCTGTTAACAACGGAGTTGTGGCCATCTGAGGTGCCGGTCTTTGGGAGTGGGCTCTGGGCTCAGCATTTTGATGGGCTCCTCAGACGCCTTAGTGCACACTGAAACTCGGGGTCCACAAAGGTAGGCGGAGGGCATAGGGGTGGAAAACAGACGCGTGCTGTCCAACTCTGCTGGTAGAACACGTTACCTCTACTATGCGGGGCATATTTGTATCTCACAGGCAAAGAGCGAATCACGTGCCCGTTTCTGACCCAACCAGTAACAAAAGGGTGATAATGATCTTTTAACCAGTTAATACATCCTTGTCCTTCAAACCAGAATCAAAGTTGCTCTGCAATTTGCACGACTTCAGAGATGGAGTCAAAATGGACATCTAAGGGAGTAAATGACTGACGGTTCACTGCGCCCAGGAATTGGCAGCTTGAGTGGCCATTCTGACCTGGCCATTGTTGCTGGTGTACCTCCTCCAAGCTTCTCTGCAGATCTCCACCCTTCCTGTGGAAGTTGAAGGTGAGACCAGACTTTTGACATGATCAGTTACACATTTATCACTTAGAAGGCCATCAGCCCACACATCTCATGATTCTTGAGAAGTCACGTGAACTGCCTCTCCAATTCCTTGTTTCTAACATAGCTGTGATGATCATGTTAATTCACTTTCAATGAATAAATTCTTGGATACACAATAGAACTTTTTCTATTTTCAATAAGGGAACTCTTATCTTTCCTGTCTGATAGTGTATTTAAAGTGTACCTGGGCTCACTTCTGCCCTAAAAATGCATATTCGTTATGGAATATTTTATATTTGCAAAGGAACACTTGCAGTGTCATGGTTTCAAGCTGTTTAGTGAAAGTACCAGCACGTGATTTGAGGGTACATGACTCTTTTGCTTGGGCTCTTCCAGCGTTTTTAAATGGCATCAAAGTGTGGAGAAGAGACAGCTGAATGGAACACCAAGGTTCGGATGCCTGAGTGGTGAGGAGCAATAGGTTTCCTGAGGTTGGGGAAAAAGTTGAAGGATGTGATTCTGTTTGCTTATTCAATGGCAAATGAATGTCAGACGATTAACTTTAAGAGTCTGAGTAATATTGGAGATTCAGACTCTGCACTGTCAGAAAAGAAAGCTGAAGCCAGACTCTCCGAAGAAGGCAGACGTCAAAGGGAGGGGAGCAATGAGGAACCTAAGCTACAGAGCCACAGGCCCGGGGCAGTCAGAGTCACCAGTTCTTAGCAGAGGCCGGCACTCCCCAGAATATTGAGCAACTTGGGATTTTCACCTACGTGTCAAACATTCTTAGTGTCACTCAAGTTTTACATACAGAGAAATCAAGCATGGTCCTCAAGGTAGACTTTAGGCCCAGCCATTCCATTTAGGCTGAGGTTATGGTCCTTGTACTGGGTCATTTACCTCAAACAGAACTCTAGGACCCGAGTGAGAAACACGAAGGGACAGAGTGGGCCACAATGTGTGTGGAAACCATAGGCCCCTCAGCCCCCAGCTGTCCTCCACTGTCTTTGGTGAACATACTCATGGGAAGCCTCTGCCCTTCGGGGCTTGAGTCCAAAATAACACTTCAGAACACAACACCACAATGAGAATTCTCTCATCCAGTTCCAACAAAGGATTTTATTTTTTGATTCCCCCAAAAGCAAAATTTAGAAAACAGCAACCCACTGCAAGGACAGTCCATGATAGACATTCTCACCCGCCTCCCTTCAGTGAGCCCTCCCACACGCACCTCATCAACCAAGAGCAGCCCGACGCGTGGGAACACTCTGTGGAGGGCACCTGGCACTTGTCTCGCTCACACCCACAGGGACATCCCTGGCAGGCAAAGATCTTCTCTGCAGGCTACCCACCCTCTTTCTTTCTTTTTTTTTTAAATTAGTATTTATTTTTTAGTTTTCGGCGTTTGTATGTGGTGCTGAGGATCGAGCCTGGGCCGCACGCATGCCAGGCGAGCGTGCTACCGCTTGAGCCACATCCCCAGCCCTCCCCACCCTCTTTCTGAAAAGTATTTTTTAGTTGTCAGTGGACCTTTATTTTTATGTGGTGCTGAGAATTGAACCAGTGCCTCACACATGCAAGACCAGGGCTCCACCACTGAGCCCCAGCCCCAGCCCCTGCAGTCTCCCTTTTTGAAAGAAATTGATTGAAAAAAAAAAAAAAAATTAACAGCAAAATATAGATGCCTCTCCTTGTCTTCCCACTTCAATGGTCTACTAGAAAAGTACAGAATTGAAAAGTTTTGCCCCCAAGTTGTGATCAAAACACTGAATATTAAAGAATGTCTGGGTTACTTCAAGTTCCGGGGCCATACACTGAGACAGTTACAGAGGAGGTTGAGCGTCCATTTTAACACTCCCCAAATGGGTGACAGGGGAAAATCAGATCAACACAGCTACACACGTTAGTCATCCTGCGAAGGCATGAAGCAAGCTTCCTCAACAACCAACCACCAGTCATACTGAACACAAACCCCGCGGAGACCCAACCAGATCTGAGTCTCAAACACGGAACCTATTTCAGAGAGCTGGGACGTGTGAGCAGAACACTGCTGGTGAAGGCACAGAGTAGGGTCCCGAGGGGTGTTAGTGCCACGTCACTGAAGAAGCCAGAAGCAGAGAGACCCACGACCGCACCGTGATCACACTGGATGTCCCTGGGGAGCTGCCGCAGGAGCCGCAGCCGCAGCCCGAGCGGAGAGAGCCTCAAGGCTGGGGAGTGTAGCGGAGGTACTTCTTGCCTGACGGCAGCTCTTTGGTGAAGACTCCTTTAGGGAACAGTGCTTTGGCCTCCTCTTCAGGGATGGTGGGCAGGACCATCACACTTTCTCCATCCTGTCGAGAGCCATTGGAAATGGTGAGAAGCAGCCTCACAGTAATGCTGAAGGTCTGTGGCAGGACCCTGGGAGGGCAGTGCGGGCCGACAGGCGCCCTCAGTACCCTGCTGCCCTCGGAGGAATTCTGTGTTTGCAGTGGCTCTTTGACCCTTTTGTGAGGGAAGCATTTCCCATCGAGGGCAGTCCTGTCTTAAACCCACCAGTGGCCTGCCACACCCCATGGGATGGACCTGGCCTGATCCCTGCTCTAGTCCCCTGCCCCCTCCTGTCCCTCCCACTGCTCCCAGACTGCTCTTCCCTCACTCTGGATGCCTGTCACCCACCTGCTTCATGTCCTCCCCATGGTGGCCAACTCAAAGCCAGCTCTCCTCCCCCATCCTTGGCAGCACCGGTCGTCACGGCTCACAGGCCACAGACCTGTCTACTGCTGTGCCCGCCCGCTGGACAGTAAGTCCACGGGACAGAGACTGTATGCTTTTCTGCTCACCGCTAGCTCCCCAGTGCTCACTGCCTGGACCTGATAAATGTGCTTCACTAATGGATATAGAATTTACAATGATTTGCCTGTCAGAAAAAATAAAACCCGGCATCCAAGGCAGCATATTATAAAAACTGTAGTGACATGAAGATAATTTTGGAATATTATCCATGTCCAAAATAGTTGCAGATATCTTCAGTGTTTTAGGAATAAGTTTCAGAGCCTTCTACATAGGTTTAAAAGATGGAAGCTTAAGGGAAATGAAATGCTTACTACATGAATACACCAACACTTTTACAGCCATGACTTGAGAAAAATAACCAATCCAGATTTTGTTAGAAATATTCTGTCATCAGGCAATGGTTAGATAAAAGAACACCTCCCCCCCAATCCTGTTGAGTCTCCCCATCTGAAATGCTTGGGGACGGAAGTATTTCAGATTTTGGAATATTTTTATGAGCTTTATTGCCTGATGATTCCTAACTCAAAAATTTGAAATCTAAAATGTACCATGTCCTTAAGAAGTTCCAGACTTGGGGGCATTTTGGATTGGGGATGCTCAACTTGTTAAAAAAAAGAAAGAAATCACCATAACCAATTAATTTGTCCAAACTATCTAAAAGTCAGAAAGCAACTAGGGAGTTTATGTATGACAACATATGAAAGGTGGAAAGACCGCGTGGCAAATCTTATCAAACTCAGCCACGAAGAAAAACCCTTGAGAGTGCATGGAACTGGAAACAGAGCCCCGGGCCACGCAGACCCGAGCCCTGCTCAGGCCTTCCAGGCGAATCGGGGGTCTGCCTTGGAACAGCTTTACCTTCCAATCAACTGGGGTGGCGACCCTCTTTTCTGCTGTCAGCTGGAGAGAGGTGACTACTCGGAGAATCTCATCAAAGTTCCTGCCAGTGGTGGCTGGGTAGAGGATAGAAAGCTTCAATTTCTTATCAGGACCAAAAACAAACACCTGCAAAGCACAGAAAGGCGCATATAAATACGAAGAGTTCTTTCAGTGCTTTTGATTATTCAAGCCACCTAGAAAGCTCTGCAGTCGGTAAAAGTGCTCAGGCATGTCAAAACAAAAACAGAAACAAAGCTTCTGTATACCAAACTGCCATCTCTTTTCTTCTCCATGTTATTGTTCCAAACTTAGAGAAGGAAATTGTATTTGGCTCTGGCTATCCCAGGAAGAACCAATCTGCACATTTAATTCAGAAAAGGCCCTGGGAGGTCTATGCCAAAATCAGGGGTGAATACCAGTAAATAATACTAATGGTTGTACATTTGTGCAGATGGGATTGGGCTTGCTCCCTAGTGGATAGAGGACAGACAAATAAGGATTAAAAACACTGAGGGAGGATATGGCCCCCAACTTTAAAGACAGAGCCGTCAGGAGGGCTATAAAAACATTCCTTAATTCCAGATGACATCTTAGGACAAACTACTTGTTAGTCTGTGGATTTCCAAGAGCTATGTAATGGGCAGTTTAACAATTTAGGTGAGTATTTTGGCCACTTGCATTAGCATCTCATAATTGATACACAGCGATTTCGTAGTTGTGGACGTTCCTGTTTCCTCCAGTGGGCCTGAACATGTAGATGGATGTGTGGCTGTCACTAAACTCACCACACGAGCGGTCACAGGCATGCCCTTTTCGTCCTTCTCTGCTGGGTCCAGCATTCCCAACTGGATGGCGAGGTCCCGATTCTTATCATCAATGATGGGAAAGGGTAGCTTTTCTGTGGGCTCCTCACCATTGTAAGCGTTGATATCCTGGAAGGCAGAGGAAAGGGGGCAGAGAATTCTAAACCTGACACACAATGAATTTCATCAGTTAATGGCCATGATCTTGCAAGGCAGGGAAAGTAAGCTTAATTTTCTCCAAGCAAGTTTAATATGATGATGAATGAATAAACAGTTCTTGTTCCAATTATTCAGACAGGAATAACAGCAGAGTATAAGGCCAAAGCCCTTTTTATGCCCAATTCTCTTAAATTCTGCATGCTTTTATGCTTTGAGAAGGCAGTTCAGCTTTAAAAGGCTTAGATTCCAATAGAAGGGAACTCTAGAACACTAAAAAGAACACCAGAAACAATGGAATCATTCACAGCAAACATCCAGAAATGATGTCACATGTAAAGAGAATTCTATGTTTCTGGTCCCCACCTAAAAGCCCCGTGACTTAGGTATCAGGCTACAAGACAGATATTGAGAGATGAGCGTGTATGTCACAAAACTTAAAAAGAAACACAGAATGGACAAGCAAAAGGTAAAGCATTTTAAGTCTGAACTAGAGGAAAGAGATGGACGCACCTCCCTCTCCCTAGGAAAACTTCATTCATGTCTTCTTTTCTATCCCTCAGGCTTCTGGAGGAAAGTTCAGCTGCATTATTTGATGGAGCTGAGAGGGCACTCAAGTGGGCAGAGCAGCCCAGTGACAGAGGTGGGATACAGGTAAGTACCACATGGCTCAGCCTCAAAGGGACCTACACAAGGTGGCAGCAACTGACATCCTCACAGCACAGCTGAGCTGCAGAGGCTCCAAGGAAGGGGCAGACTTCTAACTGGGCCCTTGGAGGAGGAGTTAGGTTCTCCACTGGGAAAGGCAGGCATTCTAGGACGGAGAGAACTATGAATGGGACCTGGAGGCAGCTTCGCACACAAGCTAGTGCAGGAGGGTGAAGAACTGAGCTGGGTAGATTTAAGAAGTAAAGAGAACGAGGACTTGAAGTTGGGGAGACAGCGGTGTGCACCCATCTGCAATCCCTGCTGAGATCAGCCTGGTCAACTTAGTGAGGTCCTTTCTTGAAATAAAAATAAAACGAGCTGGGAGTATACCTCAGCATAGAGCAACTGCCTCCTTGCATGCAGAGCCCTGGGCTCAACCCCCAGTACCAAAAATAAGAGTCTATTTACAATTCATGTGGAGCCTTAAAAGTAAAACAGGTCATGGCACAGCAGGTACAAAACCTTTTTGCATTTCTCAACAAAGACAGGATAAAACTAATGAGCTCTGAAATGGGTGACAACAGATTTTGACATATTTCTTAATTTTATTACCTGAACTCTGATGCCTATCAAGTCACTACAACTAAGGAATAACCAGTGTGGCTTCGTGTTGGAGGCACCTGGAGGTTTCTTACATAACCAGTTCTATGCCAGAGTCTTGGCCTAATTTCTTATTCAATTACAACTGTGAAGTTCACCAGAAGTAATGAACCTGGGTGTGCTCCTACACTTTACAAGGCCTTATACAACTGCCTGTTGCTTAATGATTGCCCCTTGCATAAAAGGCAGCACGCACATCATACCCCTGGACACTGAAGAACACAACATGTTTTGGCTTTATCCTATACAAGATCTGGCCAGGTCCACTCTTCACCATTTAGTACCAAAGAGAACATTGGTTTGAAGTTCAAATCCCAGTAGCACCATTTTCTAGCTAGGCCGTCTTGGGTAAATGTCTCCAAAATTGCCTGTGAGAAACCTTAAGAAACACTGGTTATTCACTGCCAAATAAAGAATGAAACAAACAAACAAAAAACCACCTAAAGGAAGATAATTGCCCTCTTTCTTCCTGAACATGTTTCTTCTGATCTTAAACTTTTCAGATTGACTGGTGTGATCTGGCCACGGGATACAGCCCTGGTGAGCACTCACAAGTCGTCAGGGTGTCCTTGACTTAGTCCTACACACTCGTCAGAGCCTCGCACACAGGAAAGCTCTCCTCAAAGGGAGCTGCTATTACTTAGCAGCACATTTAGCAAAGTCCTTAAAATGCCTTCAAGTTCTATTTAGACGACCAAATTTTATGTCCCAAGTAAACACTTCTGCTGCAAGCAGACAATTTCCTCAGTTCATTCATTCAACAAACACCGCCTGACTGCCTGAGCAGCACCGAGTCTGGGGCTCTGTTTCAGGGGTGGACAAAACAGGAGTCCACCCCTGCTGGGCTCCACTCCAGTGGGAAGGAATGAGTCAATAAAAGAGCAAAGCACAGAGTGTTCTAGTTGGTCACAAGTACTGAGGAGAAGGGAGAGGGAGAGTCAGTTGTAATTACAGACAAGGAGGACTAAGGAAGGTTTTAACGGGGTGCCCTTTGAGTTGAGGCCCCCAAAGTCAAGCTGCTTAAATATATCTGCAGAGCAAGTCTTCCCAACACGAATCTGGATAGATTTTGCAACTGGAGCCACCAAATTTGTGGATAAATCAGACAAGTGGTGTGAAAAAAATAACAGGAATTAAGAAAGGCTCCTGGATTTTTGGCCTGAGTAACTACAAAAATGTAGTTGCCATTAGCTAAGAGGAGTAAGACCCTGGGTTGAAGAATGGGGCCATTTTGAGAGGTGCTCAGCTTGAGATGACTGGACAGCCCACGGAGATGCCAAGTGGCTTTACCCTCCTGGAAGCAAGGAGAGATGAAACCTGAGAATCACCAAGGGAAAGAGTTCAGATGTTAGAAGTGGCCCAAGGAAGAAGCTCGGGGCAACTTCAGCAGACATTAAGGGCCGGGAGATGAAAAGAATCAGACGCGTTCTGAGGGGCAGAACAGTGATGTGGCATCCCACAAGCCAGGAGGGGACTCATTTCAGGACACAGGATGATGGGCTGGGCTGGATGCTACTGGTAATCACCACTAGCTGACCCAGAACCACTGGATTTAGAAATGTCGAGGTCACTGTGACATTCAAGTCAGATTTTCAAATAACCAGTTTGAACCTGAGATTCACTTGTATCTTTACCTCAAAACCAAGCTACTTGATACAAGCCTCTATTTCTCTCATTGAACAATCAACACAGAAGACTTTTAAAACCTCTGGTCACCAAGAAATATGTGGGGCTTTCTCCCCACTAGCAACTAATCAATTCTGCCTCTGACACCTGCTGGGTGACCTCTAACTCAACTCAGTTTTGAAACTATGTGTACCTGGAGACAGCATCGTATGCCACAAGCTGAGGACTCAGTCCCACAAGATTGCTCCCTTCCTCCAATGCCAACTGCAAGTTCCAGGTTGCTGCACCTGTGCTTCTGACTTATGGGCTGTAAATTGTGGCCTATGACCCAATCTTTTCGTTTATTTTGCTAGGGTAGCTCACAGAACTCAGGGGTACCTTCACACTTACTGACCTACTAAAAAGGCTATTATAAAGGACACAGAGGGATAGCTGCATAGGGTGAGGAAGGGGGAGCCCATGCTGTCCCCAGGCACACCCTCCAGCTGCTATTCGCAGCTCCTGGAACCCAGTCATTTTTGGTTCTTATGCAAGCTTCATTACACAGGCAGGGTTGGTTAAATCGCTGGCCATGGGTGATGTCTCAACCTTCAGACCTTCCCCTCCCTAGAGGCTGGGAGGTGGGGCAGAAAGTCCCAATCCTCTAATCCTGCCTGGCTCTTTCCAAAGATCAGGTCTAGTCTGAAGTTACCAAGGGGCCTGGCAGCCATCTGCCAACTTGTTAACATACAAAAAGACACTTATCAACTGATGAGGCCAAGAATTTTAGGAGTTGTTTGGGAGGACAAAAGAGGGCTAGATCTACATTTCAAACATCACAGAACTATACCTTGCTCCAGGCAAGATGGTCCTCCACGCTGTCTATGGAGAGGGCGATCAACTTAACATTCTTCTTGGCAAACTCTGGTGCCAGCTTTGCAGCTCTGCCAAGCTCGGTGGTACACACAGGGGTGAAGTCCCGGGGGTGGGAGAAGAGAATGCCCCATCTGAAAGGAAGAAGAGGTCACCACTGAGTGAAGTGTCAAACACTGTGCAGTGCAAGAAGCCACACAGCATCCAGGTTAAACCAGGCCCCTCCATTCTTTCTTCTTTAAAAGAATGTTATGAAGACATTTGCTTTTAAACCTTTTGGTTGAGAAATACTTTCCAATCCCAGCTCCAGAAAAGACTCTACTGACTGCTCAGTTCAATCAAATATTTGGGGTGTTCCCTTCTTTAATAACTGCGGAGCCACCCTGACTCTTTCGGCTAGTAAAATCTGTGCTAATTAAGTCAAGTGGCTTTTTTTTTTTTTCCTAGCATAGATGTTGACATTCAGCTCCCCAAATGCCACAAATCCAAGCAGATGCCTGACTGCATTAATAAAAAAAGATTATGTAATCTAAAACAAATAGGCTTCTATCCTCCATTTACAAGTAAAATTAAGGTTGACACTTGGTTTCTTCAAAGAGTGGATACAAACTCTTGTAAAGCTACTTTACTGATCCAAGCTAACCTCCCCAAAGCTTGGCAAGTTTCTTGAGCATCAAGAACAGAACAGACGAGGGTACCTCCTTCCCACCTCCACCTGCCACTCAACTCCCAAAGCTTCAGGGGAGGAAAAGGCCTCCAAACAGGATGAAGGTGAGTTGGGGAAGGAGCAATACTTACTGTAGAGGTGAGAGGTGTGTGGCATGTTTAGTTTTTAATAACAGGCAATAATCTAGCTATGAGTAACATCCAGGCCTTAGATTTTATGAAAGGATCAGATGAGAAATAAGAAAAAGACTTCAGAATTTGTGAAAAACTGAACAGGGAGATTCTTCCCTTACTGTCAAAGGGGTAATGAGTTAGAAAATAGAAGTCTTTTTCCATTGTGAGTTTGCTGACTCATGGTGGGGAACCGGTTTTAAGTCACTACATTAAAAGACCCTCCATCTTCTTGGCCTGCCTTCCCCTAATACTTTACTGCCCTGTTGCTGCTCTTAATTCAAGAGTAATTCAGTTACATTATCCCATTTCCTTCCTTCCTCATTTTCAAAACACAAAAGGTTTCCCCCTTTAAGAGAATGTACCAGAAAGACCCTGGTAAAGATGTTTTGTTCAGTGAAGATGTGCTATGAAGAAGCTGCCTCGAGCACACACAAAAGTGACAATGCTCTATAAACTCCCGGAGCACAGAACTGAAAAGCCCTTTGTTTCCGAATTTCAGGGTGGGTTAATTTATTTTTTTTTCTCCAAGAAACACCTGGATCAGAAATTGGCAGTCTGACCTGAGATCAAATACAGAATGGCCTTTGGAAAGGCTAATCTCAATAATATGAAGGCCTAAAACTTCTTTTCCAGGCAGGGTTGGCACTGCCATGCCTGACCCTAGGCAGACTTGTGTATCTGTTAGTAGACGCAATATATTTTCCTTGTCTTCCTATTTGTGGCTCCCCAAAAAGATAAATAACCCTTTTAATCAAAACCAGAGGCCATTAAGAGATCACAAACAATCAGAAAAGTATGGAAGGCTTAAACAAGGGACATAACTGTTGCTACAGTAAATATGAATATGCTTTAATATGTATCTCTAATCCATACAAAATTAAGAGTTCTGGTGAGATTTTGTTTCATGGGGTGTGGGAAGGAACACACTGGAAAGAGATGAATACCTATACTTGGAGTTTGAACTGGCCATGGTCTATTTTTAAAGTTCTCTTCTGCTGCAAGGTCACCCCTTTTCTAGCCTAACCCTTTATTTTCTGAATATTTCCTCTAATCAGAAAGCAGAGAAGGTACTTAAGAGGTTGAAAGCTGTTGGGAGGGCCTGTTGTGTAAGAATCTTTCCCAGGTTCTCTCTACAGGCCTGACCAATTATTGATTCCTTCCATAAGCTTCTCTGTCACTCTGCACATATATGCATGGACATTGGATACAAAAGGGACACAAATCCAGGAGGAATTTTCCAGCCTGGGAGCAGGGGTATAAAAGGGTCAATAAAACTCCAAAACTAAATAGAATCAGACTGGTCTGGAATGTTTCTGATTGAAACCAAACAACTCACACTTTGCTGATTCAGGAGCTGTAAAAAAGGGTGGCATCAGTTTATTCCTAGGTATTATGATGACAGAATGCCAGGCCAGATCATGGGTCAATCTGGCCAGTGAGGCCATGTGCTGGCCAAAGGGGGAGGGGACTACTGGGAAACAAAAGGGCCTCCGGGTGGGGAGTTACCGCGTCCTGGCACCTCTGTGGCTACTTCCCTCCAAGTGTTGCAAGTTCTGGAATGAAGGACACACGTACACACTGCACGGTCTTGGTTCCTCCGAAAGCTGTTCATATCTTGGCCATCATATCTTGGCCATCGAAGGAGGCCCTGAACAAAAACTATTTCAGCCAGCCGGCGGTTTTAAATTTTACGCTGTGTCCAGAAATCTGCCAACACCACTGCGCGAGCAGAACCCTCAGATAACCCGGGCCGTGTCCTCCCACCTGGGCCTTGGGCACCCACCTCCCCCAGGAAGCAAATTCCAGGACAGAGGAACGGAGGTCAGTGGGACCCGCCACTAGTCCCGGGAAGTGACCGCCGGGTCCCTTCCCCGCGCTCCCTCCTCGGGCCACGTTGCTCGCCCAATTCACTACACCTCCAGGGCCAGCACCCGCAGAGGCCCCGGTCTCCCCCTCCCCTGGCGAGCCGGGGCCCAGCGACCGCGCAGGACCGCGGGCCGCGGCGGCAGCAGCGCTGGCAGGTGCGGCGCAGGGGACACGCCGCGGCAGGCACGTGCGGGGACCGGTGCGGCGGGCGGCGCGCAGGGGGCCGCGCGGGCGCAGGAAGGAGGCGAAACCGGGAAGCGCCGCCTCGGAGCCCCGGCCGCACGGAGGCCGGGGCAGGGCTGCGGGTGGCCACTTACGAGTCTCCTAGGAAGTCGTGGAAACGGATGCGTCCGATCGTGGTATTGGCCTCGAAGTTGGGAGCTTCGTCCCCGAGAAGGAGCCCTCCGGGCATGGCGGCAACGGTGACGAGAGCACGAGTAGGCGCAGCCGCAGCAGAATGAGCCGCTGACGGTGACTGAGCGGTGCAGGCTCGCGGGGAGTGGGCGGGGCCGGGGCGGGCCGGGGGCGGGGCCGGGGCGGGGCTCCGGGGACCGCGACGTCCCCGGGAACGGGGGCCTCCCACCTGGTCGCAGCCCACGGGCGCCTAGGCCGCCTCTCCACGCGCTGGCGGGCTCGGGAACGTGGAGCCCGCAGGGCAGGGCTGGGGCTGCGCGGGGTTTGACCCTGCAGGGCGTCCGGGACTAGGGTGAAAGGAAGCGGGCGCGGTAGAGGGGAGCCCCGGGGCGGGGACTCCTGGGCGGGCTCCTGCAGCTGCGCGCCTCGGCGCGGAGGGTCCAGGACCCCGGTGTACACCTCCTTGCGGCGACTCCCCACCTTGGGGTCGAGCGACCTCCCACTTGCACCCTTCTTTTCCTGTGACTGTGGCCAGCCTAGCCTTGATGAGCCGTGTCTCTATCAGGATGTGGCCAGACCCAGGCGTTTGGGGGACCCTGTGTCATAGGAAGTGGCTTTTTTATTGCAGCAAAAATGCCAGGCCGATGTCAGTGCTAAGGTAATGGAACCAACCCCCCCCCCCCAGAGGTTCTTTATGATCTTATAAAAATTAAATACAATTATCTTGAAATCTAAATATAAAATTTAAAACATACTTAATTGAGATCTGTGTACAAATCACCTCTCACCTGGGGAGGTGGGAGGTTTACATCCATTATTTCCTTTGTAGGTGCCAAGCATGACATAGATAAGCTTGTTCTCTTAGAGCTTTCATTCTTTTGGGGGGGGGATGATAGGTGTCAGAAAACATGCATGTAATTAAACGAGACTATATTATTAAGACTTAAGTCCTATGCAGAGAAAGAAAATAAGGTTATATGTTAGAGGGTGAATCGAGGGTTGCTTTGCATTGTGTGGTCTGGTCTGGGAAAACCTCCAGGTAATATAGGTATGCACCGTAGTGAAGCACTGGTGGCTGTTATTTGGATGATAATAATGATTCATGCAACAACTTGTACTTGCCCTACTATGTGCTAGGCCCCTTATAGCTAATGCACTCTCTCTAATTTGTCTCTAAGCTTTGGTTTTAAAAGCACCACATTTCCACTCCTTTTGTATGGGAGAATGAAGAACTGGGAGAGAAGGGTAGTTTGACCTTAAGGCACTGTTAATGGCGTGTTGTGGAGATGGGCCAGAAATCAGGACACACCATAGATATGGACAAATGAATTCAGACACAGATAATTGATCTTTATCAAAGGCATAATTATATAACTGTGTGTTGTAAAGTAAGCAAATATAATAAACACTTGTTAGAATTTATAGCACCAGAAGCTGCATACTGGCAATGCTTCTGTATTCTGTGAACTTGGTTGCTTTAGCCTTTGCAGCATTTAAAATTCTTTTAAATTAGCTTTTAACATTTTAACAACATGATTTTTCACAAAAATGCCTGGATTTCTGGCTCCTGAAAAGTCACAAGATCTAGCAACACCAGGCCCATGCTCCACTTGGCAAACTGCGCTGGAGAGTGGCCTTCTTAGAGTTTTGTGTTCGCTATCATGATGAAGGTCCTCTACTACTTACTGACGTTACAGTAGAATTAGAAGGAAAATGAAATAGTTCTGGCCTCCCTGGGTGTGTCAAAATTCTGCAAAATGACTCAAGAGCCGTCTGTTTCAAGAAAAAACTAGATCAGCACATTTCTTGGTAAAAGTAGAGTGTTCTTGTATGTTTGATATGTAAACAAAGTTGGAACAGCACTGTTCTGCTTGGTCCTTGTGGGTAATTCAGTTTAACCTCTGACCTGTAACCCACGGTAGGCGCTCTGTAAAGGGTCAGTGAAAAGTGCGTGGAAAAGAAGGAAGGGAAGAGAGTTGCAGAGGCATTCCAGGAGACCAGACTGTGGGAAAGGGAGAGCTGGGCGAAGGGAGATGAAACCTCTGATACCAGAAAAATACAAATGTTTTCAAGCATCTTCCGGAGTTGGAGAGAACATTGAAATCCTTAGAACTATCTCCCAAGGGACAAGAAGGAAGAGGATGCAGGGATCTTCCGAGGCTGTGACACTGGGATAATTCACATTCTCTTCTGACCTTACTGCTTTGAACAGACTGAAGAAAAGGTGAAGGAATTGGCCATGACCTTTTGAAGAATAGCACTGTAATACGATGTCTCTCTTTCCTACTAGATTGTGGCCCTCAAAGGTTTGGCTGTTTTTGATTGACAAATATTTGTAACCTGTTAGACATAGAAGGTTACCTTCCTGCAGCCACAACTGCAAATTTTCTTGACTCCCCAAAATAGAGACTAAAAAATCCCTGTTACAGTTAGGTAGAAATTTTTATGCATGTGGTAGGGGACCCATAAAACTCAAAAAAATTCATGTTAGAATGGTGGGATTGAGTTTTTAAAAACAGTTTTATAAATTTTCTTGTTAGATTTGCGTCTTTTCAGGGAATATAAATAAAGAAGGCAGCTGGAGCACAAGGTCAGAAGGAACGATGGCCAGATAAGACAGTAAGCAAAGTCCTAACAGCCAGGTAACAGAGTGGGGATTGGCAGGAACCCCAGGAGCACAGCTTAGATGGCTCATGGCTCTCTTCCCTATGTACAGGTGATGTTATCTCATCCTGTGACTTTAAGGTACACCTCTATGCTGAGGATGCCTATTTTCATCTTCAGACAAGCTCACCATCTGTATGGCGGGCCAGTGCCCATTTGACCCCTTGACCTGAATATGTCCAAAATGTGACCCTTAACCACCCCAAGTTCATTTGATCCATAGTAATTTTCCCTTTCTCTTTAGAAGAAGCATCATCCTGATTTCTTCTAAGCCCCACAGGAGTCTTAACACCAAGTTCCAGTGATTCTGCCTTCAAAGCATGTCTTGTAGGTGTTCCGGTTTCCATCTCTACTCCTCACCTCTGCACTCAGGGCTCCAAATCTGCCTTTCTGAGTGCTCTGTGGATACTGAGCTGTGCCCTGCAAGCTGCGTTTCTGCCTGCTGTCTGGCCTTACGGTAGGGTTAGCTGGAGTGGAAGGTATTGAAGGGATTCTCGAGGCTGGAGAGGGAAGAAAGAACTTATCTTTTTCCTGTTGTGTTCATGACAGCTGGCCCTGGCAGTGGCCTGGTGAGCAGGTGTCTTCCAGAGGTCTCCCTTCACTGCAGTGGTGGGTGGCATATTTCTGCAGCAGCTGACCATCTTCTCAGAGGCCTGAATTGTGGCCTGTTGTGGGTCTTCTCCGCATTTCTCAATGTCTTCCTTGTTTATCTTCCCCTCGGTCCTAGGAGTGATAGCCGTAGTCTGCCACTTTTTTTTTTTTTTTACACCATACAATTTAATTTTTTTAGTAGTTAACCACTTTTTTCTTTTTTTAAACCAAGGTAACAGTTCATTACAGTCCCAGTTTCATTGTTTCAGTTAGTGTGTGGTTTCTGTCTCTTGACTGGACCCTGACTAACACAGAAGTTGGGACCAGGAGTAGTGCTAGGAAGAGACTCTCAAATATTGTTTTGGGGGTTGTTTTGCTCTGAGCCTTTGCTAATGGGCAACCCGGGGCCATCATCCCTGACATTCGCTGGGCCCACAATCAAATGATCACACTTGGTTGATTGTGATGAAATGCCAGCTGTAGCTGTGCTGTGGGGGCCCAGGGGGCTGCTGCACTTGATGTCAGGGCAGGAGTGGCGCAGTGTGGGTATTGCCGAGCGTGGTGGAGTGCTGACAGATGAGGCTGAAGACTCCAATCCTTAAACTGTTGGTCCAAATCTTGAACTACCGTGGCAGCCCTAAAATAATCTTTTACTTCTTGTAGCCACAGGGTTAATACTGTTAAGTTCAAAGGCCAACTTTAATTGCAGCAGTGACAGAGCAACAACATCCATTGAATTCACAGCCTTGCCATTCACATTTTTCATGTGAAATGTTAGGGCCATTGATTCAGGAAGGCAGGAAACCCTAAAACTCCAGGTGGGGATGTTATGGTTTGGATGTGAGGTGTTCTCCAAAAGCTCACGTGTGAGACAAGGCAAGAAGGTTTGGAGGAGAAATGATTGGGTTATAGCCTTGACCCAATCAGATTAATCCCTGGTGGGATTCACTGAGTGGAGGCAGGTGGGGTGTGGCTGGAGGAAGTAGTTCGTTGGTGGTGGGGCTATGGGGTGTATATTTTGTATCTGGCAAGTGGAGACCTCTCTCTCTCTCTGTTTTCTGATCACCCCATGAGCTGCTTTTCTCTGCCACACTCCTCCATCGAGATGTTCAGCCTCACCTGGAGCCCAGAGGAGTGGAGCTGGACTTCTGTGGACTATGACCTCTGAAACTGTGAGCGCTCAAATAAACTTTTTCTCTTTTACGATTGTTCTGTTGGGTATTTTAGTTCCAGCAGTAAAAAGGCTGACTGAAACAGGGGACACGTGGTTGGTCTCAAATGAGGCTGAGAACCCTGAACCCCGGGTCACGCTGAGTCAGCCTGGCCAGTGCAGGGAGCTGGCTCTTCTTTGTTTGAGAAGTCTTTTCCTTTCCCCTGCAGAACCTAGTAACTACCTCACTGGAGCAGATGCCTCACAAAAGAGAGGATGCCCATTCTCCTCAAAACTTACCCATCTCTTGTTTTCATGAGCCCATTATTGGGGTCATCTCCACTGTGTTCCAGTGGCTGCAGGTTCCTGAGTTAACTTGGTGCCCAGCTCAGGTCCCCAGGTTCAGCTCTTCAGGGAGTCACTGTGTGCTCTGCAGAGGGAGTATTGGCCGAGACAGCCTTGCTGGCACCACGCTCCGTATTCTTAAGCAGTCTCTTTTGACACCACGTTTTCAAAACTAAAATTGCGAAGTAATATTAAATTAACTCGTAAATGGAAGTCTCTCAAAGGAAACACAGGCCTGGTGGCTGCGGGCAATTCTGCACGTGTCAGGACTGCCTCCGTGCCCCGCCAGCTGCGATGAACATGGTTCTAGCTTCCTAACTGTACGGGTGGTACTTCAGTGGGGTGGTAATCGTGGGTCGGAGAAATGGTGCATCTGG